AATTCATGCCTCTACTGGCATGAATTCCCTCTACTGGGTAAAGATGTGTTCAAGGCAATTTCTAAGTCCCTTTCTAACTCTTAAGATTCCAGATTCAGTAATATTGGGATAATAATACCTCTCACAGTTATTGTTATGACTAAATAGTGTATGTAAAAAATTCTTACACATTGCATGGTACACAGTTGGTGCTCACTGAATGTTTTTTGCTTTATCTATAAGATATGAATAACCCTTGGCTTGGCCTGGTACAAGTGAGATAATGAATGTAAACATGCTTTAAATACCCCTCAAGTCCTTTGTGAGAATAGGCGATGCAGAAATCTACATGACTCTGGCCAGGCACCATTAGGGGTATTTTGCTTCAGTTTGTTCATTTACAAAGGGAGACCTTGGCTTTTTTGTTGTTTGTTTGTTTGTTAGTTTGTTTGTTTGTTTGTTTTAAGTGGGGAAGTGTCTGACTTACCTGCACAAACAATGGATAGATTTGCCTTGCTGTGGCCAAAGAATGTTATGGTTAAAAAGATAGACTTTGGGGATTCCAGCCCTCCCCTACTAACTGGGTGACTGTTAGGGAGTGATATGGACTCATGGGCCTCAATTTCCTCATCTGTAAAATGAAGTTACCTCATTTAGGTTTGTTGTGATGATTCAGCACAATAAGGTATATTAAGTGCCTGGCCAGAGCCTGGCACCTAAGTGCTCAGTTAACAATAGCTGATCCTGTTGTTATTCTTTTTCCACATACTATGAGAGAAGTTTTCCAAATGCTTGTTTGAAGGGCTACACGATTGATCTGGAGAGAGCCTTTTTCAGATACCTTTGAGTAATTCCCTTTTGAATTAGCTCCTGGTCTGTGGCATAGATGGATGCTGTTTATAGAAATATTACATGGCAGTAATAGCCATGGCCAGATAAAGAAGCAATCATAAGATTCGAAGCTCCTTGGAAAAATATGCTCCTCTGGTCTTTGATCTCAATGTGGCCTTTTTAACCTATCATGAGAAAAGCAACTAGTGTTATAAAACATGAGCAGATTCTTAACCTTTTTGTATTTAATTGTCATTCAGTGGGGCTTTTGCTCTGGATCCAGATGCTACACAGAATGCCATGTGAATGCTTTATGAGGTTATTGAACTCCAGTTCTGATACTGGCAGTTCAGGGTCAGCCACTTCCTAGATGAACAAGTTGCTTAACCATTTTTGAGCTTCCATTTTGTCATTTACAAAATAGTGATAACAATTGTATTCACCTATGGGGTTTTGAGAATTACATGAGTCAATGAAGTAAGTAAAGTCTACCCCGTTGTGGTAGGTGTTCAGTGAAATACTAGTGTAGAAAGAAGGTGTGGTCCTTGCAGATAAAGATTAGTTATAACTATTTTTAAGCCTATTCTAGTAAGGTTCTGGTTTATATTATAATCATATCTAATGGAATATTGAAAGTTTTAACTTAAAATTAGAAAATAGATTCTTCTATAGCCAATCATGATTTCCCATGCTCCATTTCCAAGCCTTTTCAGTATCTCAAGCCCAACATTGCACGAAATCCCATCTTAAACATAGTGAGTGCTATTTGTATGCTATTCATTGGCATTGACTGGCCTTACCTGATTTCATTTTTTAAATTTGCTATTTTAACTTTTCTCTATTGTTTATCTTGAGCTTCCTTTGTGCTTTCAAAAGGAAAATAAAAGGAATACTCATTACACTAGGGCCATTTTTATAGAGTATCTTTTTTTTTTAACAACTGAGACAGAGTCTTGCTCTATTGCCTGGGCTAGAGTGCTGTGGCGTTAGCCTATCTCATAGCAACCTCAAACTCCTAGGCTCAAGCAATCCTTCTGCCTCAGACTCCCGAGTAGCTGGGACTACCAGCATGCACCACCATGCCTGGCTAATTTTTTCTATATATTTTTAGTTGGCCAATTAATTTCTTTCAACTTATAGTAGACACGGGGTCTCACTCTTATTCAGGCTGGTTTCGAACTCCTGACCTCGAGCGATCCTCCCGCCTCAGCCTCCTAAAGGAGTATCTTTTTTTTTAAAGAGTTTTTTAGTTGCAGATAACAAACTCTTTTACCTTAAGAAAGAAAATGAGGATTGTATTACAAGAACATGGCTATGTCAATTTGTCACAGTTTGTCACTTTGCTATTTGTTCACAGAAAGTGCATCCAAACCTTAGAAAAGTCTATGACTAAGAACTGTAGAGTCCTCAAGAACCTGTTTCCATATCTGTCATTCTCTGTTTCCCTGGTTGCGTAGTCTCATGTATCTGCTTCTCTTTGAATGCCTGCTATTTGCTGTGTGACTTTGGACAAGTCTTAATATGTCTGTTTCCTTGTGTGAAAAAAAATGGTATATTAGTTTCCTGTGCTGCTGTAACAAATTACCAGAAACCGAATGCCTTAAAACAAGAATTTATTCTCTCACAATTCTGGAAGCCATAAGTCCAAAATCAGTATCCCAGGGCAGAAATGAAGGTATTGGCAGAGCCATGTTTCCTTTGGAAGCTCTAGGGGAGAATCCATTTCTTGCCTTTTCCAACTTTAGGTAACTGCTAGCATGTGGCAAATTGCTGCTTCTGTCTTCACATCGCCTTCTCTGTATATATGTTTTTCTTCTTCTCTTCTGTCTGTCAAATCTCCCTCTGCTCTCTCTTTTGAAGACACTTGTGATTGCATTTAAGGACCACCCATACAATTCAGAATAATCCCCTAAATCAAGATCCTTAATGAAACCACATCTGCAAAGACCTCTTTTCTTTATAAGGGAACATTTACAGGTTTTAAGGATTAGGACCTGATGATTTCTATGGGTGGCAGTTATTTAGCTTACTACAAATAGCAATCATAAAGATTTATCTCAAAGTTGGCATATAAGAGCTCCATAAATGCAAGCCTCCTTCCTTTTCTGCATCCCTCCTATATACACCACCATGACCCTCATTTAACATTGCCTTCAAGTGCTTTTCTTTTCAGGAATGTCATTATCACATTAAGTGTGGACCTGCTGGGATAATAATGATGACAATAATTAGTAACAGTTATTAAATGTCTGTTGTAGCCCAAGTTCAGTGATGAGTACTTTATCCATGGGATATAGATACCATTATAACCCCCATTTTACAGATGAGAGAAATTAGACTCAGAAAGGTAAAGTAGATCAATTTGCTTAACATCACTGCTGTATCCATGCCTTAGAACAAACAGTGCCTGGAATAGAATAGTTGCTTAGTAAACCTCTATTGGATGGATGGATGGCTTAGCTGGGCATGGTTAAAACTTCTTCACTTGTTAACAATTATAACTATCATTTATTGAGTGTATACCATATGCTAGGCACTTAAATATATTGTCAGTAATACTTACCCCACCACCTTACAGGATAGGATTAATGGACTGTGCATGAGGAGGGTAAGGGAGACAGAGGAGTCTAAGATATTTCCTAGGTTTCTGTCCTAGGATACTGGTCCAAGTGATGATGAAACCCAGGAGGAGGAGTGTGAGTTGTTTTTTTTATTATGTTATTAAGTATGGAATGTCCAGTCTCCTTAGATACTAAGTTTGACAGTTGATATCTCTGACATTTCACTTTGACACATCTTGTTGGGTTTTTTGTTTGTTTGTTTTTTATTGTGAAGGTACATCCTCATACATCCAAATGCACATTTTGGCTTGTGATTATCTTTAAAATTTTTTTTAAGAGCAGTTTTTGTGAAACGATGGATATGCCAAAAATTTGTGTTATTTTTTAATATGAGTTCCATTGTGGAACCAATATAGTGCAGACAGCTTGAAATATCAGTGAAGTGTTTGGAAAGAATGTGGCTAATGAACACACAGTGTATCAGTGGTTTGAGAAGTTCCATTCTGGCTATTTTAATCTTGAAAATGAGCCATGTGGGTGACCTGAGACCAAGGCGGATAATGATGAGCTGAAAGCTGTAGTGGAAGTGAATCCATCTCAACCTACACGGTGTTTAGCAGCAAGTTTTGACATTACTGTTCCAACAGTGTTGGACCATTTAAAACAAATGGGCAAGGTAAGGAAGCTGGATAGATGGGTACCAGATGAATTAAATGAGCATCAGAAGAGAAATCATATCAAAGCTTGCCTTTCTTTGCTGTCACGACATAAAGGCAAACCATTTCTACACTATATTGTTACATGTGATGGAAATGGATTCTTTTTGACAGTTGCAAGCATTCAGCACAAATGGTTGGATAAAGATGAAGCACTGAAACACAGTCCAGGACTGAATATTCGTCACAAAAAGCTAATGGTGTCCTGTTTGGTGGTCCAGTGCCAGTATTATCTACTATAGCTTTATGAAATCTGGTCAGTTGATTACAGCAGATGTCTACTGCAACCAATGGGATGAAATGATGAGGTTGCTTATGATTAAATAGCCGAGATTGGTCGATAGAGACAGGCCAATCCTCTTGCAAAACCACATGTTGCAAAAAACAACACTGCTCAAATGATAGAAGCTGGACTTGGAAACTCTCTGTCATCCACTGTATTCACCAGACCTTGCACCAACTGACTACCTCCAACTGACTTCTTCCAGGCTTTGGACCACTTCTTGCAAGGAAATATATTAAATTCTTAACAAGCTGTGGAAAATGCCTTTTGCAATTTCATCTCCACTTGCTCTCTAGGCTTCTTTGCTGCTGGTATAAACAAGCTACCATTAAGATGACAAAACTGTGTCAATAGTTTAGGCACACACTCTGATTCATTGTACTGCTTCATGTTTGAGATGTAATAAACTAAACTTTTGAGTCGAAATCGGACATTTCATATTTAATGACCTAATAGGTTGTGTCTTCAGGTAGATGCAGGGACTATTCTTGGGACAGAGTTTTCAAAGATGTGCTCCCTGTTTGCCCTTTATCCTGGAGTTCTTACTCTACACAAAGCATGGTTGCTTGTTTTAGGAACTGCAGGCATAAAGCCATTATTTCTACTGTGCTCTAACTTGAACATTTTCAGTTTCTGTTCCAGATGATCGGGCTGAACAACGAACCTGTCTCATTTGTGGGGATCGTGCTACAGGATTGCACTATGGGATCATCTCCTGTGAGGGCTGCAAAGGGTTTTTCAAGCGGAGCATTTGCAACAAACGGGTATATCGGTGCAGTCGTGACAAGAACTGTGTCATGTCTCGGAAGCAGAGGAACAGGTGCCAGTACTGCCGCCTGCTCAAATGCCTTCAGATGGGGATGAACCGGAAGGGTGAGTGGTACTCATGGCTCTCACTGTACACCCTTCATTCATCACTTTTCCTTTAATGTCAGCTATTATGCTTTGGAGTTATTAATTTCCCAAGCCTGTTCTATATATTAGGCTTTATACTCATAATCCAAAAAATGAATCTGGTATAGTCCCTATCTATTGGAACCTCCCAGACTACATGGGGAGAAAGACTGGTGAGATGTTAAGGATTCTGTGGGAATAAATGTGCTAACCTCATGTGGCAAAATCCCAGTTAACAATCAAGTCCTAACTGGGATTAATATACTGCATTAGTTCTTTCAGGGGATGATGACAGGAAGTAGAAATTTTGGATGGAAAAGCATGAGGTGGGAGGTACCCCTGAAGGCGATATCATTTTGTTTTCTAGAACTATGGTGAACTCAGAGGCTAGGCATGCTCAGATGTCAGCATCCAGGTTGGTGGGGAGTTAGGGATTTTTGGGAAGCTTTCCAGGAGCAATTAGCCTGAGATGACCTGAATAAACTGATATTCTGGCCGGGCGCGGTGGCTCACGCCTGTAATCCTAGCTCTCTGGGAGGCCGAGGCGGGCGGATCGCTCGAGGTCGGGAGTTCGAAACCAGCCTGAGCAAGAGCAAGACCCCGTCTCTACTATAAATAGAAAGAAACTAATTGGCCAACTAATATATATAGAAAATATTAGCCGGGCATGGTGGCTCATGCCTGTAGTCCCAGCTACTTGGGAGGCTGAGACAGAAGGATTGCTTGAGCCCAGGAGTTTGAGGTTGCTGTGAGCTAGGCTGACGCCACGGCACTCACTCTAGCCTAGGCAACAAAGCAAGACTCTGTCTCAAAAAAAAATAAAAAATAAAAAAAAATAAAAAAATAAAAATAAACTGATATTCTGATAGGATTAATATGAAGGACAGCTTTGAAGGATGGATTGGGGTAAAGAAAGCAGAAAAGTCACCTAGAAAGTTTTTTAGAAGAGTCCAGAAGGAAAGATGTAAAGGATCTGAAGGAGGGAAGGGGAAAGAGACACAGCTGGGGAGATGTCATGAAAGAACCCGATAGGAATTGGTAACACACAGAATATTGGGCAGCACCAGAAGTTAAAGTTGAAGATTTAGATTAAGAGTAATGGTCCTACCAGGAAAAAAGAAGTCAGACTAAAAAGCAGGGTGGGGCAAATGTTGGCCTTGGCAATGCTGAGTTTGAGGTACCTGAAAAGGACACATAGTGCTGTCTACCAAGGAAGTCAGATATTTAGAATTGAACTGAGGTGAAAAGTCCTGCCTGCAAAGAGAGGTTTGTGGAGCTGTTGGCATAGAAGTGGTAGTTAAAGTCTTATCAGTGGGTAAAAATCACCCACAGGGAGAGTTTAGATACAGAAGCAAGAAGAACCAATGTCAGAACCCTAGAGGAGTAGTCCCATGGAGGGTGGCAAATAGAGTACAGCAGTGTCATTCAGTAGAAAGAACAGAGGCTCTAGAGCAGACACCCTCAAACTACGGCTGCGGGCCACGTGCTGCCCACCTAGGACATTTATCCGGCCCGCCAGGTGTTTTTGCCACTGCTGCCTGTCCTCCTTAGCAGCCAACTCGTCCCAGGCCCACAGTGCACACTCTCCAACAGTCTGAGGGACAGTGAACTGGCCCCCTGTTTAAAAAGTTTGAGGACCCCTGCTCTAGAGGCAGACAGACTAGCTCCGTGACCTTAGGCAGTTTGCTTTATATCTCTGGTACTCAGTTATCTTACCTTTAAAATGGTATAATGATACCCTTCAGAGTTCTCCAGAGGATTATTAATAAATATGATAGCATATATAAAATACCCAACAAGATACTAGGGATAGCAATGCGCAGGAGTTGTGGGGTTAATCAGACTTAGTGAGCTGTTCAGACTGATCTTACAGCATTAATGAATGCAGGCATCCAGATGTACTTCAGATTGGTTTTATTGTGTATGGGATAAGAAGAATCTTTTTAAAACTTGCACATTATAAAGAAAGGTAAGAGAGATATGGAAAGACATTTAGATAAATTTAGGTAGATGGAGTTGGGGTTTTTGTTTGTTTCTTTCTTTATAGAGACAGGATCACACTGTGCTGCCCATGCTGGAATACAGTGGCATGATCATAGCTCATTGCAACCTCTAATTCCTGGGCTCACACGATCCTCCTACCTCAGCCTCTTGAGTAGCTGGAACTATAGGTGTGTACCACCACACCTAGTTTAGGTGGTTTATAATTCATTTATAATACTAATATTTATTGAGCACTTATGTATACCAGAAACTTCTATGTCATTGAATACACACAACAACCCTGTTATTAACTATTATCTCCAATTTATAGATGTGGTTTAGGGAAGTAAAATGACTTAGCAATAGTTAATTTAGGGGTGGTTATGTTGACAGTTAATATTAATAATTATTAAATTATAATTTGTTATTATTCAAGCAGAGCTTTACATAACCTGGATAACAGACTGCTTTACATGTCTACCATATAGCATAGCTGTTTGCATGTTGGAATGCCCAGTGTTCGCTGAAGGATAAACCATTGTAGAACATTTGAAGTGTTTGTCCCCTGCCTGTCTTTCTAACTCATTTTCTGCCTTGAACACTGTGCATCAAGGATGCCTTACACTGCCCTGCCTGTGCTCAGGTTTTTTCCTCTACCTGGAAATCCTTTCCCTTCTCCACTATCAGTTTCCTCTTACAGAAATCTTTTCCAGCCACCAATACCAAACAAAACTATCCTGAAGAGAGTCTGTGGTCATCTTCCCACTTTCACCCTGATTTGGTTTTGGCGTTCACTTTTCTCATCTCCCTTGTTGCCCTCACTGTGAATATTTTATCAAAGCATAGTTATGAGTTACCTTTTTGACTGTTCTCTGATGAATCAATCATCCCACTTATTCAGATGAAGTGTGAGATTCTGAGGCTTCCAACCAAACTCACCTATTTTAAAGAAACTTAATCTCATAACCCTTCTAACCATAGGCAGGAGAAAATGACACATGGGGTATGAGGAATAGGGAGCTGTCTCCCTAGGCCTATTTGCATGCAGAACCCGCAGGCCCAAGTTGCCTGGTAAAGGCTGCCTCTCAGAGAGAAACCCTGCCACCTCTTGGTTGGTGCTGAGAAAGCAGGATTAAAATTGCAGTTGCCATGGGAATATTTGGGGGGTAAGTAATATTCTGTGTGGAAATGTGGTGATTGACACATAATTCTATGCATTTGTCAAAACCCAGAGAACTATACACCACAAAAAAGTAAATTTTACTACCTGTAGATTTTTTTTTTAATCAACCAGGATATGAGGGGGTGGGGAAGGGGCACAGAGAAATGGAATGCACACTGCGACAAATAAATCTAACTGGTATTACAAATGAATCACATAGCCACACAGAAGGGGATGGTGAAGAAAGCAGTTGACCTTTGAAAACAGTGTTTTGACTGTATACTGTAAGGCTAAAGACAAAGTGAAATATATAAACAAAGCACTCTAGTTTGTAAAATTTGTTCCTTTCGAGGTTATGTGTTAGGAATTCTCTTGCTACTTTATTTGTATACTAGGGTTGAACAAGTGAATAAATATATTGGGGACAATGAGAATCAGGTTTCTCACATCAGAGAAGGAAGTTATAAATCAGGACATGAGAAAGCTAGAAAGAAATCTCTGGTGCTAGATTAGAACCAGTGGTGTCAATATGTACTCATCTTTCAATATGTACTCATGTTTATATGGCTAGATAGACATAAAAATAGAGATGTGTGGGGGCATATGAGTTAGTATACATACATCTGTTTCCAAGCTCTAGTCACTGAAAAAGACTAGAAGCCATAATACCCCAATAGCAATGAGCATACCTAGCACCCAGATCTAGCACCCAAATATCAGTAAAGGAATCAGGACTCCTTGGAGTACTAGTTGATTTCAGGGCTGGGCAAGGAAATATGAAATGAGCCTGGAGTATCTTATGGTGCTAGAAAGTTAGCTTCTCTCCAGCTCTAACCCTTGGTATTCTACCCACCCCCATGCTTTAGCCAGATTGAACCAGTTGCAAGTTCCCAGAAAGAACAGTCCATTCTTTCTTCTTACTTTTAACCTGAAGTTTTTCTGTATACTGTTCACTCAACCTAGAGCACTCTTTTCCTTCCTGCCTAAATCCTACTCAGCCTTTACAACTCGGTTCAGCAGTTGTCTTTTCCAGAAGCTTTGCCTGATCCTAGGCCCCTCCTATAATTACAAATCAGGGATTCCTTCTATGTGCTTCTATATTAAGTGCTCCATAAACAGTGATGATAATAGTATTTGTAGCTGTTAATCTTAGTGAGGCTGGTGATATTTAAAAGATGCTTTTTATAGTTAGAAAATGCTAAGTAAGCTCCTTCCACTGCAAAGGAGCTCTATTTGACTGCCTTTGCAGGGAGGAACCAGTGAGGTCAAAATTCCAATTAATGGGCCGGGTGTGGTGGCTCACGCCTGTAATCCTAGCACTCTGGAAGGCTGAAGCAGGTGGATCATTTGAGCTCAGGAGTTTGAGACCAACCTGAGCAAGAGTGAGACTCTGTTGCTACTAAAAAAAAATAAATAAATAAAAATTAGCTGGACAGCTAAAAGTATACATATCAAAAATTAGCCGGGCATGGTGGCACAAGCCTGTAGTCCCAGCAACTCGGGAGGCTAAGGCAGTAGGATTGCTTGAGCCCAGGAGTTTGAGGTTGCTGTGAGCTAGGCTGATGCAATAGCACTCTAGCTCAGGCAATAAAGTGAGATTTTGTCTAAAAAAAAAAAAAATCCAGTTAATGAAAAAAGCAAAAGCACAAACCTATTCTCCTGATTCTATTAATCAAACCTAATCTTAGGCTGGGAATAAAAGATAGTATTTTTAAAAATAGAAATAGTCTCTCTATTCCTCCCCTGGAATTTACCAAAGCCTTCAGATGCATCATCCTGGTGGGATATTTATAAGTGGGACTTATATGGATATTTATAAGTGGGACTAGTTAACAGTGCTGTCACCTTTATTGAGCATACTGAATGTATACAGTGTGTGTATGTAGTATGCACCCAGTGCCTTGAGTACCCAAATATTGCTGCCTATGTAGTACCCTGGCATAATAGAAAGAGGTGTATGCTTTGGGTACAGAAAGACCTGTGTTTTAATCTTGGCTTCACTAATTACCATCTGTGCTTTTGGCCAAATAAATTCTCTTTTTGTGCTTAGACTTCTGTGAACATGCTTCTGACTATCTTTCTTGACTTATGTTTTCTTCCAGCTATCAGAGAAGATGGCATGCCTGGAGGCCGGAATAAGAGCATTGGGCCAGTACAGGTGAGTTCCAGGCCTCACTTGCTGTGATCCATGCTGGAGCTGCTCCCTTTGATCCTTTCATCTGCTGCTAGGGGGAGCCATTCCTATAAAATGGGAATTTTGCATTCATTCCTATAAAACTGCTTTTCAAACCTGGATGTGAAAGTGCTTTGAAAATCTTACATTTATAAGGTAATGATTAAAGCTCTTCTTGTGATCCCTCAACTCTTCCTAAGGATTTCATAGGCAGTGAACCCAATTCCAGTCTGAACCATCTAGATGATTTTCTTGTCAATCACTTAAGGTTACAGATAACTTAGCTTGGCAGAAATCAGCAAGACTATTTTGCTCTCATTTTATCTAAAGATATATTAGCAGAATGTTCATTGTCTTATTTGTAAAGTAGGAATAATACTCATTCAATCCCATAGACCTTTATGAAGTTCCTATTCTTCCAGGGCTTGTACTGTGAACTCATCTATTGGGAAACAGATATATACATAGACATCATAGTACAATGAGAGATAACAGAGGATGCACATGGAGTACAGTGGGAGGGGCCTCTATTCTGTTTGGACTAGATCCATGGTTGGGGACTGGAGACACCCAGGAAAGGCTTCCTAAACAAGGTAAAGTTTGAACTGAGTCTTGGAGGAGAGGGAAGAATTAGCTGTGTTGGGAAGGGATGGAAAGACAAGCATCTTTTATTCATGCTAGACAGAATAGACTGTAAAAAGACCCAAAGATGAGTGTTTAAGGAATTACAAGGAGTTTGTTCAGTTAGGCTGGAACATTGGGCACAGGTAGTGGAGTGGCAGGAGGTGAGGCAGATTCCTTGAGTGGCCTTCAGCTATCTCTGTCTATAGTTCCTTAGTAAAAGCTTTTGTGGGGCCAGCCTATACCACTGGTTCTTACTTCCCTGCAGGAGAAGAACTTATTTATGACCCATCAAATGAATCAATAGGCAGGAAGAATGCCTTAAGAATTATTGGTATGGACCAAGAGGTAACCACTAAAAGGTTTTAAGTAGAGAGAGGGACATACTCAGATTTGCATTTTAGAAAGATCATCTAGCACTGAAAATGGTTTCTGAGAAATGGAATGAAAGTGAGTGAAAGGGAGGGAGAGAGAAAGCAGTTAGGTTTTGTAGAAGTCCCAGGCAAGAGATATATAGATAGTAGTTTGAAGCAGAGCAACGACAGTTGCAGATTGAGAGGAGGGTATAGATTCAAGAGATATTTAATAGGTAAATTGATAGGAGTTAGCCAATTAAATGTGGAGAAATGAAAACAGGAGTTTAGAGTTGTTTTGAGTTATACACTGATGATATATGGGGAATTTCCTATCACATGAGCTTGGTAAATAGTATATACTCAATCCTGGTGTGTGTGTATAAGATTCCCAACTCTGCTAGATTCATTTTTTTTAATCAAATATTTTTTTATTCTTATTATTCAAATAATATATATCTCTTATAAATTCATCTATTTTGGTCTGGGCTAATAGCTTCTCTTTTTAAAAAAATTCTGGTAAAAATGATTTAACATGGAAGTCTACCTTCTTAACAACAACAAAAAATTTTTTTTGAGAGTAAGGATCTTGCTGGTACCCAGGCTGGAGTGCAGTGGCACAATCTTAGCTCACCACAGCCTCTAACTCGGGGTTCAAGCCATCCTCCCACCTCAGCCTTCCAAGTAGCTGGGTCTACAAGGCATGCACTAAAATGCCTGGCTAATTTTAAAAAAAATTTTTTTAGAGACGCTGTCTTCCTGTGTTGTCCAGGCTGGTCTTGAACTTCTGAGCTCAAGCAATCCACCTGCCTTGGCCTTCCAAAGTGCTGGGATTATAGGTGTGAGCCACCACACACAGCCCCTTAACAAATTTTTAAGTATATGGTACGGTTTTGTTGACTGTATGTACATTGTTATACAGCAGATCTTTAGAACTTTTTCATCTTACATGACTCAAACTCTATACCCATTGACTCCTATTCGCCCCTCTTCTCATCCCCTGGCAACCACCATACTTTATGTTTCTAAGAATTTGCCTACTTTAGATACCTCATAAAGTGGAATCATGCAGTATTTGTCCTTCCATAACTAGCTTATTTCACTTAGCATAATGTCATCAAAGTTCATCCTTATTATTACATGGCATATAAGAGGATTTCCTTCTTTTTTAAGGCAGTATGTATATACCACATTTTCTTTTGCATTCCTCCATCATTGGACATTTAGGTTGTTTCTACCTCTTGGCTATTTTGAATAATGCTGCAATGAATATGGGAATGCAAATATCTATTTGAGATCCTGATTTCAGTTCTTTTGGATAAATACCCAGAAGTGGGATTGTTGAATCATATGGTGGTTTTATTTTTAATTTCTTGAGGAACTTCCACGCTCTTTTCCATAGTGGTTGCACCATTTTACATTCCTACTAACAGTGCACAAGGGTTTTAGTTTCTTCACGTCCTTGTCAACACTTACTATTTTCTGCATCTTTTTTTGGACATCTTAACAGGTGTAAGGTAATATCTTGTAGTTTGTATTTGCATTTCTCTCATGATTAGTGATGTTGAGCATCTTTTCATATATCTGTTGGCCATTTATTTCCTTTGGAGAAATGTCTGTTCAAGTCTTATTCTCATTTTTAATTGGGTTATTTGTTTTTTCTTATTTAATTATAGGAGTTCAATATCTATTTTGGATATTAACTCCTTATGAGTTGTATGGCTTGCAAATACTTTCTCCCATCTCATAGGTTGCCTTTTATCCTGTTGATTGTTTCCTTTGTTGCACAGAGGGTTTTTAGTTTGATGTAGTCCCACTTGGCTATTTTTGCCCTTGTTGCCTGTACTTTTGGTGTCTTATCCAGTCATTGCCAAGATCATTGTTATGAAGCTTTTTCCCTGTGTTTTCTTCTAGGAGTTTTATAGTTTCAGGTCTTATATTTATAAAGTCTTTAATCTATTTTTAGTTGATTTTCATGTATATGTAAGATAAGGGTCCAATTTCATTTTTTTGCATGTGGATGTAGTTTTCCCAGCATTATTTGTTGAAGAAACTGTCCTTTCCCCATTGTGCAGTCTTAGAACCTTTGTCAAAGATCACTGGACCATATATTACTATGTGAGTTTATTTCTGGGTTCCCTATTCTGTTTCATTGGATTATATGTATGTCTTTATGCCAGTACCACACTGTTTTGATTACTATAGCTTTGTAATATGTTTTGAAATTGAAGTGTGTGGCCTCCAGCTTTGTTGTTTTTTTCTCAAGATTTTTCTGGCTATTCGGGGTTCTTTTCTTGCCTAATTGATCTGACTAGGACTTCCAGTACTATGTTGAATAAGAGTGGCAAGAGTGAGCATCCTTGCATTGTTCTTGATCTTAGAGTAAAAACTTTCAGTTTTTCACCATTGAGTATGATAATAGCTATGAGCTTTTCATATATGGCCTTTATTTATATTCACTCTTTTTATGTTTAGTTGCAGTAGAATGTTTGTCCATTGGGAAGAATTCTAGAATATTTCCTCAATGAAGAACCTTTTTCAGTAGTACCTAATGTTTTTTAAATACCCTGTGTGACTTTCCTACTGTGCCAGGGATCTTTAGCCCCTTACATCTCCATACTCTGTGTTCTCTCCAGAATGGAAAGCACTATTGCTCACAGAAACCCATTCACCTGTCACTGCATTTGACTTTGTGATACTGGGCGTATCCTTTTGGTCTTTAACTGTTTATAGGTAGTATGTTAGGCAGAGAGATCTGTTCTTAATTGTGTTTAATTATTTTAAATAATAAAAACAAGAAGGGGTAGAATTTTCATTTATTGAGCACCCATTTTGCACCTGTACTATCTTAGATTAATCTCCAAGTCTGTCTGACACAAACCTGCATACTTCTTTGCTCCAGTATCCCTTGAGGGAACCATGAGCTACAAGGGAGATGGTATTATCTCCATTTTACAGATGAGGGTACTGAGGCTAAAAGAGCTTGAGTGACTTGCCCAACAGCACCCAGCTAGGAAATGACAAATGAGATTTGAACCTAGGTTCAAGCACTCCCAACATACTCTGTTCCCTGTTCAGTGCATCCATGATTGCCCAGTGTCCTATGGGATCCGCAGGGAGAGACAGGTGCAGACCAACTTCCATTCCCAACTGAAATGAGCTATTTCACCAGAACTGGCCCTTTTCAACCAGCCCAAGTACTTCCATGGTTTCCAAGCTCTGGTCCTGCTCTCACCACCATCACTGAGAGCTTCTTTAGTCAGGGCCTTAGCAAATGTCATGCACTTTGATGGCACAGTTTGTCTTCATATGTCTTGTAAAGCGTGAACAATGATTTAAGAGTTCTAAGGACCCCTAAGAGAAAAGTTGTTTGCTACATGTGACTGAATTTAAAACACACACACACACACACACTCCCTCTAGTTTAATATGTAATCCAAGTTATTTCAGACAAACCACTCAACTTATACACCAACTTATACACTCAACTTATACACCAGTTAAGTGTTTCTTGTTTCCCCTCCAAGTCCTGTGTATTAGCTGGCTTCCAGTTCTAAATGTTCCTGTAATTTACTATCAAGGCAGTTCAGGGTTCCTTCACAGGCTGCTCAAGTAAAGAAGTATATCAATTTTAGTCAGATAGACTTGGGAGAAAATGTCCTCCCAGGTTTCTATAGGAACAACAAATAAAAATTCTTCTGGCCCCTCCTCCTTAGCACTCATTCTCACTCTTTATGCTGAGTTTAGCCAGTTAGGCCTGAAATCTGGGTTAGATACTTTATAGAAGCTTATTCACTTCCTGTATGGTATAGTAACTAGAGCACTGTACTTAATATTTGGGTACTTTGGCCTCTTCCTCTAACTCTTGCCCAGACATGGATACACAGTATGATCTTGGGCACATCAGTTCACTTGTGTGAGTTGCAGTTTTGTTTTTTTTTTTAATTCAATATGCTTTCTTACTGAAAAAAAAAATTCATGCAAAGGTACATGGTAGGTACTTAATAAATGAACATTTGTGGCCGGGCGCGGTGGCTCACGCCTGTAATCCTAGCTCTCTGGGAGGCCGAGGCGGGCGGATTGCTCAAGGTCAGGAGTTCAAAACCAGCCTGAGCAAGAGCGAGACCCCATCTCTACTATAAATAGAAAGAAACTAATTGGCCAACTGATATATATATAAAAAATTAGCCGGGCATGGTGGCGCATGCCTGTAGTCCCAGCTACTCGGGAGGCTGAGACAGAAGGATCGCTCGAGCCCAGGAGTTTGAGGTTGCTGTGAGCTAGGCTGACGCCACGGCACTCACTCTAGCCTGGGCAACAAATCGAGACTCTGTCTCAAAAAAAAAAATAAAAAAATAAATGAACATTTGTTTATTTATTTAACATGCATTTACTAAGTACTTTTTTCTAGATCCCCTCGTGGTTTTAGGTCTTGTATAGGGTATTTTTATAATATATCATCACACATTTTATAAAAATAGTAATTGTTGCTATGTACCAGGCTCTTTTATAAATATTTGAAACACATTAACTAATTTAATCCTCATAACCATCCTCTGAGGTAGCTACTATTATTCTCTTCACCATACAGATGAAGGAATTTAGGTTCAAATATTTAAATGGCTTCACCAATATTGTGCAACTAGAAGTTACAGAACCTGGATTTGAACAAAGATAGTCTGGCTCCAGAATTCTTACCCTTAACCACTATGTTGTTCTGCCTCTTGCAGAATACATAGAATTATGAGTTGATAGAAAAAGGACTTAAAATTCTGTCTAGGTAGTAGTAGAAAGCTTCACAAAGGAGGTTATATTTGAATTGGGTCTTAAGGGCTAATGGAAGATTGTCATTGAGGAATGGTGTTTCAGGGTTAGGAAGGAATAGACTCAAGGACAAAGAGTATTGAAGAACCTAGAGGCTTTGTTGCTTGAGAGTAGGGTAAATGAGCAAGATGAGGGCCATAATGGGACATGGTGCCGGGAGGCAAGCAGCCAAGCTGTCCTAAGATTAGTGAGAGGCCTGGAGTATAGGGGTGAAAGAGAGGGAATGTGGGTCTCTCTCTAGATAGTCTTGGGAATCGTCATGAGATTTGAATAAGCTCTCAGCCCCAAAGAAGGAATAGAGGGAGTGTCCTGAGCATCCAATCTAACATGTATTGATTCCTTGTTTAAGATATCAGAAGAAGAGATCGAAAGGATTATGTCTGGGCAGGAGTTTGAAGAAGAGGCCAATCACTGGAGCAACCATGGTGATAGCGACCACAGTTCCCCTGGAAACAGGGCTTCAGAGAGCAACCAGCCTTCACCAGGCTCCACGCTATCGTCCAGGTGAGCTTTAAGGCAAACTATTTCAGCTAGATATTTGTACTCTTGCTCCCTCGGGCTCTTAGGGAAAGGACCAGGATGATTCAAAGCAGTGTTTCCTAGCCCATATTTTTGCTAAAGTCCTTAAAGTGTCAGTAGTCTCTTTTGCAGACTGATAAAGTGCTATAGCTTCTATTAATGTCCATACATTCTTCAGACTAACATTTTATTTTATTTATTTTTTTTTTTTTATTTTTGAGACCAAGACTGATGACACAGACTAACATTTTAAATGAAGTTCTTTTCCCTCGTTTATCTTATTACTGAAATAAAGAAACCACATTGACACTATTGAATTAAGTTATAATTTCTCTGCCTTGCAAGAGTCAGTGTTTTTGCTTTATAAATTTTAAGAAACATTGAAGGATTTTTAAGCCAGGCAAATTTGCTGCCATAAGAGAATATAAATTTAGAAACTCTTGATTCAAGAGTTTAGTTAGTTGTTAGGTATGAAACAGATCTGTCAGCTACCAGGGAAGGTTTCCTTTCCCCAGAAACCTCTCTCTCTCTTTTTTTTTTTTTTTTCAAAAATATTTTAGTAAATGAAAAATAAGCAAAAATATTTTAGATATTATTATTTAATAGATATCCACAAGAAAACATTTTGTTTTGTGCAGAGGTATGAACAGGTAATTCACTAAAAAGAAATACTGATAGAAAATAAATGGTCTCAGTAACAATAAAAGAAATGCAACTAAATTTTTGCCCACCAAAGTGGCAAAGTTTTTGGTGGTGGTAGTGGTAGTGTTTATTTTAATGATAATATGCAGTTGGCTGTTAGATAAAATCAATCTCTTGCACCTCTTTAGGAAATGTAAACTGATACAATCTTTCTTCAGAACAATTGGCAACTTGTATCAAAAACTTTTCAAATATACAAACATACATTTTAGTTTAGTAATTCTTTGCCTGAGAAGCAGTCTCTTAAAGAAATATGACTTAGGAGCAAATATTTATGCACAAAGATAATTATCACAGCATTATTAATATTATTAAAAATCAGCAACAATTTAGATGACTAAAAAACCTAGAATTGGCTATGTTAAGTCATGGTGTATTTATTGGATTAAATATTATGAATCCATAAATATTACATTTATAATATGTTTTTAATGACATAGGAAAATCATATGACATAAAGTGTTCAATGGAAAACAGAACATAAAATGTGTTTATAGTGTGTTCTCAATTACCTTGACTATTCGTATATAATATGCATAGAAAGAAATTTGCCAAACTTTGTTAATAATGATTTTCCCTAGGACACAAACCTTTGTTATAGGACGGAGGTTGACAGACTTTTTCTGTAAAGGCCAAATAGTACATATTTTCTACTTTGCAGGCCTAATAGTCTGGGTCTCAACTGCTCAACTCTGCCTTTAATAGTGTAAAAGCAGCTGTAGACAGTATGTAAACCAGTGAGTATGGCTGTGTTCCAATAAAACTTTATTTATCAAAACAGGCTGGATTTGGCCTGCAGGCCAAAGTTTGTCAACCCCAGTTATAGGAGATATATCTAGGTAAAAGCTAGAGGATTTTTTCAAAATTAGATGACAGAATGGTTAGATTTCTCAAAGAAAGGGAAGAAAGGTAAGAATCTGCCTTTCTCTTCATATTTAATTATAACTTTCATCCTATTCAGCTATTCCTTTAATTAGTTCCTTCCTTTGACTATTTAGGGAGTTGTTGCCACATACCAAGTTCCTTGCTAGGTGCTAGATTTGTTTTGTGGTCTAGCAAGGCACTCAGCCTATCTGCCTTAGTTTTCCTAGCAGTAAAATAATACAGACACCCACTTTTGTCATCATAGTCTATGCGTATCCATTGAAAACTCTCCAGATGTGGCACCTGTACAAAGAATTTATTCAACCAATATTTATTCAGTACCTGAATACTCTGCCAGGCACTGAGTGTCCAATGGTGAGCCCCACATTCACATAAGATCCTTGTTTCACAGATGGGAATCCAGTAGGGGAGACATGCATGTAACCATTAATTAAATGTCCCCAGCCTGATGAAGACACAGACTTCATGGCCAAAAAACACCTAAGCCACCTTCTGGCTCATTTCCTTTGAGTAAGCACTAGACCTGCCATGACTCCACTTGACATGAGACTTTTCTCTCCAGTAGGTCTGTGGAACTAAATGGATTCATGGCATTCAGGGAACAGTACATGGGAATGTCTATGCCTCCACATTATCAATACATACCGCACCTTTTTAGCTATTCTGGCCACTCGCCACTTCTGCCCCCACAAGCTCGCAGCCTGGATCCCCAGTCATACAGTCTGATTCACCAGCTGGTGTCAGCGGAGGACCTGGAGCCATTGGGCACTCCCATGTTGATCGAAGATGGGTGAGTGAGCTCTGCCCTGCCTGGTCCCTTGCAGTCTCAAAGTTTCCCTACCCCAAACCCACCTGCATCCCTGGCTGCTATACTATACCCCAGCTTCAGAATGAGTCAGGAGGATAATGACTCAAGCATCAGAAGACAAATCTGTACTTATCTTTGAAGTCAGTCGACCTTGATTTTTTTCCTTAGGCATCTTTTCTCATAGAGTTTGGGTTACTTTTCAGTTACTATGGAATTGGGATTGAAGGATCTTTGTTTCTTCTTGCACCTAGGTAAGCCAGGCCCTGGGATGGTCTGAGTGTTTTGGTGTTAGAGATAAGCTGTAATTCTATGGATAATTATGCATCAAGTCTAGGCTCCTGAGCAAGGGGCTCAAGGCCCTAACTTGTTATGGCCTATCTGCACCCCATGCCAACATACTCATTGGTAGCCTGGTGACATGTGACAGCTTTAGGTGCAGGCTTATGGGTAGAAGGAATACCCTTTAGGCTTCAGTCAGCTCTTCCTGCGTAGATATAGTTCAACCTTCAACCAGGTGCACCCATTACTCCTGTAGCCTGGAACATAAGCTGTTTGAATGTTATCAAGCTTAGACCTCCCAGAAGATGGCCTAAAATTTCTTAAGCTAGCCTCCAATTTCAGAGGAAGAGATTCAAATATTCACCCACAAGAAGGCCACAGAAAGCCTTTATAAATCTGGATGTGGGGATGTGAGGAAAAGTCTTGCCAAGAGCCCTTGAGAGGAAGCAAGCAACTGAGCCTGTGCCTCAGAAACCCCGTTTCTCCCAGAATTGAGAAATGCCCTGCTCCTGCCATCTAGCTGTAGCTTAAAGGAGAGAGTGAGCAACTCTGGTTCCTGAACTCTCACCACCAGAGGGTGCAGTGAGAGCAGGGAAAGCTCCTGAACTAGTTCAATTCTCTTCAGCCATCATCAGCCCTGAGATTATGCCAGTCCCAGTATTGGATCAGTACCAGATCCACCCCACTGGAGTTCTCATTGCCAAAACAAGGACAGGAGTCACTTGGATTTTCTCTAAGACATGTAACATTAGGACGCCAACATTGAAAGACATATTCCCTGATATAATTGCACAAATTTCTAAGCTTCCTTTCACCTTAGCAATCTTTTCTCACCAAACCCACCTCTCCATCCCTGGGCTTTCTGCTGCCCATTTATCAGAAAATTGAATTGAATGAAACTAAAGGTCTTTGAGCAAGGAGCCTGCTGCCAGGGACCCTTTGTTCCCTTAGGAGTACCCCCTCTGTGTGCCCTCACCCTCTGCTGATGGAAGTGACTTTACTCTGTCCCTGACCCCCAGATATGCTGTGACACAGGCAGAGCTGTTTGCCCTACTTTGCCGCCTGGCCGATGAGCTGCTCTTTAGGCAGATTGCCTGGATCAAGAAACTGCCTTTCTTCTGTGAGCTCTCAATCAAGGATTACACGTGCCTCTTGAGCTCTACATGGCAGGAACTAATCCTGCTATCCTCCCTCACCGTTTACAGCAAGCAGATCTTTGGGGAGCTGGCTGACGTCACCGCCAAGTACTCACCCTCTGATGAAGAGCTACACAGGTAAGGGCTCCTGGCTGGGGAGGAAATCCCAAGCAACCAAACCATTGTCATCCCTGCAAAGCAGGGTTGCCTGGCCCTCCGGAGGCTGGGCATTAAACCACACAGGCCTGGATTCGAATCCTCACTCTGCCACTGACCAGCTTTATGGCTTGGCTAAGTCTGTGATCCTCAGGTTCTAAATTTATGAAATGGGGTGATAACAATACCTCCCCAACAAGGTAGTTGTGAGAAATATAATGTAGTCAAGCTTAGCAGACTGCTAAGCTGTTTTTATTGCATCTGGATTTTGATATAGATAATGTATCTGGGAAAACCAAAAATCTGAACTCCACCTACAAGGCAAGAGGGGCTCTGAGCTGGAGTTTACAATCCAAGAAAGAGACCTAGGAGTCTGTTGTGTGCCAGGCACTATGCTAGATATTTTATACTGTCTTATTTCTTTCTCACAGCATCCAGCATTATAGGTATCATTATGCCTTTTTTATAGATGAGAATACTGAAACTCAGACCTGCCCTTGAGGGTTTTAGATTTGAATTCAGAGCCTAGATTTGAGCTTATGCCTGCCTGACTGCAAAGCTTGGGCTCCTTCTCAAATGCAATGAGATATTAAGAGCATGGAACTATAAGACAGCTGTTCTCCTTGCCATTTTCTGGCATAAAGTTTCATCCTAGCCTGCCAGTATCCTTACAACCTCCCTGTCCAGAATGGGCCATCTTCCTCCTTGCTGCTCCATGGCCTGTTCAAGTACACTTTTCACTCACTCACTTTGGTGACCTGGGGCACATGGTGACCATATTTTCTGACTGACAAATGAGGACAAATGGTCTATTGAGACAACTTTTCTGGCTTGTTAATTTATTCATATGAAAGTCTCATAAAGCTTACTTCACATTTAAGTAGACATTTTAATAAATCACTTTATTAGACAGTTTAAAATAATGGAAGTCATGGGATTCCAGGGCACCAAGAGGGAGGAAAGAGAAGGTACCCTTCCTTATCAATGAAAGGTGGAATGGGTGGAATACCAACCCCCACACTTCTCTTCACAGAACTGGGGTACATCTCCCACTGTCACCCAGTCTCAAGCTGGGAACAACTCTAAGACCTTCAAGGGCCCTTTGCATAGCTGAGGGAGGGAGGAGTCTGGGTGTTGACTCTCTTGTCTGGTTTTCTAATATTCCTTTATTAACAATGCTTACTAGCTTCAGAGTGATCTATAAGTGACAGAGTTTTGAACCCAGCTGACACTTTGTCCTATAAACAGAGCTATCTGATTTTGCAGATGACCCTTGTCCAGAGCCTTTAATTCATTGTTTCTATCAAATTCCTGTCTCCTGCTCTGTAACTCTGGGTCATAGGAGTGTTTAGATAGCAGTCAGCCTGCTCTGATATTGTCTGGGTTTGCAGAGCTGGCCCAGGAAGTCCAGCCTCCCTATTTGCCTGGATTTTAACAGTTCAGCCTGGGGCTGCCTACAGAGTCAGCCTTTTGGCTCCACTCCCCATAGAATAATGGGTTTTCTCAGGCCCTCTGCAGGTAGGCAGAGATCACTCACTGGCAGTGCAGGGCTTTCTCTGGCTCTGAACTTCATAAGGCACCCCATCCTACTGTATCTAGTCCCTTAAGCCCCAATACCAAGGCAGGGGCCAATAACAGCTGAATTAATGAGGAAACTTTTTCTTCCTTTATAGGAAGCCTCCTTACCAAGTAGGATCTAAAGCTGCACTGTCAAAGTTAGTAGCCACTAGCCTCATGTGGACTTTTAAATTTAAATTAATTAAAATTAAAAATTTGGTTTCTTGGCTTGGCACGGTGGCTCATGCCTATAATCCTAGAACTCTGGGAGGCCAAGGCTGGCAGATCACTCAAGGTCAGGAGTTCGAAACCAGCCTGAGCAAAAGTGAGACCCTGTGTCTACTAAAAATAGAAAGAAATTAATTGGTCAACTAAAAATATAAAGAAACAATTAGCCGGGCATGGTGGCACATGCCTGTAGTCCCAGCTACTCAGGAGGCTGAGGCAGGAGGATCACTTGAACCCAGGAGTTTGAGGTTGCTGTGAGCTAGGCTGATGCCACAGCACTCTAGCCCGGGCAACAGAGTGAGACTCTGTCTCAAAAAAAAAAAAAAAAAAAAAAAAATTTGGTCTCTCATTTGCACTAGCCACATCTCAAGCATTCAGTACCTACATGTGGCTAGTGGCCACTATACTGGATAGTGCAAGTATAAATCGTTTCCATCATTACAGAAAGTTTTATTGAACAGTACTAACTCTAGAACTCATGTTGCTATTGAGCTCTCAAGTGGGTTCTGAAGATAAGAAATGAATTTGTTGTTAGGACTCTCTCTAATAGAATTCATCAATGGAAAAATAAGAGTTAAACTTAAACATGTTAGCTCTGATTCCATGGCTGTTTACTGAGTATCTGTTGTGTGTGTTTTGGGAGAAAGAAGCTAGATCACAGATGATACAGATATGGTTTCTGATTCTAAGAGTCCCTATTCTTGGTTTAGTGAATTGGAGACAAATAGAAGCAGATACAATTTACAATGCAGTGTTATATTGCTGGAGATTGAGGGGCATATGAAGAACTAAACAAACATGACCTAGGCAATGAGTGCCTCTACTTGCGAGAATCAAGGAAGGCTTACCAGAGGAACAGACATTTGAGCTGCACCTTAAAGTGGGGATTTTGTAGGTACATCGTAGAGGACAGGAGAAAGGCAGGAGAATAACACAAAGTCCTACAAGTTAGGATCCTGGATGGTTGCTATGTGCTGGGAACCAAAAGTAATCCTGTGAATTAGGATATAAAGAGACTGTATCTGAGAGAGACAAATGAAAGGAGAAATGACTGAAGAGAAAGGTAAAGATAAAACAGGTCATGAAGGTGCTCAAATGTCAATCTGAAGAATTTGGATTCTATTGTGTAAATAGTATTATGTCATAGGCAGTTTTTAAGTGGAGGAATTACATGGTCAGGTTGTGTATTAGAAAGATCTCTGTGGCTATAAAGCTCAGGATGGGTTGGTATGGGCAAGACTAGAGCATGGCAGCTAGGCATGAGCCCAGCCCTGGGCATAGCTCAGGTAAAAGAAAACAAGCCCTGGGCAAGGCAGTAGTGATCGGGGGACTAGAAAGGGCAGCACAAAGCCAAGAGAGGTCAAGGAGGGGTAAAGTCAATGAGACGTCAGTGAGTAGAAAGAGTTGGGGATGACTGCTGGTGTTTTGGACTAACCAGACAGTTAGGCACCAGTTCTCTTAGCTAAGATAAAGGAGCCTGGGAAGAACAGGATGGAAGATGAACCTCTCTCAGTTTGGTTTGTGTGTCTGGAGAGTCTGAGATGCAGGTGGGACTGCCCAGGAGGTCATAGGAAATGGAAGTGTAAGAACCTCTGGAGTCAGGTTAATCACTGTAAAGCAGTACCCACTCTGCCAGAAACCCAGGGAGTGGAGTCTGTAATTGGCCATAGCTCTTTCCTGCCTTGCCTGCTGCTGCCTTGCTCCCACTCCCCCAGACTGCCTTTACTTTTTCACAACTCTTGAGTGCAAGTGAGTTCCTGCTGTCATGAAAAGGCTTTTCCCAGATGATACATGACCGCCTCCTTTTCTAGTCTCCAATATTGAATCAAATTTATGGTACCCATATTCCTTAATCAGACTGTTATCATACAGTGAACTGGGTAAATTTGATTTAAAGCAGATTGTAGCACCAGCCAGTGACTGCTCCTGGACCTAATCAAGACTCCTTCACTCTCAGGAGAAGATGTCTTGAGCTAGATGGGCTTTAATGGGCACTTCTATCTCGTGAGCACTAGCTCCATTTCTGCCAGATCTCTGGAAAGTTGCCTTCCAGTTTCCCTGCCTGGACCTTAACTATAAGTCTCAGGAAACACAATCTCTTATTTTTGCTACAATAATGGCAGTGATGATGATGCTATTAATAATGGTAATGGCTAACAACTATAGCATATTTATTATGCCAGATTCCATCTTAAGTGCTTTACATAGGTTATTTGCTGAGTCCTTACCACCCCCCTATAAGACTGGTACTGGTATTATCCCTGTTCTAGAGATGAGGAGCATGACATTCAGAGAAATGAAGACTCAAGGCTACACAACTAGAAAGAGGTAGAGTTAAGATTATCACCTAAGTCTGTTGTGCTCCAAAGCCCCACCTCTTTATACTAAATCTTACTCTCCTAGAGCCTTCTCAAAAGGTGTGACTTTCTGGAATTTGTCTTGGAGCTACAGTCTTACTTTTCATCTTAGAGTCTGTACATGGGTGCTGAGATGACAATTTCTCTAAGGTTGTGGTTAATGACTGCTCCTGGGCTAGGTGCATTTAGGTGAATGAAAAAGAGACAACTAGGTCTCTCAGGCCCCTTAATGGGACATAACTTATATAGTGTCAGCTTCAATTGCTGACTGAATGGTCCAGTGGTTTGGGGGATCCTAGCAGGAATGTTTTCCTTGTCCTAGCATGCTTGTGTAATGGGAACCTAGAAGAAGAATGGGTGTGTTTGTCCAACTTTCTGGCTTTGAATGCTGATAATTTGTAGACAGGGAATACAGGGGCGTCAGAATTGTGGAGTGGGCAGATGTGGAGGAGGCACGGCTGCAAGAGAAAGCAGACCCATGGAACAGAGAACAACTTTGTTTATCAAGGGGTGGGATGCGGGGTGTGAAGGAAAGCTTTGCAGTCAGGCTGTGGAGTCTGAGTGGGGGCTGTTGGGCTGGCTGCCAGTCCCCCCATCACTGGTGGGGGTCTATGATGGCTGCCTGTTGTAGGAAACTTGGGAGAGAGCGACATGCTATCCCCAAGAGAGAGAGGGCAGATCTGGGGCATATGCACAGGCCAGGCACTTGAGAGCTCCTTTGTGTACCTCGGGTCAAGATTCAGCCAAGAACAGGTTTGGCACTGCTGGCCAGGGGTCTGGCTGATAGCCACACACCTGCAGGTTCTGCGGTGCCAGAGTGAGCACTTGGGGAAAGAGGTTGCTGATTAAGGGACAGAGCATTATCTTTGCTTGCTACACTGCTTGGCCACCAGGCAGATGCTGATACTGCTTTTTCCCTTTGCATCCTTCTCTTTTTTTTATACTCTACCCTATTACATCCCCCTACCCCTCCAAGCAAATACTGAAGGGAATTGGCAGTAAAGACCTTATTTTCCTCTCAAGAACATAAGTAGCCCACAAAGTACTATGATGAGGAGGGTCTTAATCTCAGGCACACACTGCCTCCTGCAAGTCTCAGCATCATGGAGGCACCACAGGGGCATTTTGTGCACTGTAGCACACCTAATACCCACCCAGGGATAGGCCCTGGGCAGAGTTGCTGTGAGAACACAGAGCTTCTGATGTCCCCTGTGGCAGCATGTGGTAGCCTTTCCCAGTTAGCAGTTAAGAATAAGACAGGACCAGGGGTGGGCAGTGTAGTACTGAGAAAAGCCCATAGGTTCAGAATTAGAAAACCTAGATTTGAACCTTTGCTCCACCACCACTTATTTACTGTGTAACCTTGGAGAATTCACTTCTTTTTCTTCTTCCTCATCCCTAACATGGAGGTGATATTATTTATCTCCCAGCTTATTAGGAGGATAAAATATAAGAATGTATGTGGAAGGGCCAAATACATAATAAAGACACAGTAAATAATCTCTCTGAGTCTTCATTTCCACACATGATTGAAGGAGATTATGATTAATATCCATTCTGTGGATTTATTAGGAGTATCCAATGAGATAACGTATGTGGAATACTTAAAACGCCTGGCAGGTAGCAAACACTCAACAAATGGTAGAATGATAGATAAGGTTTTAACAGTGGTTATTCAATATAAATTTGTCTGTCAGCTAGTATGGGAACTTATCAATAAAGTTGTAAAAGCTATTGGGCCAGATGGAGAGAGAAACTGAGTTAGCCATCCTAGCTCAAATCAGCAAACTGGAAGAAGCCCCAGCTCAGCCTGACTGAAAGCCATGCCATGAGGCAGAGTTCCAGATTGCAAGTATAGTCATCCCTCAGTATCCGTAGGGAAGTGGTTGCAGGACCTCCATGATAACCAAAATCCACAGTGCTCAAGTCCCTTATAGAAAGTGGTATACTACTTGCATATAACCTACAAATATCCTTTTGTATACTTTAAATCATCTCCAAATTATACAATGTAAATGCCATATAAATTATTGTCATACTGTATTTTTAAATTTTGTATTATTTTTACTGTTGAATCTTAAAAAAAATATTTTCAATCCACAGTTGGTGGAACCCATGGACATAGAACCCACAGATACTGAGGGCTGGCTGTACTTGCTGCTGTGGTTTGCATTGGTGCTTGAAAAGTGCAGGTGCCTCTAGTCCCAACCAGAGCCAGGCTTTTCCTAGGGAAGAGAAAATGTCCTTTTGCCCAAGAAGCCAAAGCCTAGCAAAGCGAATACAGAAAGCAATAGTGCATACCCAGGTGTTCTGGATCCTACCCAGATAGGACCTTCTTGGCCTGGCATGGGTCTGCAGTGCCCAGATCTGAACATGTCACCAAGAAGCAGCCCTGCAGCTGAGCATCTTCTCTTTGTGACTGAGCTGTATCTAAGGCCCATCTAGAACCCTTCTTTGGCTCACTGTCCATCCCACTTCTAGGATGACTGAGGCTGGGCTTGACCCCAGCTTTTATAAACTCCTGCCTCCTTGGATTGGTGGTATCTCCATTTCTGGTATAAAGTATACATAAAGCATTAGTCTCCTGAGGTGGCCTAGCCTGGGGCTCCTGTGCCTAAAACTTGGTCCATCTCCAAGAAACTCACTCCTAACCCAAACAAAGGAGCCTGGCCAGCTTTGAGCCGCCTCTGTTAGAGAACACCACCGTAGATATTGGAAAACCCAAGGCCTTGGGCAGTTAGCTCAGGTTATAAGCTCTAACTCTGCCGCCAACTTCATGTGCTTGGTGGACATATGGACCTCATTTCTTTGAACTTCAGTTTCTCATCTGTATAATGATCATGACTATCTCACCAATCTCATAGGGTTAAGAGAATCAAATGAGATAACACACATAAAGTGCCCAGCACAGAGACTGGCACAGCATGGAAGCTCAATTAATGTTTCCCTCCCTCCCTCCCTAGCTGAGGTCAAGGATGCCAGGAAAAATTCTCACTGTGTATAACATCAACCCTGCTGAAAACAGTGAACCCCTAAGTAAATACAATTAGCAGCTTTTTCTACATTGTGGCAGAGGCTCACGTAGAGTCACCATGGCAGCTGCCATTGATATGAAAGGCTGCATCTCAGCAATAGTGGCATCCTGATAATGTCATATTTCTCTACATTTACATCCCAAACTGCCTTTGGCCCTTGTTAGCCCAGACAGGCAAGCATTATCACCTTACAGAGGAGGACCTGAAATCATAAAAGGGATCAAATGACCCTGCCAAGGTCTCATAACTTGTGTGTGATGGAGCTAGATTTGAACCTAGATTTGATTATCTCTACCCGACCTTGGGAGCTGCAGCTTGTATGAGCTACATTGGCCTCTAGACCAGGCGTCCTCAAACTGTGGCCTGCGGGCCACATGCCGCCTGCCTAGGACATTTATCCAGCCTGTCGGGTATTTCTGCCGCAGCTGCCTGTCCTGCTTAGCAGCCAACTTGTCCTGGGAGCACAGTGCACATTCTCCAACAGTCTGAGGGACAGTGAACTGGCCCCCTGTTTAAAAAGTTTGAGGACCCCTGCTCTAGACAAACCATGGATCTGCATGTACTTCACAAATGGCTCTGGATTCCACTTCCCCAAGCTCAGCCTCTTTCCTGTCATAGATGCCATAGGGCACTGTGGGAGCCCTCTGTCTGCCCTTTCCTGGCCTCCACTGGTATCAGAGCCCACTTTTAACACCTGTGTCTGTTCTCCAGATTTAGTGATGAAGGAATGGAGGTGATCGAGCGGCTTATCTACCTGTATCACAAGTTCCACCAGTTAAAGGTCAGCAACGAGGAGTATGCTTGCATGAAAGCAATTAACTTCTTAAATCAAGGTGAGTGACTGGGGGTGGAGAAAAGGGACTTTTGGAGGAGGCAGTGAGCACTGGCCCTCCTGTTTCACCCCCCTTACCCTCAGGACTGTCAAGCAGAATCTGTCACACCATGTGGGTGCCAATCTTGGAAGGAAAACCTATGTTTCCCATGTTATCACCCTGCCCCTTTATAGTGCAGGGAAAGCTGTGGATTTTTTCTTTAAACCTAAAGGCCACAATGTCTATAACTCATAGAGGAAGGAAGAGGATTCGCTTTGTTTAGTCAGTTTTAATGCATTTAAACACAGACACCAAGGACAGTACATGCGTCATTTAAAATATGTACCAAGTTTACCAGCGACTGAAGAAGAGCAAAGTGACTGATGAAACTATTGGAGATAAGGGCTCTGTGACAGGCTGGCAGCGGTTCTGACAGCCCCTTCAGCATGGAGTGGGGGGTGTACACACACACACACACACACACACACACAAACACATCAAGCATGGCTTTTAATTAGAAGAATGCCGGTTATGTTTTCTGGTGGGCTATTACCTGCAAAGTGCACTTGGTAGCTGTTTGTAACCAGTGTATAAAGGAAAATTCGTATTCTTTTTTCCAAAGTAGCATATGAAAACTCTACTACCAGAATGGAAGTAGGCTATTTTTCTGCCTGTGGTATTGACAGTGCTCTCTTCTCATGTTCAGTTTCCTAGTCCAGAGACTCTTGATCCCCTTCTCTTTGCCCACTGTCCCCCTACATTGGCCAAACCTCCTCCTGCTTCTGCACTACTCATGTGTTTGTTGGTGTTCTGCATGCCTCCCTTAGGCCAAGCCCTGTGCTCGATATTAAAGACATTAAAAAAGCTTAGACCCCAGGTCCCTGGCCTCAAGAAGTATATACTCTGATAGCACTGGACACATTACTTGTACCTCAGATAAGGGGAGATCAGTAGCAACTTCTTGGAGGAGGAGGAGAAAACTAAGGTGGGCCTCCAAGGCTAGGTAAGATTTATATATGGAATATTTATATTTATCTTCTATATATAAAAAGGATGTATGTGTGTATGTGTAGTGTGTGTGTGTATATATATATATAGAGAGAGAGAGAGAGAGAAAGAGAGAGAGAGAGAGAGAGAGAGAGAGAGAGAGAGAGAGAAATCTATATAGAAAAAAATGGAGGGACAGCCCAGGTAGAATAATAAGAGAAGAGGCATATAGATCATGATGCAGGGGAGGGGCACACGCATAATGTGTAGATATCAGGAAAGTTTCTAACTGATTTCAACAAAAGGCAAATTTAAAGATATTGTGAAGGATAAATTTGGAAAGGTAGGCAGGTTATGCAGTCATTCATTCAACATTTCACTGGTGTCTGTTTTGTGCCAAGCCCTTTTTGTGGGAGCTAGTTATGGAGTTGAGAAAGATAGCCTAGTCCTCAAGGGGCTCGGTCTAATTACTGTCCTCTGTCTTTTCTTTCTCTATCTTATTTCTCTTCCCTTATCCAGAGCTTGGTTCCTCCATAATCAGAAAGAGTAAAGATTCCCTATTATGACAATTTGTTTAATAACTTTTCATTGAAAGATACGCATATTCAAGGAGCTGGTGTTTCTTCCACATTAGAAAGCCCCTCTCATTCCTATATGATTTTTTCACAGATATCAGGGGTCTGACCAGTGCCTCACAGCTGGAACAGTTGAACAAGCGCTATTGGTACATTTGCCAGGATTTCACTGAATATAAATATACACATCAGCCGAACCGCTTTCCTGATCTCATGATGTGCTTACCTGAGATTCGATATATTGCAGGTAACATTCTTGGTCTGGGGCTTCCAAACCTTCCTTGCTTCTCTTAGCTTGTAAAGAGAATGAGAAGAGCAGAGTTTTTAGGGTGTTTACACCAGCCCAACTCTTTTATGCCCAACTGTATAAAAGAGTCACTACCCTTGCCCTCCAAAAGTTCTATTATAACAGGAAGTATGTGTTTTCTTTGTAGAGAAAAGAAGCTAACATTTCTTGAGCTCCTATGATGTGCAGGGTACTTTGCGGCCTTTTATCATTTAATCTGCAGGGCTGGTGATTGGCGATATTATGGCTATTCTCTGGATAGGGAAACAGAGAGGCTCAGAGTATCTCAAATTAATTTAATTTCATTAATTGTATACTTTAAAAGAGAGAATTTTATGATATGTGAATTATATCTCAATTTTAAAAATTAACTTCATTTCATAGAATTGGCCAAGGACTTTCAGGAATCACTTATGTACGTGATATCTTTAAAATCCTATGTTTACATAGGAATTTTGTGTGTTGGGGTGTGTACATATGTGTGTTTGTAGGTGGTCTTGACCCCACTTCTTCTGAGCTTCCTGACATTTAAATATGTCCATTTCAATATAAAATCTTGGTTTTTTGTTGTTGTTGCTTTACTTCATTTAATAAAGATTTTTGTTTATGGCTGTCCAGCATATACTAAGGGGCAGTTTGGAAATGTAACCTCTAGATTGGGATTGTTTCTGTAAAATTCAGCAATACAATTTTTGAAGGAAAAAATTTTCAATCTGACAAGAGAATTTTTTTCTAGATATAAGCTGGACCTAAACTCTTTGAATTTTAGGGATGTTTTAGGGATAGTTTGCCTCAGCATTTTAAAACTATATTTTAACAAGTGAGATATTAATCAGGTGCTCTGTGATATAAAGGAAAGTCAATAATTACATACCACTTTTCCCCTATAGAGTTGATTTCTCAGCCCTGGCAGCACTTTTAATCATCTGAGAAGCTTTTAAAAAATATCAGTGTTTGGGTCACACCTCCATAGATTCTGATTTAATTAGTATGGGGTAGAGCTTGGACATCAGTGTTTTTAAACTGCTCCCCAGTTGACTCTAATGTACTGTCTGGAAGAAGAATCACAGCCTTAGGTATTTACAAAGTGTATTAACACACTGAGTGCTCTGAGAAGTCATTTAATAAAGAAACCTTTAAAACTCTTTTAACTCTGATTTTCTCAGATTTATTTATTCCTGTGACCACCCCCATTCCATTTTTCTTCAGTACTTTTATTAACTTATTGTACTTTTCTGAAGTGCAGCATTTTGTAGAATGCTAGTTAGAAAATCTACCAGGAAAAAAAAGTAAATAGTATGTAAGTTTCTCATGATATTTTAACTCTAAGAGGGCATCTAGGACTACCTCTCAGTTTCAGATTCCTTATCTATAAAATTAGGGTAAAAACTAATACCTGTAATACAGAAATATTGTGAGAATTAAATGAGCTATTGTAGTTAACCACCTAGCACAAAGTAAGTATTCCCTGGATAGTAGGATCATTATGATTTCATACCATGACTAGACTGGCTAGGGCACCAAAATGGGTCTGAATATCAGGATGTTAGCCCAGTCTGTCTGACCTTTGTGATACTGCTGGCACTTCTCTTGTCCCAGTCTCTCGGCAAGGTGATACTCTCCCTTCACCAGCCTGAGAAGAAGACTTGCCCTTCCACTGGTATCCTCTGCTAACTCTTTTCCCACCTTGTTCCCAGGAAAGATGGTGAATGTACCCCTGGAGCAGCTGCCCCTTCTCTTTAAGGTGGTGCTGCATTCCTGCAAGACAAGTGTGGGCAAGGAATGACCTGTTCCCAGCGCCCTCCTCAGGCCAACCACACACAGCGCCTTGGGTGGGCAGGACAGGCTGTGCAAGAAAGAGCCAGAGACCAAGATGGAGGCTATGGAGCAGCGTTTCCAGTTGCCTCTATGCAAGAAGAGTTTTTGTTTGTTTGTCTGTTTTTTTAACCTCATTTTTCTATATATTTATTTCACGACAGAGTTGAATGTATGGCCTTCAACATGATGCACATGCTTTTGTGTGAATGCAGCCAATGCATTTCCTTGCAGTTTACAGAATGTGAAGATGTTTAATGTTACAGTGTTGTCATTGTTTAGAAATAGTTCTTTTGTATTTGAGGGAGAGGGTGGGATGGGGCTGAGATGACTATTTCAATAATGTTGACAAAGACGACTACCTCAATGGAAATGGGGGGTGAGACCATCCCTACTTTTTCCACTTTTTCTCAGCAGACTCATACATTTGTCTGTCAGAGAGCAAACTGCCTTTTTCTAGCCATGGAATTGCCAGGTAAAAGAGCACACTGTACGGGGCAAAGTGTTCAGAGATTTACTAAGCAAGGTTACTGAGATGTTTGAAATAGGGCAGAAGATGAAGATTGAGCCATCTCTTTGGAAAGCATGAAAATTGAGAGAGTAGGATGTAGTGACCAAATCTGAGGCAGGTGTCCTCCTACCCAATGAGTCCTAAGGGCAAAAGGGTTTCTATCCTCACACCCTGCTACACCACCACTGTCAGTTTCTTTCTTTAACTGTTGACTTTTCATTCAGGCAAAGTCCTGACCATAAGTCAATGCATAGCCATAGGACTTGCCTGCCATCTCCCTTGGGCTCTCAGCTACCTAGTTTCCTTACCTAGATCTACTAAGGCCTCCCTTCCTCAGACTCCTTCCCTCTTCCTTATAAATTTGACTTCCTAGTGCCCTTTGAAAAACCAGCTGAGCAAAATGCCATGTTTTGCATCCTGGTGCCCACTACTAATTTATTCTTTCATCTTGTTTTCTTCAAAGGGTAGTGGGACAAAAGTCAGACTGCTAAAAGAACAAACACTCCTCCTTTTGAATCCCCTGTTCCTCTCCCTACCCCATCCTACCTCACCGGCCAGGACTGAATCTAAAAACTACACTCTCTTTTTTAAATAGCGGGAAGGGCTGTTCACCTATCTGCTGACCAGAAATTTTGCTCTTAAATACTACCCCAAGTTCTCCTAAGTGAGACCAGATTTCTGCAGGGCCCCAGAACGGAAAGCCCAGGGCCCAGAGTAGCCCAGATGCCCCTTACATTATCAGTGGCCTGGCTAACCAAGGCCTGGAAGGCTGGGGACAAAAGCACGTAGAAGGGAAGGGGGGCTTTAAACTACCTCATGTTCCTAAGGGCCTGGATGCTACCTCTGCAGATATGGCCTAGACCCCTACTTCTTTCACTACCTGCCCCACCTAGTCCTGGAAAGTGTTCCTTACTCTCTTAACGTTGGCCAGTGGCCACACCAGGTCTGTCATGGAACTCTTTCAGGTGCTTTTCCCTTCTCTGCCTTAATACAGCAGTTGCCCCCACCTACACCTAGGTACCTTCTGCAAGTAGTGCAGCAGACATACCAGATAGCTGGATGCATGCCTGGGTGGGCTTGAGGGGCTCACAGCACCTCTTTCTGCCTATTTAGTCAAAGGCTGTTTGCTCTCTCCCCAACTCAGCCTAGTAAACCTACCCAGGAAGCCACCACATCGTGTGCATGCTGGGTAGTCTATGTCTGATTGTAATTTTTTCTTTCTGGTGAAATGTTACGGGTACCAGCAGAGTGGCGATTTTTTTCCCTTGATGAATCTAAAACTCAGAGCATTACTCCTCAATGCCATTCCCCCAACTGCTCTGAAGAGAAGAGACATGTTCCTCAGGAAAATCTTCAACTAGCATGTTTTTCATATCAATGGGAAGATTGTGTGTGTGCATGTGTGTGTATATCTGTTTATTTTTAAGTTCACAGTGTTTTTCTTGTTTCCCTCAATTTTCTATTTAACCAGTTAGATCGCATTCTTTGGCTACAGGTCAGACTCCGAGCTGCTTTCCTCAAGATAGGGGAGGAGGCATATATCAGAAACCCCTTTTCTAAGACAGCTTCTGTTTGCAGCATCTTTCTTTGCTTAGATCTCCATCTGTCAAATTATTATTTTTTGAAATTGCTTTTCAAATTAAACGTTGTGTTGGGTGTCAAAGGAAATTGCTCTCTGATGAGGCAAGAACATGTCTCTCCAATAATGTACTATTAAACAGAGCAAGTTGTTAATTTGTGGAGTGGGGGAAAGGTTCTGCAAGTTGCCATTGTACAAATCCATTTTTACAAATGTTTGCAGCAGATTCCACAGAACAAAGAGCCCATTCATTGCCGAGAGCCCTGCAGAATCTCTGAGCCAAGTGGCCGTGTGTTCCGAGCCGGAGCCTGACCTGTGGACCGCCTTTAATGTCTTCTGTACCCAGTCCTTTATGACGTGGGCTTTTTTTTAAACAGGGTAAAGTGAATGTGTTGCATTGCAAACTCAGGTATTATGAGGAGAAGGTAGGAGTGTAGCTAGCAGCGTGGAGACATTAGGTCAGCCACTAGATGTATTTGTGAATTTGGTTTGAAGGACACAGAGAAAGGTTGGAGGGGGAGGTTTGGTATGTTTGTTTTTTGCTTTTCTTCCCATAATATTTGGTTAACAGGTAGCCTTTTTGCTAGTGGAAGAAGAAAAAAAGTTATGCATGTTGTCTCTAATTCCTCTCTCTTCTTTCCTCTCTCCGATCTTCAGCCACCAAAAGCACTCACTTTCAGTGAGAACTTTTCCACCATAAAAATATGACCCTGAAAGCTGTGTAGAAAAGGAGAATCCCACCTCCTTGCACTGCATTGAAACATACAAGCTTTTCCTTTCCTTTTTAATGTTTTTTTGACCCAAGACAAAAGTTTGGAATCTTGGAACTTCATCTATAATTCATGCTCTCGGCTCCCTTTGTAGACTTTTGGAGTCCTTTGCAAGGTTTGGTGGTCTTGCCCTTAGGTTCTGGGGAGTTTTTCCAGACTATCTCAAAGCACTCCACCTGGCTCAGAGGACACTCAGCCATGCCTGACCCACAAGTGAGGTGGGCAAGCCTCCAGTGATAGAAGGAAGCAAGCAGGAACCTCCCTGTCCTGTCTCCAGAACAAGAGCAAGGATAGGGGGAACCCGTGGGCTCCATGGCATCACTTAAAGTCACCCATTCTACACCGACCTGCCTCTCACCTGTATCCCCTTCTCAGGGAAGTAACTGCCATGATCAGTGTCACCAGATCCTTAATACCCTGGGCTCTCTGAGCTAGCTGCATTGCTCTACTACCCACTTCCTACATTTGTTTGTTCTTGATTTCCTGGGGGAATGGGACAGATGGAGATAGACAAACCTAGTGTGGGCAGCCTCTAAGCCATGTCCAAAATTGGCCAAAGTAAGGGGATTCTGGCCTAGTAGGGCAGGAAGCTGAGCAGTGGTTCCAAGTCTTTAGCTCTGGGCCCCTGATCTATGTCTTTTTTCATTGTTGCTTTTAAAATTTTTACAATTGTTTTAAGAAATCCAGTCTTTCAGACTAGTCATTTTATTAAACTTTGAATTTTTCTTTATTGATTTTTTAAAACTTAAAAAAAAAAAAAACATACAAAAAAACTACAAAAAACCCCATTACTCTTATTCCCATCCCTCCCTCTACTCCAATCCACAAGAGTTTCCCTGCACTCCCCTCTGCCTTTGCAATTGATCAACTTACCTTTTTTCTCAGCTTGAGGAATCTATCTCCAGTGTTCGTGAAATGATGTTTTATCTGTGTCTCAGGATGAAAAACGGCAATCATTCCACCAGGTGCTGGAAACTGGTTAGCCTTGAGGCAAGGGTTTCTAGGGCCATAGCTCAGGGATGTGTATTTAATTACAGGGTCCCCAGAAACTCCTCTCTTGGCTGCCATAAGCAACATCTTTTCCAGGCTGGACCTGGACTGTTTCCTCAGAGGTGGGAGTGCCAGAAAGCCTGCTGATTCTGGGAGCAAACTGGTGCTTCCTCTTTGGCCAGACCTGGGCTCCCTTGAGGCTTGAAGACTTCTGGCAATCCTGCGTCATGAGCCATGGTGGCCCTGCCTCTGCCAGCTCATAAGAAACCAGGTCCTTCTGTCCAGTCCAGTCTTCATCTGGCCTCCCTCTTCTGGGCCTGCAACTATAAATGGGCCACAGCCTGCTCAGGTATCAACTGTAGGCTCAAAGGGAAGCTGTGAGTAAGGCCAGAGCACATTCCAAGCCCAAGAAAAAAAGTTGTGTTACTGGTAGAGGCTACTCTTCCAAATCCTGGAGCCAGCCCTGCCATCTTTGCCCTTTGGTGACCACTGATTTCTTTCTCTCAAATGTCGTAATAAGTGATAATGTTGTTGACTCAAATTTCCATGAAAAAGAAAAAAAAAACTACCTCTTGAATGACATCCTGGTCCGATTCCTCTCTGAGGAATCCTGTGGGAAAAGAACAATGTAGCTCCTGCTCTGTTTACATGTTACTGTTGGGAAAGAAACCCCGCCTGCCCTGGGGTGTTGGTGTTTTTGTCTGAATTGCCATCCCAGACCTGCGATAGGGGCTTGTGGCTGCACTGTAATGTCTGGGCTGTGTCTAGGGATTCCTTCTCACCTACCCAGCCAGGGACTAGCCACCCCCTTGAAGAGACCTCCATTTCCTTCCTATGTTCCAAGGCATAGGGAACACCATCTCCCACAAACACCACCTTTAAGGGCTCTGGTGGCACATGCATCCATGAGCCTACCCCTAGGCTACCTCCCATAGGTCCACCTCCACCCACAGTCCTGTGGAGGAATCGAGTAAACGGATGTCTCTGAGCCCTTGTCCCCAAAGGGCCGGCCAAGGGATGCCTGCCAGCCTGGCTCCATCAACCCTGCGTGACCAAATGATAGTTGGTGGGCTCTGCAGGCTACCTAGGCCCTCTGCTACCTCCCACCCTTGCCAGCCCATCCCAGCTGGCAAGGGATGGGCCCTGTTCTGTGAATTGACTACCTGTGGAAATGTGACCAATTAGTGTGAAATGCATGTTTAGCAAGTGTTAGGTACTGTATTTGAACCAATAAATGTGAATCCTTCTGCACATGGCATCTGTCTGTGAAAGTTGTCTGGGGTTCTGGGGAGAGATGATGGCATGTCCTGAGGAACTGGATCGTGCCTTCAGACCTCTTGCTCCTGCTTGTAGCTGATGCCCACCTCAATTCTTATTGCTGAGGGTCTGGCAGAAGGCGGTCTCTCTCATAACTGCTTGAATCAATTAACCAGCACTGACTGGAGTACCTACACTGTGTGCTGGTCACCATGTGGGGACTTTTCACAAACCTGCACCTTCTTGAGCTTGAAGGATTAATATCTCTGTTTTATAAATGAAGAAACTAAGGTTGAGAGAAGTAAAAGGACTCACCCAAGGTAACCCAGCTAGAAAGTGGCACAACTAGAGTTACTGAATCTGGCAGGAGAGGCAAACACAGCCCCTTGCTATACAGAGGCTGAGGGCTGTAAACAAGGATGTGTAGGGGATGAAGAAGGCCTAGGGAAGCAGTGGTTCTAAGGATGATCAGGAAGGGCTTCACAGGTGAGTACCGTTGAAAGTGGCCCTTGAAGAAAGTCACCAGGCAAAGAGGAGGATAGACCAGGAAGAGGGATCAATAGCATATACGTTTAATGTCCAGCTGTGAATCAGAAAGACAGGGAGTACTCAGGTATCACAAGGGACTGCTGTGGCAGGAATGGTGGCAGATGGGAGGGATTAGCAAGAGTTGAGACTGGAGAAGCAGTTGGGAGCCTTGGATGCCTCATCCGGGAGTTTGGGGAAAGCAAGCTATCTGCCAGTCTCAGGAAAGAGAGCTGCATCTCAGTGGCAGCAGTGTGTTAGTAGATGGACTAGTATGCACTGTGGTCTAGGAATATCTATCTTTCTAGAAGATAAATGAAGTCTGTTTTTTCTTTCTTTTTTTTTAAATTTTTTTTAGAGACAGAGTTTTGCTCTGTTGCCCAGGCTAGAGTGCAGTGGTGTGATCATATCTCACTGCAATCTCAAACTCCTGGGCTTAAGTGATACACCTGCCTCAGCCTCCCAAGTAGCTGGGACTACAGGCAGTGGCTACCACATCCAACTAATTTTTCTGGTTTTTTGTAGAGACAGGATCTTATTATGTTGCTCATGCTGGTCGTGAACCCCTGGCCTCAAGCGATCCTCTCAAAATGCTAAGATTACAGATGTGAGCCACTGTACCCGGCCAGATGAAGTCTATTGATAGCTTTTCTAGAGCTGAGAAAAATGGAGGCTCTGAGAGGTCAAGGGCTGTGGCCAAGGTCATATGTGTCAGAGTCAGGACTTGAACCCAGATCTGCCCACCTCAAAAGCCCAGTTATCCTATAATCCTGCTCATAGGATCAGTCAGAGAAGTGGCAGAGTTTAGGTTGAGGGTTGTATGAAGACAGATGGGAAAGATGATGAAGGCTTCTCAGGGAAGATAAAGGCTGAGGAGAGTCTGATCAAAGTCTATTAAATCCTCTTGTGAGAAATGAGGGAAGCCCAGCTGCCTTCCCATACCTCAGCCTCCAGCACACAGAACCAGAGAGCCCTTGAGATTTGAAAGAGATGGTTTTAGAACAAAGGAAGTGCTGCAGAACAAATTAATAGACTGTCTTTCTTGCCCCACAATTAAGAACAGATATACAGAGGTGCAAGGAGGAGAAGGAACACATTGGCTGACCACCTAGTGAATGCTAGGCACTGTGGTTGGTGCTTCACTTGTGTTGTCGCATGTAATCCTCATAATAGATTTGCAAGGTGTAGGTCTCAACTCCATTTTACTCATAAGCAAATTGAGGCTTGAGGAAGTTAAGCCATTTGCCTAAGATGACACATGATTAAGTGGCAGAATTGGCTTTTGGAATCCAGGTCTATCTGATACCAAAGTTACATCAGGCTTCCTCCCTGCCCAGCCTTAGCAATTCAATAGTGCTGAATATGAGTGTCTAGAGTTTGTAACAAAGCTCAGAAATGGCCTTTGGTTGAACCTTTTGCTATTCAGAAAAAAAAAAAAAAAACTCTATTAAACTAATAAAGGATTATTAATTCTGTAAGAGCTGGATGAACAGACCCAACCAAATTGAGCTGAAAAGCAGTGCTATCCCAAACATGTAGAATGCTGCAAGCACTAAATTGGTATGATTTCTCAGACCACAAACATCCCATAAGGTAACTGCTGGAAAAAGAACTGGGAGCTCTGTCACAAAAAATCTGGGATATCCTGTACTCGATCTTCATCTCATTGATTCCCAGCCCTCATTGGCATATTAAAGGCTCTGAGAAGTCCTACCTGAAGAAAACTGTATTTGTGTTTAGCCCAGGTTCTATCAAAAGTATTTGAGAATTGGGTATTTTTCCTCCTGTTAAAAATCTGTTGGGACAGTATTCCAAGGCATAAAAGGACACTGCTTTAAATTTAGAAATTGTTACTTAAGTAACAGTGAACTTTTGGTTTCCTGGAGTGCCAGGCAATAATCTGGAAGAATAATGGAGTAATTAACATATAGAGAACAAAGCTAAAGCACTGTGCTAAGTATTTTATGTGCATTAGATTACTGATTCCCCAGAGCACCCAATGAGGTTGATGCTACAATAATCCCATTTTAGGGAGAATAAAATTGAGACCCAGAGAAGGTACATAATTTACCTAAAGCTACATAACTAGCAAGATCTTAGACATGAATATAAACTGGCATTGACTGAGTGCCTACTATTAGGCGGAGATCATTACACAAACCCTCAGAGGTAAGGTCGTCTGTGTAGCTGAAGAAGTGGAATGCTGCCTACTCTGGATTATGTCAGAGTCTAAGGCCAGAAACCCCTAGAAATGATGGCGTAGGCTGTTGGGATGAGGTTGGGTCTGGCTACATGGGGCCCTTTTGGGGGATCATTTCCCTCAGCCTATGAAACACCAGGCACACCAACCAGGAGTCACACCAACTAATTCCAACTCTTCCCCTTACCAGTTGTCTGTGACCTTGACCCAGACAGATTCCTCTCTGATCCTCACTTTCCCCTGTGTCTCAGGTGTTTAAGGAAGAGTGACTATGGCTGGCTCCAAGTTGAGGCTCAATGAAGTCAATACATAAAAGGAGGGCTACATACCAAGAGCTGTCACCCCCACACCCGAACAGCAGAAACTCAGCAAACCAGGAGTCACCTCTCTGGCTTAGCCTGGCCTTGGCCTGGCTGCCCACCACAGTGGTAATCAGCCTTTCTGAGATCCTGTGGCAAAAGTGCCCAACTGCCAGACCCAGGGCTCCCAGAGTCTTGTTCCCTTGGCAACAACTCTCACCATGGAGACCACAGCCCATCCTTGCCCTCTCTGTAAGCTCCCTCTCCACAAACCTCCCCTGTTCAACATCCAGTCCTAGGAGTAGTGTAGGTACTGAGGAAGGCTTCAAGGAGGTACTTCCTCGGGGTGAGGAGTTGGAGGCACAGCCAGCAAGAGAGGCAAAGGGAACTTTCATTTTTTGAGTGTCCACTTCATGCCTAGCAAGGTTCTGAGGAGTCTGCCACATACGTTGTCTCATTTAGGTTGAAAACCAGGTACTCACCCTATTTTCTCAAAGTGGAAACTGAGGCTCAAAGGCAACATGAACCAGCCCAGAGTTTTGCAGCTGGTGGATGATGGAGCTGAAACTTGACTCCCCATCCCTACCCATATTGCCAAGACACCAGCCTCCGGCCACAGTCTGGGGAGGGTTGGGTAGCAGGGTGGATCCCATTCAGCCTCATCTCTGCTGGCAGCACAAGCAGCAGCCAGCAACCCTTTGAGGTCTGGGCCGGGCCCAGCAGCAGCAGCGGAGGAACTGCACTATTTTAAGCCAGGGCCGGAGGGCCCCTGTGGGCACAGGGAGGGTGGCCTCGGGCCCTTGGCCAGCTTCCCGGAAGTCACCATGGCCTCCCTCCTCTCCCCCGAGCAGCTTTCTGAGGCAGTCACTTCCCTACAAACAGGAAGGAGGCCCTTAGGCTGGGAACCTCCAGCCCCAGCTTCCTCCCCATACCCCTCCCCAAGTCTTCTTTACTACATGGGGGAGCCCACCAGCTCCAGGTCCTGATCGATGTCTCTTATCCAGTCTGATGCCTGGCAAGTAAGTGGGCATCAGCTGCTAGGTCTGAATTTCAGCTGCTAGGTCTGCCCCTGTTCACCCATGACAGGTCCAAGGCCTCCACTTTCCCAGGCCCTCGGCCCCCTCACGTACAGCCTGAGTTCTCACGTACTTTCCCATAGATGCTGGTCACCATGAGCCAGACGAGCAGAAGTATCCCCGGATTTGGTCCCATTCAATGACCCCTAAAAAGAGAGCAAAGCAAAACAGACTAAGAGGCTGCAAGTAGCAGAGAGAGACAAATTGGGACATTATTGAGGCACAGTGACAGACTCATCGTGACAGAGACAAAATTAGATGCTCAGAGACAAAAACAGACAAGCGAAAAGACACCAAAGACGGCCACAGAGGACTGGAGCCAAGAGAGCAGGGGGTGTCCCTGACCACTCCCATCCCCCCACCCCTGAGCACAGGCCCTGTCTCAGGGCTGTGGGGGGCCCACCGGCTGCATGGCTGAAGAGGAATGTGGGGAGCAAGGCTGGGTCACCCCTAGAGGGCCAAGCGTGTGCACCATGAGATAAGCTACCCCAGGCCAGGGGCCCCAGCTGCACTGCATGCTCTGGGAGCATGGCGGAGAGGCCGGGCCCAAGGCTACAGCCAGCCCTGCCAGACATCAGCTTCTGCATTTCCTCCTGGGCCTCCACCAGGCCTCCTATTCTAAAGGTCCCAGGTCCTCTGCTCAGCTCTGCCGGGCATGCAGATTCTGAGTGTCCCATTCATAGAAGAACAGGGAGGACCCTGGGAACATCGCTGGCCACAAAGAGGCTCTCACCTTGCTGCTCCAGCTCTGGCTGCAGTCCTGGCTCAGGTGAGGGGGTTGGAGGGAGGGGACACTCAGCTGATCATGCAGAGCACGGGCTCCAGCGGGCTGGAGAGTGCAGAGGAGTGCCATGGGGTGGGGGGCAGCTCTGCACTGGCATTGTGCACTCGTGCAAATGTGTGTCCATGTGCTTCCTTGAATGTGGGAATGTGCAAAGATGTATTTGTCCACATGTTGCCAGGAGCCCCACTCTGCCTCCACATGTCCCTGCTCTCAGTCTAGAGAAGTAGCCCTAGAGGCACCTGGTCTCTCCCATCCCCACCAGGTGGTCTAGCCCAGAGAGCCACTAGGCAGAAGGGGAAGAGTGATCAGGTCTATTGCAGGCCCCCAGCCCCCATCCCCACACTGCAGCTGAGGCTCCCGCTGGCCACGGCCTTGACCCAGCACTATGGACTTCTCTGACATTGGCATCGGATCTGAACATCTGGCAGCAGGCTGATAAGGGGTGCAGCGGAAACAGCCTCCGCTGCTGCCAGCAGGCCCGCCCCCTCCGCTGCCCTGCACGGGTCTCCACATCCACACTCCCTCTGCCTCCAGCTCTGGGCCCTGCTTTTCCCTCTTCTCATTCCCTGCCTCAGTCTCTCTCTGTCTCTCTGAGTTTATCCTCACCCCTTCCCCCCACTGTCTATTTCTCTGTCTCTCACTCCCCCCATCCCCCTCCTCTCTTTCCCTCCTTCCTTCTCTCATTTCTTCTCTCTCTGTCTGTCTGTCTCTCTCTCTGAATTTCTTTCTCATCCCCCCTCCCTCTTCGACCATCTCTGGGTCAATTTTGCTTTCAATGGGTTTCCCTTTTCTCTCTCTTTTCTCATTTTTGGCCCCAGTCTCTCTATAGCTTCTCTCTCTTTTTCTGGCTGTCTTTCTACACTATACTCCAACTGCAGCTTGATGATTCTGTCCCTCTCCTCTCTGTTTCAGTTTCTGGGTCTCTGGTTTGTTTGTTCCTTATCCCACCTCCAGGAAATAGGCCTGGCACTTTGGGAAAGTCCCCACTTAGGAGAGAGACCCTGAGCTTTGTTTGCCTGGGGAGGGAGGGGGAGTGGGTAGCCTGAGTCAAGACTACACCCCTCTGCTTCCCCTTCTGGTGGGTCTTATGGCCTGGGACCACCTGGACTGGAGCTTGGAGGAAAGGACAAATAGGCCACCCAGGGGCTCTGGCAGAGCAGAAAGGAGTCTGAGCCTGCAAGCCCAGGCTCTGGACTCCCACTGCCTGGATTTGAAAGCTGGTCCCATCACTCCCTTGCTTTGTGACTTTGGGAGCCTGAGTTTCCTCATCTCTCAATGACTGCTCATGAGGGGATGGGGAGGGGCAGATACAACCTTCCTCCCAGGATGAGGAGAGGGTTCAAGACTGACCACAGGTATGGAATGTTTAGTAGGGGACCCAGCGCCCCAGGGGCACTTTTGAGTTAGGGCCTTGCCATTCCCAGCACAGTGGCAACCCCTGGCTGCCTTCATCCCCATGGAGTACCCAGTATGGGTGAGGGTGGGGCAAGGGCAGCTCAGAGGAAAGAAACATGTCCAGGGTTGATTAGGGGATGAGGACCACCCAGCCTGAGTGGTGGCAAGTGGCAGCTGACACCTAGAGAGAAGGACACAGGAAGGCAGGACAGGAGGAGCAGGCAACAGAGCTGTATGCCTACAGGCTGCATGCAGGGCCTTCTCGCAAGAGTAAGCAGTCATTCAGTAAATACCACTTGCTCTGTGCTGGTGCTGCAGACCCGGAAACAAGTCAGGCCTTTCCTTGAGGGCGCCCAGGCTGGGGTGAGGCACTCTATCACAGAAGGGCGAACAATGTTCACGATGATGTTGCAATCTCAGACTCAACATGAAAAGGGCCCCTGAGGACAGACCAGCCAGACCTTCAGCTTGTTGTTTGTTTGTCTTTTGTTGACATTTATTGAACACATGACATGCCAGGCAGCCACTGAGTATGTTACACGTATTGTCTCATTTCATCCCCGTTTTACAGAGAAGACAGAAGGCCCAGAGAGGGGAAGTGACTAGTCCCAAGTCACACAGCAAGAAAGTGGTGGAACTGGGATTTAATCCAGAGTCTCTGCCAGTGATTTTCCTTCTCAGGGCTCAAGGACTCACCAGAAGACTATGGCAAAGCCAGGCTGGTTCTTTCCATGGCATCATGGTGTTGAAAGACCTGTTTTTCCTATGTAAGAAGGTAGAAAAAATGGACCCCATTTCACAAAGTCTCTCATCAAAAGAGGTGCAAAGAATCACAATTTTATTGTTACATGTATGTGGACATGTTGGTGATATAGGGTATTTGCTGGGATATTTCCTTATCTAATTCAGAGGGTGAATGGTATTAATCCACAAAATCATTGCACTAAAATGGGGACACAGCTGGGCATGGTGGCTCTCACCTGTAGTCCCAGATGCTTGGAAGGCTGAGGTGGGAGGATTGCTTGAGGCTAGCAGTTGGAGACCAGCCTGGGTGATATAATGAGGCCTCGTCTCTTAAGAAAAGAAAAAAAGAGACAATAAAAAGAGTGAAGTAAAATAAGGAGACTAGTTAGGTTCAGCTATATGCAAGAAAAGTATATCTTCTAAGAACTTATGTAGGTGAAAAAACACAATTATGAGGCTACATGCATTGGGGAATATGTTGTATATTATGTTGTCGGTAGAATTAGAATATATTGGATCAGTAGAATCAATTAGTTATGCCTGTCAGTAAAATTATTATTGTATGTTCACACAAAGAAAAATTTTAAGTGGCACAATGAGGAAAAGACACACTAGGTTTTAAATATAGTTGGCTTCTATTATCCAGAAAAGTCCCTCTTACTCCAAGCCGGATAAGTGAGGCATTTTATGTAAGTTGCCTATTTCCTCAAATGGAGGGATATGTGGAGGGAGGTGATTGCCCCATGGTCCCCCTGTGTCCTTCCCCCCACCCCCTAGGATGAATGGCTTGGAAGTAAATCCTCTGAGGACAGACTTCTTCCCTTTTCTTCACTTTGGAATCCCCAGTGCCTGGAACAGCGCCTGACACCTATAGTGCACTCAGTAAACATAAGATGAACTAAGGAATGACAAAAGAGCAAGTCTCCAATGGGAGGGGTGCAGGGTACAGCAATCTGGGCCCTACAGGACTGAGATAGTTCAGAACCTGTCTGAACCTGGAGATTGGATGGGGACATCCCAGGCTGCTTGGTGAGGCCTGGCCTTCTGGATAAAACCCCTTCCCTCTACCTTGCCCTATCCTGGCCTAGCTACCCACTTGGTCCAACCTGGGGCCACAGCAGCCAACCACGTTGCCCCACAGGCTGTCTCGGCCCCAATTGTTCTAGCAATCGACTGAAAACATCAGCAACCCACAGTAGATGGTAACATTCGGAGAAGCCAATGCTGAATGCACACAGGTGTTCAGCCAGCTCACCTGCTCACCTTCCATCCCCCCCTTCTTCCTTTCTTCACCTTATGGAAGAACAAAATGACCAGGTCCAAGCTGCAGGCCACCTGGTCAAGTCGTCCATGCTCCTGCCTCCGCACCAGCCCATCCTGACTCCACTCCAATGTCTGGGCCGAGCCTGATCACGCCAGGCCAGGCCCCAGGGAGGTAGCCACTCAAGGGAAGACAGGCCAGGCTGCAGGCCGGGTGGGGGAGCAGCCCATAAATCAGGGCCCACTCCCACCCAGTCGCTAACAAGCGGGGCTGCCTACCCGCCTACATGGGGTCCCTGCCTCTGGGCTCCCACAGCGGCCTGGAACAGCCAGCTGGCCAAGGCCTCCAGAGTGCCTTGGCCTCCACCCCCATCCTCGGCCCCCAGATAGATAGGGTATTTTTTTTTTCTTTTAGAAGAAGAAGAAAAAAATAGACCTAAATGAAGAGAAACACCAACAAAGAAGGAGAGAGGCCCGCGGAGTCACGTGGGGGCAGAGACCAATTGGGCCTCCGGTGGCCCCCCCCACCCCAGGGCGGGGAGGAGGAGGACGGACGGACAGGGCCAGCCTGCCGTCCGGCCGCCGCCCGCCACCCGCTGTGGTGCAAGGGAGTTCCTGCGTGCCCACAGTCACCATCGCCCCACCTGGGCCGCCGGGGCCTCCCCCTGGATCCCCGCTGTCCACCGTTCACCCTTATCCGGCGTGAGAGCCCTCCTTCCGCTCCGTAAGTGAAGGCCTGGGCCCAGGCCTCTAATGGCCAGCCTCCCTCCTCAGTGCCTCCCTGCGGCCTGGGCCAGCCACTGTCTGCTCTGCTGAGTGACCAGTGCCCACTGCTCTGGGCAGAGAGGGAGCCAGGGGTCTCCCCAGACCTGCCCTCCAACCCCGCTGCCCCCTCTTCTTGCCTGGGTGCTGATAGGAGGAGCTAGGCCTATGGCGACAAGCTGTGCGGGGGTCTGCTGGGGTCCCACTGTCCATCCGCTGCCGGCGTTCACAGGGCTGTGTGGGTCTGAGCCTAGCAGTCTGTGAGTGTGTCCATGGGTCTCTGGGCCTGTCTCCGGGTCTCTGGGTCTCCCGTGCCTGAATGTTTGTGTTGTCTCTGTGGATGCTTCTGAGTCTCGGTGTGTGTCTGCATATCTGTCTCCAGTGTCTGTCAGTCCGGGTTCTATGGCTGGGCCAGGTCTGCCTTTGCTTCCCTGAGTAGGGGGCGAGAGGCTGGAACCTGGAGCTGTGGAGGGGCACAGTGGAGCCGGGCGAGCACAGCCACCGAGCCACAGAGCCAGGGGCTTTCGACTGTGATAGGAGAAGCGTGGGAGGGAGGGGGTGTGAGGTGGAGGGAGAAGAGGGGGCTGGCTCAGAGCCGGGGCCTCCACCCAACCTGGGTCCCCTGGCCTAGGCTTGTGCTTACACTGCCTGGTGTCCAGGAGACTCCAGGTGGGCTCTACCTTGGGGAAGCTGACTGGGGTCCCCAGAGCAGCCCTCCCCTCCACTCCCTGCACCCGCTGCCTTCCACTTCCTGAGGGCTCCTCTCTGATGAGTAGCAGAAGTAGCCCCCACCTCCAGCTCCCATGGATGCTGTTGTTTCTCAGAGGTTTGGAGTGTGGGGGGCCTGCGACCAGACCAACTCGTCTCTGGCTCTTTCCTCCCTCCTCACCCAAGATTTATCCATGTAATCTCATGGAAACCGCCAATCTTTTCCATTTTATATACAGAGAAACTGAGGCTCAGAGAGGAGTGACTTGCCCGAGCTTGCACCGCAAGTCTGCAGGCCCCTCGTCCCGCTGGGTGAGCGAAAGGGGCGGTGGTCTGCGCCTCTCCGACCTCCTCCGCTCCCAGGACCGGGGCGCCGGCTCCAACAGAAGCCCGAGGCCTCCAGGCTGGAGCCCAGACGGAGCCTTTAGGTCAGCTGGGCCAAATGGGCCAAAACTGGGTATTTCCCGGCTTGAAGATCGGGCTTTTTGGCCTCAGGGTCCCCAACACGCTCACTGACCCCAGGTGCGGGAGGGGGCGGAGGCAGGATGCCAGCAGACCCTTCATCTCTCCCGTCTCAGTTTCTGCAACTGAAAAATGGGAGGAGCGCGCGGTGGACATTCCCCAACCCAGAGCGATTGCTCTGTCATCCCAGCCGCCCAGGGACCCTTTGTCCCCAAGGCTGCAGGGCACTCCCTTCCTCTGCCCCCCCCCCGTAGGAACTCAGAGGGGGGCAGAGGTGCCCCTCCTCTGGGCTCTGTTCTCCTAGGTCCCGCGCCTGCGCTGGCTTCAGTATGCGCTAGACATGGGAAACTCGAAGAATGGGTTTGCCAGGCTTCCCGATTCCCATTGCCACCCGAGCAAACTGAGGCTCACAGAGGAAAAGGGGTTTGCCCCAGATCTCCCAGCTGGGCCCTACTGAGCCCTTCTGCCATGCCAGCCATGTGCTTTCCCGGCACTACTTCGGTTCATCCTCACAACCCACCCTTAAGGAAGATCAGTCCTCCTCCCCATTTCACAGATGAGGAAACTGAAGACCAGAGAGGCCGAGAGATTTGCTTGTGGCTTGAGAGAGGACACGTGGCAGGGCCAATGGGAGAACCTGGTTTCTAGCCTTGAACTGGTGTCTTGGCCACGATCCCCACTCTCGCCTTTACCCATTTCCACGCTGCAAAACGACCAGCACCACCAGCGTGGCCCTCGCCACGACTAAGCTGGACTTGCAAACAGGAGCTCGCCTCCTCCCTACGCAGGCGGGTGGCCCCAAGCTCCCGGGCGCCCGACACCTGCCCAGATTTCGGGGCACTCGGACGCCGCTGTTCTCTGGCCCGCTCGGGCTCGGGGGCGAGAGGATGAGGGCGAAGACTCCAGCCAGGCTGGGGAGGGGGTGCAGGGCGCGGGCCGGGCTGGGGGGAGGACGCGGCCGGGCCTCCGCCCCCGGATACCGCACGCGTTGATATAGAGGGGCCGGCCCCTGGCCCCAGCGCAGCGGCTTCACGCGGCGCGCAGTGGCGGCGAGGGGCCCGGGTCCCAGGTGCGCCTCGGAGCGGCCCTGGAGGCGCGGGGCGAGGGGGGTGGGAGCGCCGAGCCCGCGCCGCAGCCCGCGCCCCCCTCCCGCCCCCGGCCCAAGCGGCCGTCATCGCGGGCGGGCGGCGCTGCGCCCGGGTCGGCTCATCGCCCGGGCGGGCGGCGGCGCGGCTGCGGCCGGGAGGTGCGGGGCTGCACGCGGGCCGGACGCGGGGCGCTGCTCGCAGGAGCGGCCAGGTGGGCGCCGGGCGGGCTGCGGCCGCCGTCGCGCCCCATCTCGGGTCCCCGGCCTGGCTCTGCGCGCTTCCTTCCTGGGGACTCGGACTCTCCGCCCGAGGTCGCTCCCCCGCCTCGGGCTCGGCCGCCCGGAGCTCGCCGGGTCTCCCCCGCCCTGAGTTCCCCGCACCTCGCGCCGGCCTGCGGCTCCCCGCCCGGCGCCCGCGCTCTCCGCTGCGCCCTCCGCGCCGTCTCCGCCCGACGTCTCGGTCTGGGGGGCGCGGGCTGCGCCTCCGTCGCCGTCGCTGGCGGGGGCTTTGTCTGTCCCGCCCGGAGACCCCGGCGCTCCCCGTCCCGGCGCCGTCGTGTTCCGCGCTCTCGGCTCCGGCCCCTGCCCAGGTCCGACCCGCGGGCCGCGCCGCGGGGCTCGTCGCTCCGGCGTTTTCCGTGCGGCTCCCGGCCGCCCTCCCGCTGGGCGCCGCCGCTCGCCAGGTCTCCCTCGGTGTCTCGCCGCTCCCTCCGCCTCGGGCGCCCGGGCTCGCTCATCCCTCGTGTCTCGGTTTGTCCCTTGTCTGTCACTGTGTCTCTTGACTCTGTGTCTGTCTCTCTTAGGTTTCCTCTGGGCCTCTGTCTCTTGGTATCTCTGATCTGGTGTCTCTCTCTGTCTCTGTCTCCCGTTCTCTTTCTCGGTCATCTCTCATCTCTGTCTCCATCTCTGTCTCTCTCGACCCCGCCCAGGTTCCCTCTGACTCGGCACCGGTGTGTCTGGCACTCTCGGGTTTGCGTTGTCGCTGTCGCCCGCTCTCTCCGTTGAGCAGCGTCGGCGGTTGTCTCTCGCTCTCGTTTCTGCCCGTCTCTCTGTCTCTCCCAGTCTCTGTCTCTGTCTCCCTCGTCTCTGCCGGGCTGCCAAAACACTCGGGCCAGGCGCCCCACTGCTCCCGGCTTCGCTGCGTCTCCCGCGGCTGCTGAGCCCATCTCGTTTTCTCAGAATCGGGGTTTTGTTCTCAGACAAACGAATCCGAATCGAAGCTCATCGAATCCGAGGGTCCGGGATCGGGCACGGCGGGGGACGCGCGGGCGCGGGCCGGGCGGGCGGGCGCGGGGCTGCCCAGCCCGCTCCAGCGGGCGCCGCGACGGGCCGGGCGCTGCGAGGGGCGCCGCGACGGGCCGGCCAGGGGGGCTGAGGGAGGTGGCCGCGGGGCCGGGTCCTGGGTGCTGCGGGCCGCCGGCCGGGCGCGCGGTGACCCGCTCCTCCCTCCGCAGGCGGACGCCGCGGGCATGGACTATTCCTACGACGAGGACCTGGACGAGCTGTGCCCCGTGTGCGGGGACAAGGTGTCCGGCTACCACTACGGGCTGCTCACGTGCGAGAGCTGCAAGGTGAGCGGGAGCCGGCGCGCGGGCGGAGCCCGCAGGGGTGCGGTGGGCGGCGCGGCGGAGCGGCCCGCGGGGAGCCAGGCGAGGGTCGGGCCCTCCCGCGCTGACTCCCCTCTCCTGCAGGGCTTCTTCAAGCGCACGGTGCAGAACAACAAGCACTACACGTGCACCGAGAGCCAGAGCTGCAAGATCGACAAGACGCAGCGCAAGCGCTGTCCCTTCTGCCGCTTCCAGAAGTGCCTGACGGTGGGGATGCGCCTGGAAGGTGCGCGCCGGCCTCCCACCGCGACCTCTGACGGCCTGAGGGGGCGGGGGAGGGCTGAGAGAGGGGCTGAGAGGAAGGCACCATTGGCCTTATGGAAGTTTCTGAGGCCAGGCGGCGACATTACAGCCCGATCTCTGCAGAGGAACCGGGAACTGGCACTGGGCGGGCCTCGGGCCTGGCGGAGGGGGTGCCTGCAGGACCAGCCTGGGTTGAGTTGAGAAGTATCTGAAAGGGCACCCTAGGGAGATGACCCCTTCCCTAGTCCTTAATGGGGGCACCAGCACAGGGCAGAGCCCCAGCAGAGTTTGTCCCCCTGTGAAGTTCCCCACCACCCTGCTGTTACCCAACACCAGCCAGAGCCAAGGCCGAGCTCCAGTGCCACCACCTACAGGCTGGGTGACATTGAGCAAATTCCTTAACCTCTCTGAGCTGTAGATTCCCCATCTGAAAATTGGGCTTAACAGTAGTGCCTTCCTTCATAAGTTAGGGTGAGGATTGAGAGAGTCCATGAAAAGCCTAAGGAGCCAGTCCATGTAAATGCTGCGCAGCTATGGATGATTATGGTCATACTTTCCATTATTATCTGTCCATCACCACTTTCAGCCCTCACTCACCCAGCTGCCCATCTGTTTGTCCATCCATCCATCATCCAAAGTGTTCACTTGGTTCATTCACTCAGCGGGTGAGATTCCTTCCCTTTGCTTAGCCATGCCCTGGGAGGGCTGGGGAGTGAGGAACAATTGCCCCAGAGGTCAAGTCCCATCTTTGCCTCCCCACCCCACAGCTCTCAGCCTAGGAAGGAGAGGAGTTTCAGCAGCAAAGACTCATGCTCTTTGCGGGTGGAGAGGCGCAGGCTTCCACTTGCAGCCCAGCCAGGCTGGGCGCAGAGCAGGCAGCCGTTGGCTGAAGTTTTTGAACAATGTCGAAAGCCCTGAGTGGCTCTGAGAGCTGCAGACCACATGTCCTGCCACCTAGAGGAGGGACTCCTGGATGGGAGGGGGCTATCCTGTCCTGTCTCCAGTGCCCACGTTCCTATCTCCAGGTCCTGAGGGGCCAGAAGAGCTGGTAGTTGGGAGCAGCAGAAACCCCGGTGCAGCCTGAGGGAGCAGAGCAGAGCTGCCTGCCTCGCTGGCAGGAAGATCAGCCAGGCGGCCCCCAGGCCCCCATTCCTGCTGAGTGCTGTCCTATCTCCCTTGCTCTCCCTTCTTTCAGAGCCTGGCCAGGGGGTGCAGGTGGGGGGGTTGTCTGAGCAGGGCCTGGGGCCACACTCCAGCTGCAGAGATACACCTGTGGGGTCTGGCTGGTGACACATTCTTGGCTAGGTGGAGGGCCATCTAGTCAGCAATAAAGGTCCCCTCCCCCGGCACAGAGCCATGGCCAGCCCTAAACTCGGCTTCATGTTCAAAGCTAGTGGCAAAGTCATTTGCAACCAGGGTTGGACAGAGCCAGGCAGTCAGTCAATAAGCAGCTGGACACCAGGGACCCAGATGTGAACAAGGCTGACCAGGATCCCCTTCTGTCACCTTCTCCCTGCCAGGCCCTGTGCTGGGCACCTGAGCCTGGAGCTGAGCCCGCAGAGCTCTCAGCCTGGAGCACAATGGCCTGATACACTCGCACGATAAGAGAGGGAAGGGGCAGGATATCTGGGGCAAGGACCATGGAGTCTGGGTGAATCCAGGAATACTTCCTGCTGACATTGAGGCTGAGCGTTCAGCAAACACAAGAGAAGGAAAAGGGTTTGAGGCAGAAGGGATTTCGAAGGTAGGGTGGAGGAGGCAGGAGAAGTGCCAAGCAGAGGAGTAGCGAGATGAGTAAGGTGGAGTAGAAGGAGCACAGCGTCTTAGGAGGGGTAACCTAGAAAGCTGAGCAGGGCCTTGAATGCCAAGCAAAGGAGACTGACTTCACCTGTGGGAAGTGGGAGCCACGAAAGGGTATCGAGCAAGGGAGTGACGCAGCCAGGTTTGTTTGGAAAGGCTCTGTGGCAGGGCAGTGTGGAAGGTGGCTTAGAGAGAGTGAGCCTGACCCTCTGCCCCTGCCCACAGCTGTGCGCGCTGACCGCATGCGGGGTGGCCGGAACAAGTTTGGGCCCATGTACAAGCGGGACCGAGCCTTGAAGCAGCAGAAGAAGGCACAGATTCGGGCCAATGGCTTCAAGCTGGAGACAGGCCCTCCGATGGGGGTGCCCCCGCCGCCCCCTCCAGCGCCGGACTACATGCTGCCCCCCAGCCTGCATGCGCCTGAGCCCAAGGGCCTGGCCTCTGGTCCACCTGCTGGGCCACTGGGCGACTTTGGGGCCCCAGCATTGCCGATGGCCGTGCCCAGCACTCACGGGCCCCTGGCTGGCTACCTCTACCCTGCCTTCCCTGGTCGTGCCATCAAGTCCGAGTACCCGGAGCCCTATGCCAGCCCCCCACAGCCTGGGCTGCCCTACAGCTACCCAGAGCCCTTCTCTGGAGGGCCCGGCGTGCCTGAGCTCATCCTGCAGCTGCTGCAGCTGGAGCCGGACGAGGACCAGGTGCGGGCGCGCATCGTGGGCTGCCTGCAGGAACCTGCCAAAGGCCGTCCCGACCAGCCCGCGTCCTTTGGCCTCCTGTGCAGGATGGCTGACCAGACCTTCATCTCCATCGTGGACTGGGCACGCAGGTGCATGGTCTTCAAGGAGCTGGAGGTGAGTCCCTCCTCCCACCTAGCTGGCCCCTGGATCAGACACACCCTGTGGGCCGCTCAAACCTTAGCCTCCATCACCCCTTGGATGAGGCCATCCTGCCCACTGGCTTCAGGCAGTGTTGGGGACAGGGAGGCCACACTGGCGACGTTAAGGAGCATTTCTGTTCCATCACAGCCTCTTGGGTCCCCTGCAACCTTCCTGCTCTCTCCCACTCCTTCTCTATTTCTTGAAGCTCTGTCTCTTTCTACCTTCTCTTTCCCTGGTGTGCTGTCTCTCTGCTCCTCTGTCTCTCCAGCCCCTTCAGTTTCTGTCTGTTTCTGCCCCATTCTGAGTCTCTCTCTCTGTTGATATTTCTCTCTCTTTCTCTGAGACCCTGGACTCCCTCAAAGGACTAGCTGAGTCTTTGGGAGGCTGTCTTGTCTCCCAAGGCCCCACCAGTGTTGGGAAGGGAATCCAGCCCCTTCTGTCCTCCCATTGAGGGAGGCCGCCAGTCCCCACCAGCCTCAAATGTCACAGATGGGGCTCTCAGTGTCTCAGAGTTGGAGATGTCTGCGGGCCCTTTTCCTTCCCTGTAAGGTGAAAGGTCTTACGGCCCTGCATCTTTTGTGCGCGATGGTTGGTTGTGTGTGTGTGTGTCTAGGGGAGCTGGGTGGGTGGTGGGTGGGATTCTAGGGCTTCCACTGATCTTCCCAGGCGAGGCAGCCCTCCCTCCACTGCAGGGCCTTCTTCCCCCTGGGTTTAGGTACTTTAGGCTAAGGCAAGCAAGAAAGAAGCAGGAGAAACTAAGGCCAGACAGAAGGAAGAACTTCTCAGTCATCTTGCCTAGTGGTTTGAAGGGCCTGAGGCCTGAAAGCTGCCTCCCTAGTGCCCCGGCTCCCTGTGAGGCCTCCCCAGAGGCCCCTCAACCCTGGCCAAGGCCCACCCCTCCCTGGCCTGGGTACAGGCACCCTAACCCAGCCCTATCGGTGTTTGGCTTTCCCAGGCCAACCCCACTGGCTGTTCTGGGGCTGGGTGTAAACAGCAGGCCCCGTTGCCCTCCCTGCTGGGGCCACTGCAGCCTTGAACAGCATTGTCAGTGCTGACGCCACTCGGGCCTGGGCTTCCTCCAGGGCATGTGGCCGGATGGCCTGGGGGCACTGCCTGCCCTTGCTAGCTGGAGGGGTTTGAGGTGCGGTGTAGGCGCTCTGAGCCCTGGTGACATCATGGGGCTGGGGGCCTGGGTTTCTCTGGCAGCCAAGAATTGGGGATGATGGCTTCTGCTTCTGCTGTGGAGGGGCTGTCATGGCCAAGGCCTGGGGGTGTGCCATATGTCTGTCCTGGGGTCGGCTCCTTACCCCGGCCTGCTCTTGCCACTGCTGATCACTCCCTAGACAGACCTGATGGATGGGGCGAAAGGTGCTTCACCTGCCTTCTCATGGCTCGAGGTCTTGGTGGGGCGGAGGACCCCAAGCCCCTTGGGTTGGTTGCCAGCTTCCCCTGCAGACTTCCCGTGAGCCCCCTGTGCGGAGGGGAGGAGGAACAGGGCATTCCCGGCCTTCCAGAACCCTGGATCCAGAGGCAGGGCACTTCCTCTGGCTGCCTTCCTAGTCTCCTGGGGATTTTCACGCAGGATGGGAAGGGCTTTTGTCCCAGCTTTGCTGAGTGTTTTTTCCTGCTTCTGGCTTCTCCGTGGTCCAAACCTTCCTGCTTCCCCTTCCCAAAATCTCCGAATCAAGCCATGGTCACCACCCTCTGTAAAGGGCCTTGCAGATAAGTACCAGCCCAGTCCTTAGGGTGCCTCGGCAGCCATGTAGAAGTCCTTTTGCACTGGTCCAATGGGCCTTGGACTGGTGTCTGTTTGCAAGGCCCAGAAATGAGGAGGCAGAAAAGTGAGAGGGGTGTGACTTTGGTCTCCCTTGTGGGTGACCATGCAACACCCCATCTCCAGACAAGACACAACTTAGCAGACAGAAGAAGGGACTCCCTGGCTCTGAGTGTGGGACAGCCCTTGGGCTGGGCACTGGGGACATTAAAATGAACTGGACCCAGGAAGCTGCCAGGCTGGAGGAGAAGACAGACGTGCACATAGATAATGCCAGTGCAGGTGCCCGGGCTCTTAGAGCAGCGGAAGGGGCAGAGGGAACCTGGCAGGAGAGCAGACAGCTGTAGCTGAGGAAATCTGTGCCTTTCCAGGAAGGAGTCTGCCAAGGTGGAGGGCATTCCAGACGGCGGGGACAGCTTAGGTGAAGGAAGGCCCCAAAGTGAAAGGTATCCTGTGTTCCAGGAGTTCACAGTGGTCCTATGAAGCAGGGCTGGAGAGGCTGGTGGGGTCAGAGCAGAGCTTGGACTGGGAGTGGGTCCTTTGGTAGCGGGTGATGGACAGCCTGCCAGGGCTGGCTGCGTTTCCATGGCCTGGGGGCCCAGGGGGCCCCGCCTGAGCTCTGCACAGAGGCCCGCTCAGCCCTCTGCGATGCTGATCATACCTTGCTGCTCAGGGGCAGGCCTGGGAGCTCAGTTGAGCTGTCAGGGATGCTGGGCTCCAGATGTCCTCTTGGGGTTTTCCTGTTCCATTCTCTTTCCCAGCGTGGATGGCTGTCTCTCTGTCTCCATTTTCCTTCTCATGCACTCGTAGCATGTTATGTCTGACAGTGGCACAGAAGTTGATACCAAAGACCAGAGTCAGAGAGGCCTGTTGTCAAGTTCCGGCTCTGCCATTTACAGACTGTGTGACTTTGGGCAGGTGGCTTGACTGCTCTGGGCCTCAGTTTCCTCATCTATAAAGTGGGAGGAGTTTAAATAGTATCCACCCTGTAGGGTTGTTGTAAGGGTTTAGGACCAGTACAGAAGTTAGCACGGCGCCACAGGTCCCTCTCTTTCTGTCCCTCTCTGCTACCACACCCTGGCGTCTATGCTACACCACTGGACACATCCACACTCCTCCAAGCACACTCTAGTTCTGGGACAAGATGGCCCACTTTTTCTTTTTATAAGCCCACTGTGTCCTGGGCTTATACAGCAACTTCTTATCTGCAAAGTAGCAGAAATTCACCTTTACCTGCTGCTGGGGTGGGGTGGGCCATATCTGACGCATAGGAATTCAGCCTCTTGGACATTCACCATGAAGGCTGGGCTGGGAGGTGCAAGAGACGGAGGAGGCGGGGGCCAAGAGTGCCCAATGTCCCATCTTGACACCGGTTCACCCTCAACATCTAGCTCCGAGGCTCCAATGGGCAACAGATCTAACCGTCCAGATATATGGTTTCATTTAAGCAGCGGCAACTCTGTCAGTCCAGGGCTGACAAATGATGACTCACTGACCACTCGGCCAGAAAGCACCATGGCCAGCCCGTGGCATGTCAGTTGCTGGAGAATTACAGAGCCCCTGGCCTTCGGCCGCCAGACTGATCAGACCCCAGAGGGCTCCAGAAGGGGCCTGCTGGGAGGGAGGTCAGCTTGGCACCCATAAATACCCCATGTCGGAGGCAGGCTGCAAGTGTCAAGGCTCCAGGAAGATTTGTGGCAGTCCAGCAGGAGGGCTGGGGGGCTGATGGGCGGGCCAGGCTTGTTCGGAACCCCAGGGCCAGGATTGCAAATGTCCTTGTTCCCAGGACAGCAGGGAGGCCCGAGGGTAGAGAAGGAGGAACCTTTGGCTTAGGGAGAAACCTTTGGAAGGTAAAAACCGATGCTCTTTGGTTAAGTGAGCCTCTTAGCCACCTGCTTTTTCGTGGAGAGGGGCTGGCAGCTACAGACGCTCTGGTTTTCTTTTAAAGAGAGAGGAGTGTGTGTGTGTGTGTGTGTGTGTTTGCGTGGTGTGTGTGTGTTTGCGTGTGTGTGTGTGTGTGTGTGTGTGTGTGTGTGTGTGTGTACATGTGGCTCATCTGTGTGAGGGGTGTTTTGGAGTTTGGTGTCTTTATGTATTCATGCGTCCATCCAAGGGAAGAAGTGAGTGCAAAGTCTAGCAGGAGAGGCTGCTCGGCCAAGGGGTGGGTGGGAGCCCGGGCTGAGCAGCACGCCCAGGAGAGCCCACAGCGGGTCCACATGTGTTCATATGTTTTCTCTAACCAAGACAGGGAGGAATTATTCTTCCCGTTTTGCAGTACAGGAAATTAGGGCAGAGGAGTACGCTCGGCTGGATTGGGGCTTGGACACGGGGCACGCAGCACCAACGCCGTAGCCACCTTATTGCTTCTCTCCGCCCCTGCCACCCCTATCAGCCCCGCCGGGCAGGGCTGCCTCCAGCCCAGGGTCTGAGGTCTGGGTACAGAGTCTGCTCCCAGGGCTGGGCCAGCCAGGTCACTGTGACCCCTTCTGCTTTCTGCCCAGAGCTCCGCCTGCTTATCTCCTAATTCTCCCCTTATCTCTTTTCTTCCCTTCCACCTCCCCACCCCCTGTTCCTTCAATCTGGGCACAAGGGTGTCTGCTCCTGCGGGCCCACAGTGGGTGGGGCGCAGAGCCTGGCCCTGCGTGTCCTCCCTCGCCCTCTGTCTCCATCTGGGTCACCCAAGGTAGGCCTGGGTTTCTCCTGCTGCTAGTGTGACTCCCTGGGCAGACGCCTCCTACCTGGGCCTTGCTCGGGCAGTTCCCAGGGCCCCCCTGGAAAATAGGCCCAGCAGGGGCATCCGGGCAGAGCCTGCTGCCCGCGTGTTACCTCAGGCAGCCTCTGTCTCCTTGTCGGCGCTATGGGCAGAACGTCGATGGGCTGTGCCGGGCACCGTGCCTGGCAGTGGGTGCTCTCTGAGCCTTGCCTCCCTCTTGGAAACTGCCACGGGAGGCCTCTGCCCGGCTCCATGGGTGCTGGCTGCTTCCTGAGCAGAGATAAGGACAGATGTCTTTGTGATTCAGCCCCTGCCGGTTCTCAGTCTCTCCTGGCCCTGCCCATGGAAGGTGGGTCAGGGCTGATCCTGGGGGGCCACGGTTGGGCTTCTGTCCCCACAGTCACGGGGCTTTAGGGAGGACTGTCGCTTTGAAGGCGAGATGTGTGTGTGGCTTGGACGGGGCGAGGGGGGAGGAAGGCACTGACACCACGTCCCCCTCGCTCTCCGCCAGGCGGTGGGGAAGGGGCGTGCAGGCCCGTCTGTGCCCCGCTGCTCGCTTCTCTCTTTGTCCACCTTCCCTTTTCTCCCTCGGCCTGGGGACGCCCCCAGGAGAGAAGGGGAACAGAGAGGAGGGAGGCGTTTCTGCCCCTGGGAAGAGCGAGTCAGCCATTCCTCTGGACGGCGGTCCCTTGGGCCAGGGGCTGCCTCCGGGTTGGGAGTGGCTTCCCTGTGCCTTCCGTGAACGTCTCTCAGGACGCCCCTAGTTGTTCATCAGCCACTCACTGACCACTCCTCAGAGGTGAGCTGGACGTCAGCCCTGCCTCCCCAGACCTCACAGGCACTGGGGAAGACAGGAGTTAAATCGGTGCCAGCAGATGGTGCAGATTCCATGTCCAGGGGATGGTGAGGGCAGTGAGGAAGGAAGGGGGATCGGGGAGGGCTTTGTGGAGGTAACGAGCCTGTGAGAGACCTTGAACTCCTGGATGGCCAGGATGGCAGGTGGGGGGAGGTCTTCTACACCTCATGGTTAAGAGCATGGATCTGGTGCCAGACCAAGCTGTGTGACCTTGGGCAAGTTACTTGACCTCTCTGTGCTCAGTTTCTTCTCTTCATAATGTAGGTAACAACCATACCAGCCTCACAGAGTTGTAGGGCTGCAGCACAACGACTGTAGCTATGATGGTTTGTGTTCCCCATGGGCACGGCCCAGGAAGATGCCTGGGCCGTATGTGTTGGTAGATGGTGGCTGGCCGAGGAGCCACACGTGCTGAGAGGGGCTGGAGTCTGTGCCGTGCCTGTCTAGGATGACCTGTGGTGCCCAGTGCGGTTCTGAGCACCCAGAGGCCTCAGTCTGTCCCTGTGGAGACTGCTCCGGGCATGCCAGCCACGGCCCTGGTCTGGCTCTGCCTCTGTGGTCCCGGCACAGTCTCTTGCCCTCTGGGTGGCAGATTCTTTATCTGAAAAAGAGTTTTGAGCCAGGGCATCCCTGCTTCTGCTGCTGAGTCCCGTCTGCCATTGTCACTAGCACCCACCCTTGCCGTGGTAGAACGCAGTGGTCCCCCAGAGTTGAAGGACACTGCACTGTAGCCGTGGCACCCAGAATCTGCCCCCTGTCACTGCTCTGTGCCTGCTTCAGATGTCACACCATTGCCGTCCAGCTGCTCATTCCCTGGGCCTGCCCGTCGGCCAGGGGGGCCTTCCCTCCTTCCCCAGAGTCTGAAAGCTCTGCGCAGGCCCAGGGCAGCCCTCTGTTCCTTCTCCCTGGCTCCTTTTTGAGCAGCTGAGGTTGCCAGAGGTGTGACCACAGGCCAAATGGGCACGATGCTAAAATGAACAAGAATCTTGCCTCGCAGTTGAAGGAGCCCTACGCAGAGCACTTCCATGGACCTTACTCACAGACACTGAGTGCTTAACGCGCCAGACCATCTTCTAAGTTCTTTGCCCACTTTACAGATGAGAAAACTGAGGCACAGAAAGGTTATGGAACTTGCATAAGGTCATACGACTTGTAAGAGGCAGAGCTGGGGCAGCCCCAAGTACCCGGTTGGATCCTCTCCCATTAGACAGAGGTGGCACCGAGACGGCAGGTAGCTGGCCCAGGTCACACCCCAGTGGAGTCTCTGAACTGAGAGTTGGGAGGACGGGGGGTGAGAGGAAGGTCCCCAGCTGGACCCGGGCTGGATCCCAGACCCGCGTGTGTCTTCCTCCCAGGTGGCCGACCAGATGACACTGCTGCAGAACTGCTGGAGCGAGCTGCTGGTGTTCGACCACATCTACCGCCAGATCCAGCATGGCAAGGAGGGCAGCATCCTGCTGGTCACCGGGCAGGAGGTGACTGAGCCCACGCCTCCCTGCCCCAGCCCCACTGTGCACTCCCAAATTCCGGGCCCAGAAGAGGACCCAGGCCTCTCCAGGGACAGCCGTGGGCACCCTGAATACCGGCCCTTTCCCCAAGTCCATGGGACACGCCCTGGCCCTGCCTCTCTGTGACCGGGCCTGGCCCTGGCCGTGAGAGGAGCCAGCCCCTGGGAGCCCTGCTCCGGGGTGCAGCACGGGGGGCGGGGGGGGTCATGGGAGGCTCCTGAAGGAGGTGGCGCTGACACTGGTCTTGGGAGAATAAACTGGAGGTGGCCAGGTGGCGACAGCTGGGGGAGGGGCAGTGCCGCCTCCTGCACAGGCACAGGCGGGCACCGGCTCAGAGCGGGGGACGGTCAGACTGCGGAGTCCCCAGGGGTGCTGGTACGGGAGGCTGGAGGGCGGCCAGGGCAGGGTTAGCAGGCAAGACCTCAAAAACCCTAAATCTGGAATGAATGAATGAATGGATGAATGAATGAATGAGCGAGCGGGTAAGAGCTGACAGCAGGATCCGGGCCCCGTAGAGCAGGGAGTCAGGAATAAAGGACGGGTGGTGGGAGTCTGGGGTGGAGCTGGGTGGGGAGGGTCCAGGTGGAAGGGACGGGCAGGCTGTGTGTGAGGAAGCAGGGGCAGCTGGGTGGCCGGGAGGAAGTGGGGGCCGGGGCGGGACACAGGCGAGGAGGAGGACCCCCAGCTGGTGAGAGGAGGCGTGGGGCAGAGAGGGACAGGGAGGAGAAGGGGGCGGTGCCAGTGTCTAGCCCGGTGGCGGCGGCGTCACTCTAGGGTGGGCCAGCAGGTCCTGTGGGGTGGGCGGAGACCGAGTCTCTGCTTCCCACCCCTGGCTCCCTCGGGCCCTCTGTCATCGTCTGTCCCCTCTGGGGTCTCAGGCCATGCGGGCGGGTAGAGGATGGGAACGCTGGTCCCCAGGAGGTGACTCTGGGGCTACCTGTGAATGCAAACACAGGGAGTGTCCGAGATGTGTCAGCTCGCCTCTCTGGCCTTGTCTGCTGTGCGTGCGTGTGTGTGCGCGCACGTGCACGAGCACCCGTATTTTATTGTGCAAACACCTCCACACTCATGGGTATGTGGGTGTCACTATTTTCCTGTCACCACATACATGTGAACACACCGGGGCGTGTGTCTGTGTTGCTGTGAATGTGACCAGACAGGCGTGTATGCACACGTGTGGGTGCCTTCACTTGGTGGCATGGGGGGACAGCCCTGTGAGTGTGTTCATATGTGTGCATCAATGTGAGCGGAGTTGTGACCACGTGTGCATGTGTGAGCGTGTGGGACCCTGGGCAGACATGTGGACCCATCTGTGTGTCGCCAGGCAGACCTGCCTGTTTCCCTGCGGCCCCCACCCCAGCATGACACCTGGAACTTGCTGAGCCGAGCCCTTTGTGCCGCCCCGGGGCTGGCTGCGGCTGTCCTTTGTGTGTGAAAACCCTCCAGCGCTTCCTCTGCGCCCACCTGCCTGGTGTGCCCTCACTCTGCTGCCACTCCGAGGAGGGGCCGCAAGCAAGCCATGGGTGCCTTCAGCTCTGGGCCCAGCGTGTTGGGAGGGCTCGGAGGGTGGCCCTTAACATTGGTGGGCTCCGAGGACATGCCTGCCCACACCTGGCCCAGCTCCAAGGCTGAGCACACCTGCCCTACCTGCTGACTGGCGCCTCCAGTCCACACCTTGCCCCTCTGTCCCTCATCAGAGCCTCCTGCCTGTGTCCTTTGACCTGAGCCCCTCACTGCTGCCCCTGCCCCCCGCCTCTGTCCTGCCAGGTGGAGCTGACCACCGTGGCCGCCCAGGCGGGCTCCCTGCTGCACAGCCTGGTGCTGCGGGCGCAGGAGCTGGTGCTGCAGCTGCACGCGCTGCAGCTGGACCGCCAGGAGTTTGTCTGCCTCAAGTTCCTCATCCTCTTCAGCCTCGGTGAGTGGGGGCAGCAAGGGGGGATGGAGGGGTGGGCGAGGCCGAGGGGCGGCTCTGCTGTGGCCGGAGTGGGCAAGATGGGGCCTCTGGGGCAAGGACCTGTCCCCTAGTGAATAAGGGTGTGAGGGCCCTGGGCCACAGCCTGGCTCTTAATATGGGGGCTGCTTCCCCTCTGGCCCCCACTTCTCTGTTTGGAAGCAGAGAGGGCCAAGATAGTGCCTAAGGCTGCCCTTCATGAGATGAGAATTTGGTATATTTCTGGCTGCCCACCCTAGAAATCACCCACGCCACCTGCAGAAAATGCCGCGTGAGTTTGGGACATTCTGTTCCCTAGCTCCCATCCTGTGTCCCCGTTTCCCCAATTCCCTGATCCAGAGCTTCCCGACTTCTGACTCTCCCTGTTTGGCGTGCAGACACCTTTGCCCACGCGTGTGCGCACGCATGCATGCGTTCATTCCGCAGACGCGCGCTGGGCATCCGCACTGGGTGAGGCACGGGGGACAGTGGTGAACAACGCCCCAAGCCCCTTCCCTGCGGAGCCGCCCTTCTCCAGGGGAGAGACAGTGGGCATGACGTGACTAGTGCCGCGCGCGGTCTGCTGGATGGCGACCGATGGTGCTACGGAGGAGCTCGACACCCGCTCTGGGCTCTCATCAGCCGCAAACCCTCACCAGTGCCCTCCGCACCCCGCAGTGCTGTGGGCACAGCTCTGTTCCGTGCCAGTCTGGGAGAGACCCGCAGCCCAGGCGGTTAGGGCTGGGACAGAGAGATGGGTGTGGCTCAGGGAACCCAGCATGGGGAGCAAGAGCTCTGCCTCCAAGGCTTCCTAGAAGAGGAACACCTGAGCAGGGTCTCGGCGGATGAGTAGGAGTTCGCTGGGTGGATGAATCTGAGTGCTCCATCCCCTGGGGAGGGGGCGGTTGGCATACAGCCACGGTCTGGCAGGGGCATGTCTGCTGGAGAGTGGCCGGGTGGAGGGTGTCAGGGAAGCAGAGGGGAAGAAGGACTTGATTATGAAAAGTAGAAGCCCAGTGCTCAGGTGGATTTGGGGTGTCTGTGGTGGCCACCAGGCTGGGTGCAGAACCGGCTGGTGGCTGGAGGGCTTATCTGCAGGGCTGCCTCAGGCTTCCTTTCAGGACACCAGCCAGGGCTCTGCAGGGGTTGGTAGGGGACAACCGCTGGGGTGAGGAGGGCGGAATCTTGGGCAGCCAGTTAGGAGCTGGGGCCTGAAATCCTCCCAGAAGCCTTAGGGGCCCAGGCCAGGCTGGCTCCTCCTGGGGAAGCTCCTTCCCCCTCTGCCTCCACCCCCTCCCAGCCTTGTCTGTGAGAGCGGCCAGCCCAGAACGCTGGCACAGGCCAGAGCCGCAGGTGCGTGTGTCTGGGTCCCTGTGGCTTGGGGTGTGGAGACTGCAGGAGGTACGTGTGTGTTTGTGTCTTTGTTTCCGTGTGTGTGTGTGACTTGTGTGGAAGACTGTGCGCTCTTACACGCTGGAGCTCTCTTGTGTGTCATGCACGGGAGGAGCCCGTGTGTGATGGGCAGCTGCGGGGCGGAGGGAACCTGAGGGGTCTGGAGGGGTGGGCGGCGGTGCTCAGAGGCACATGAGATTGGAGCGGGGCGTCTCTGGGGTTCCCGGTGGTTTGTGGGTGACACTTCTTGACCTGATGGGCAGGGTCTTAGAGAGGGTGGGCTGCCAGCCGCCAGGCCCCTTGCCCAAGGCTCCGTCTCCCCCAGACACCCCCTGAAGAGCGGTCGGCCCCCAGCCCCCCTTCCCGCCACAGCCCTGGGCGTTGGGACTGCCAGGCCCAGCCCGGCTCTGACCACACTCGGCCATAGGTCCAGGATCCCCCTTCCCCGGGGGCGAGGAAGACGGCAGAGCGGTGGCCGCCTCCATGCTGGCCTTTGCCCTGCTTCCCAGATGAGGCGGCTGAGGCTCGGGGGACCGGGAGAGACACAGCGCTAGGCTGGCACAGGCTGGGGGGCTGGGGGAGGGGTGGGAGTGTGCGAGTGCGAGTGCGTGTGTGCGTGCATGTGTGTGCTCCCGCACGCATGTGTCTGAGAGGCAGGGTGACACAGTGGCAAGGAAAGGGGACTAGATGGGGATGATGACCCAGCATCTAAATCTGGCCCCTCTCTGGCTGTGTGCCCTTGACCAAATCACTCCCCTCTCTGAGCCGCTATTTCTATTTCCCCATCTGTAAAATGACCATCCTAATAACCCTAACTTGCTATAAGGATTTAATGAGAGAATTCCCCCAAACCGCTCAGCACTTGGCCTGACACCTCCGAAGTGTGTGTCCGTATTGTTTTCATCACAAGTTAATGAGCAAATGAACAAGTTAATGGACAAAGCAAGTGAATGCACCAGGCCACAGTGTCCATCCTTATCGCAGGCTGTGTGTCTGGCACAGAGACGTATCTTTGGGCACAGGGACACGGGTCTGGCTGAGCTGGTAGAGGAGCCCCCAGCCCAGCAGGTCAGAAGTCTAGTGAGGCTGGGCTTGCCGGGGGAGGAGGACGAGGAGGCTCTGGGACCTGGACCTGACTGTGCTGATGAAGAGCAGTGACAAAAGAGGCCAGTGGGCGCAGAGACCGTGGGTGGCAGGTGCCCAGTTGAGAGGGGAGCCTGAGCTCCCAATGTGATAGGGTTGTGCCACAGAGGAGAAACCAACTCCACCTGGGATATCAGGGAAGGCTTCTTGGAGGAAGGGTCTCTGAGCTGGGCCTTGCAGTATAAGTAGGAGTGTTCTGGGTGAAGCAAAAGCAAGTGACATTAAAGGTATTCCAGACTTAAAGGAACAGCTTGTGCCAAGTTATGGGGAATCTTGAAAGTTGGACGTGGCTGTAACAGGTGGGGAGCGGGGGGGAGGAGGAGGCTGGCAAGGTGGACAAGGGCTGTGCAAGGCCTTGAATGCCAGGCCACTTACCTTGAACTTTCCCTTGGGAAGGATTTTAAGCAGGGAGTAATATGATCAAATTTGCATTTCATCAAGGCCCTTCTAAGTGCCGCAGGGGAACAGGAGCCCTGCCTGAGGCCAGGCCGTGGCAGGGGTGGAACAGGCAGCCTGGAGCAGGGGGTTCCTCCAGGATCTCCCGAGCCTCCCCACAGAGCCGGGGCCTCCAGCAAACTGGGACCCAGAGGGGGCTGGCCACTTGCCTGGAGCCCTCCAGCTGGCGTGCGGGGTGTCACCTTTGGGGGCCGCTCCTCCCTGGGCCGGCAGCCGAACCGTGTGCTGTGCTCTGTGTCCCCCCCGCCCCCTCCGCGCCTCCTTCTCGCCTGCCTCTGCATGAGGGTGCCATTTGGCGTCTAAATGGGGAGGGCGCGGAGGCAGGTAAGGAGGTTTAATTAAAATTAGTGCCTCTCTCCTGGCAATCACGGTGTTTATGAAGATGGGCCCGGCTGGCATTGTTCTGCCGAGGACTTAATCGAAGCTTAATGGATTGACCTAACATTCGATTTCCTGACTTGCATTGAGGCGGCGGCGGCAGCATTCCCTTAAGCGTTTGCAATTTACCCACTGCTCCGTGCCAACAAAAGGCGGCCTGAATAGCAGCCCCACTCGAGGGGCCATTGTGCGCGGGGGCGCCTGCCTGAGTCACCGCTATTGGGACAACATTCTTTATGCCTCGCTGGAATGAAAGGATTATTCAAATATTCAATTAAACCGTGAAAAGGGGGCCTCTCTGAGAACCTGGAGGCCCCCGGCTCCTCCGCAGAGCTGGCAGGCCGCACTCCGAGGTGGGGGTGCCATCTCCCGCCCCCTCCCGCCTCCCGCCCTCAGCACTGCTGGGAGCTGAGCACACTTGGGGGCGCAGGCTTGTCTCCAATGTGCCCATCCTCAACCTGCGGGCGCTGGGGGCCCAGAGCTGGGCATACGGATGAGGTCCCGTTCTTGGCTACCCTGTGAGGCAGAGATTGATTTGCCCCCACTGTGCAGATGACAGGAAACTGAGACACAGAGAGGGGAAGTGACTTGCCCAAGGTCACCCAGCTGGCTGTAGAGCTGGGATGTGAACCCCTGACTCACAAAGGGGGCGTCTCCAGGTTTGCGTGACCTCCGCTCCCGTGTCTAATGGTGAAAGGGCATGATTTCTGTGGGATGTTGGCCATCACACCTGTCACCTCTTCGGAGACTGAGGGCGCGGGGAGGCTTGGAGAAGGGGAGTGACTTGCCCAAGATCTCAAGGTGAGGAAGAAGTTCAGGGCCCAGGGTAACCTCTCTGGGGTAAAGCTAGGACCCCAGGGTGGGGCTCTTGGACTGGACGGAATACAGTGTTATGTCCAATCCCCTAGGAACTGGTGGCCAAGCTGACCCGGCCCCAGCCCCAGGCAGGGGTACTCAGCCCTGCCTGCCCACAGTGCGAGGCTCGGGCTTTGCGGTCAGGGAGACCTTGTTTGAATGCGGGCTCTGGCATCTTTGTGTTTCTCAGGCACACCCTGACTCTGTGAGCCCTGGCGGTGTCTGTCTGCTTCCCCGCCTGTCCGGATGTCCATGGGGATTAGCGAAGCTGGGTGCAAGGGGCCTGGTGGGTGCCCAGGAAACTGGGCCCAGACCCTCGGACTGTGGCACTCGGGCTCATTTCATGACTGTGCTGCCCTCCCCCAGCCCTGTGGCTGCCCTCACAGGGGCACTAGGGGTCTCTAGTGCCTGAGAGCTGAGACCACAGTACCGCTTGGAGGGGGCTGTCCCTGAAACCTGTCCTTGTTCTGCACCCACCCCCTGCACTGTTGTCCCTGGCACCGTGTAGCTGGGAACAGTAAATCCTGGAAAAGCCGAGGCCCTGGTCCTCCCCAGGCCCCTCCCGTCCCTGCCCCGAAGGCAGCATCCTGGCCAGTCCTCCCCCGGCCCAGCTGTTTCTTCCAGGCCCCTCTACTGCTGTGTGGCCTTGAGCTGGTCCCTGTCCCTTTCTGGACCCTCAGCCTCCTCTTGTGAATTGTCAGAAGATGATATCGGGAGACTTGCCCAGGCCCAGAGGACAGGGACAGTGGGGAGGGAAGGCATATGGACGGAAGTGGGATGGGAAGAGGTTGGGATAGGGATGAGGCCAGTAGGCACCTGTTGCCCCTAGGAGCTCAGCTAGGTGGTGTGACTTCCCTGACCTTTGAGTATGTCTGGGGCAGGCCAGGCTGGGGAGCAAGACTGCTACGTCCAGTTGGGCAGGCTGCTCACTGCACCAGGGCACCCAGGCCAGGGGGCGGTGAGGGCTGAACTCCAGCTGTACCTCTGTGGACAAGCGGGAACTTCTACCTAGCTGGCACGAAGGTGCCTTATGGGCAAATGGTGATCCTGGGGAGGCAGGAAAGAATGGCCCAGGCTCACTACTGAAGGCAGGGGGAGGGGCCGGGGTGGGGGTGGAGGATGGAGGCCAGATCCTGCCAAGCGCCCCAGGCCCAGCTCCGGTTTCCCTAAATCCGACTTTGGACAACACAGGCCTCGGCAGGCGCGCTGGGGGCGGCCGGGGATCAGGGTTGCCAGGAGCGGGGAGCTCTCCCGGTGCGGCGGGTGTTAAGAGGGATTAGGGGGCTGGGGGCTGCACATGCTGGCTCTGGACGCCCCCGCAGCAGCAGGGCTGGGGTGATGGGGGCGGAGGGGAAGCGGAGGGATGGCCATTTTCTGGGCCTCTGGTCGCCATGTCCCAGGCAAGGCCGGGCTGGGTGCCTGCTCACCCCGACCCCCAGCCAGGGCACCACTGGGGAGGCCGCCCAGGAGCTGGAAGAGGCCTCAAGCCATAAGCAGGACTTGGATGACAAGAAACTGACCCAGGCTCCCCCCACCCGCCCCTGCCCTGCAAGGTGGGCACGGCAGGGCAGGGACGCATCCATGGGGCCATGGCTCCTGGATGGTGGCTGGCTGGGATTTGAACTTGGTCTGTCTCACTGCAGGGACATTTTGCTTGTTGTCTCGTCACTGGACCTCGTGTGGGGGGGACGCTTCAGTCTCAGTCACACAGGCCAAACCCCCGCCTCTCCCTCCACGGGAACCTTTCCTCCACGTTCAACACGCACCTTCGTTTGACCCTGTTCTTACATAACGTCTGCTTTGTCTACAAGCACTCTGAATTTATGTAAATGGCTTTGCCTTATAGATCTCACTCTGGGTCTTCCTTTCATGCTTTTTGTTTCCCACTCAGCCCCGTGCTCTTACAGATCACCCGTGTGCTCCGTGTTCTGCCATCTCCATCACGTGATCCTCGTGGTGCAGCCACCACAAGGCCTTCTAGATCACCCCCTCGCCACCATCAAAACAGACGGTCCCTGACCTAATGGTGGTTCCATTTAGGGTTTCTCGACTTAGCGACGGAGGGAAGGCCGTGTGTGCTCGGTAGAAAGCGCACGTTGAGTACCCATACAATCATTTTGTTTTTCACCTTCAGGAAGCACTCAGAAACTTCCATGAGATATTCAATGCTTGTTTATAAAATAGACTGTGTTAGATGACTTTACCCAACTGTAGGCTAAGGCAAGTGTTCTGAGCACGTTTACGGTAGGTAGGCTAAGGCACGACGCTTGGTGGGCTCGGGTGTATCAAATGCACTTTTTTTTTTTTTTTTGAGACAGCAGTCTCGCCTTTGTTGCCAGGCTAGAGTGGCGAGTGCCGTTGGCGTCAGCCTAGCTCACAGGCACCTCAAATTCCTGCCGTCAAGCCAATCCTGCTGGCCTCAGCTCCGAGGCTAGCTGCGGACTACAGGCATGCTCCCTATGGCCGGCTATTTTTTTAAATATATTATATATATTTAGCTTGGCCAATTAATTTCTTGTCTAGTTTATAGGTAGAGATGGTCTCGCTCTTGCTCAGGCTGTTTTTCGAACTCCTACTCGTTGAGCAATCCGCGCACCTTCGGCCTCCCAGAGGCTAGGATTACAGGCCGTGAGCCACACGCCCGCCGTAATTTTTTGTTAATATATATATTAGTTGGCCATTAATTTCTTCTTTTCTATTTTTATATGATAGGTAGCGACGGTGTCCGCTCTTGCTCAGGCTGGGTTTAGAAACTCCATGAACTCGAGCAATCCGGCACACCTCAGCCTCCAGAGAGTTAGGATTACAGGCGTGAGCACCAAGCCCAGGCCTTCTAAATGCACTTTTTTTTTTTTTTTTTTTTTTTTTTGAGACAGAGTTCTCGCTTTGTTGCCCAGTGCTTAGGAGTGAGTGCCGTGGCCGTTCAGCCTAGCTCACGAGCAACCTCAAACTCCTGGCTCGAGTGGATTCCTTCTGCCTCAAGCGCTCCCAGGCTTAGCTGGGACTACAGGCATGGCCACCATGCCCGGCTAATTTTTTTTATTATATATATCGTTGCCAATTAATTTCTTCTATTTGCTAGTAGAGACGGGGTTCTCGGCCTCTTGCTCAGGCTGGTTTTGAACTCCTGACCTTGAGCAATCCGCCCGCCTCGGCCTCCCAAGAGCTAGGATTACAGGCGTGAGCCACAGCGCCCGGCCTTCAAATGCACTTTTGACTTACGATGTTCTCAGCTCACGACAGGTTTTTTGGGACGTGGCCCTGCGGTGAGCCCAGGAGCGTCTGCTTTGCTGCAGTGAACACCCACGTCCCCTCAGGGCCCCGCGGGCACCGGAGCCTCTCTGTTGGAGACCCAGAGGGTGTCCGTCGTTCTCTAGAATGGGGCCTCCGGTCCTCCTGCCTCACCTTGTGCGACAGGTGCCCCTCGTCAGTTGTGGTAGTGGCGACACGGGGAAAGTGGCAGGGTGGTAACGCTGATGGCGACAGCCTGGGGGCGAGGCATTGGTGATGTTGATGGCAGCATAGTTTTGACCATGGTGACTCGGATGGTGTTTTGACCATGGTGACGCGGATGGTGCTGGCCACGGTGAGAGCAGGGGCGATAATCAGCTCACCTGCTGAGCTTCTCACGTGCCAGACGCCTCTAGGCATTTTCCACGTATCAACTCCCAAAACTGTTATGACAGTCTTACAAAGTAGGTGCTATTCACAGATGGGGACATTGAGAGGTTAAATAACATGCCCAGGATACACCTGGCACGGCTGGTGATGGTCTTGGTGAATCTTGGTGCTCATCATGACCATTGCAATGATGACAATGGCAGTGATGATGGTGACAGGTGACCACGGTTGGGTGGCTGATGGTGGCAGTGTCCCACATTTGTGAAAACCACAGGGATATGGGTATTGGTGATTGGTGACGGTGGTGGTGTTTGTCCACCGTGGTGAGGACAGGGGCGATGGGGAGATTGTGGTTGCATGGTTGATGGTGGCAATGCCCATGTCTTCAATGGTCACAGGGAAAGTGGTGTTGGTGATGCTGGTGACAGTGTTAGCCTGACCCTGATGAGGATGGTGACCGAGGTGTTCCCTTTGCAGATGTGAAGTTCCTGAACAACCACAGCCTCGTGAAGGACGCTCAGGAGAAGGCCAATGCTGCCCTGCTCGATTACACCCTGTGCCACTACCCGCACTGCGGGGACAAGTTCCAGCAGCTGCTGCTGTGCCTGGTGGAGGTGCGGGCCCTGAGCATGCAGGCCAAGGAGTACCTGTACCACAAGCACCTGGGCAACGAGATGCCCCGAAACAACCTGCTCATCGAGATGCTGCAAGCCAAGCAGACTTGAGCCTGGGCCGGCTGGGGCAGGGCTGGGGCTGGTGGGGGGTGGGGCGCAGCCACCTGAGGCCCTCCAGACGGTTTATTTAATGATGCCAACCCAGGAGCCCCATCCTGTAGTTCCCTGCCCCCGAGCTCTGATGCTGTGTGTTTGGGAAGGTGGGTGAGACCAGGCAGGCCTGGCTGAGGTGAGGTGGCCCCTGCCAGCCACTGACACTTGCCTGCTACTCAGAGTGTCCCCCCAGGAGGTGGCTGCTGAGCACCCCCCCCCTCCCCCTGCTCCCAGCTGTCTGTCCTGGAGTCTGAAGCGTGGTCTGGGGAGGAGGTTCGGGATGCCCTGGTGGGCCTCGATGTCCCTTGGGTCAGAGATCATCCCTTCCCCCTCTCCTGAGGACAGACAGGGAGAAGCTGAGCGGTCGTCAACTGGGGGAGAAGAGAGGGTCCCCAGTGCTCCTCCATGGACACCAGGAGGGAAGCCCTCTGCTTTGTAAACCAGGGAAACCGAGTTTGCTAAATTGATCGGGGGCTGTTGGGGCCTAGAGGACACTGGGTGACTGGTCAGGACAGAAAGACCCCTCCCGAGCCCTTCGACCCCATCTGCCTTCTGCAGGGGGGACTTTGCTCCATTATCTGAAAGGAACTTTGGCACAGTCATCTTTCTGTCCTGCTCCCACCAGGGAGACGTTTGGCACATGCGAGCCCCACCGCGGTTGGCCAGCCCAGGCTGGTATTTATCTGCAAGGCTGTAGTCAAGAAGTTTTGTGGCTTTTTGGGTTTTTTTGTTTTGCCAAGACACTCTGTGAAAGATGTGTGTGATAGAGGGCACAGATCCGAGGACTGGGGCTGGGATTTGGGGATTAGCACCAAGCGCAGCCCTTGGTTTCTCCCCACTCTCATAGCAAGCACCCGAGGCGTGGTGCTGGGTCACCAGTTCTGAGCCCCCACCCAATCCAGACAGAGGTGTTGCCTGCCCTCCACCCCACTAGATGGACTGCAGGATGCGCCGGTGGGGGGCTCAGAGTCACTGTGGGTGAACTTGGGAGGGTGCGTGTGTCTCTAGGTCAGGGACAACGCTGATGGGCCCCTCACTCATGGCCCCATCCCATCGGGTCCCTTGCTGCAAATCCAGGAAGCTGGGCCTCAGCTCCCTGACCTCCTGCCCTGTGTCCTGAAAGACACTCTCCAGGGCCAGCTGGACGAGACTGGGCATCCCTGCCCCCTGCCGTCCACCACCCTGTCTCAGTCCCCACCTCTAACCCCGAAACGTGTGCCCCTGCCAAGACCAGAGACCCACAGTCCCAAAACGAGAAGTGCCCTTAAGAATCTCCCCAGCCCCCACAGCCCTGGAATAAATTTTGCAATTAGTTTCCAGCTATCTTTGCCTGTTCACGTTCTGGGGCCGAAGCAGAACCTCCTGGGGGGCTGCAGGGGGGGCTGTGGAGGGCACTGTCTGACCTGGAGAGAGGTGGGTGACCAGACGACCCGGTGACCAGACGACCTTTGGTTCAGAGCTCTGGGGAGGCGGGGTGAGCCGTGGGGGGATGCTGGGCGCCTTTGGGTCTTGGCTTCAGCTCTACCCTCCCTGGCCAGGCCAGCTCAGCCCCTCTCCTGGGCAGAGGAAAGCAGTCATTTAATGGGCACCTACTGTATGCTATCCCTCATCTCACTGTCCCCACAGTAGCCCCGTGAGGCAGGGCTTATAATTCGGAGCAGAAGGCACTGGCCAAGGGCCCCTCAGCCAGAAAACCTGGGTCCACCCGACGTCAGAGCACTGTCCCTTTCCTCTCTGCCCTGGCCTGCCACACACCCCCGCTTGGTGGCAGCAGTGAGCACGGCCAATGCCTGCACTCCGGGGCTTAGCCTGCCTGGTCCTGTCATCCCACCTGCTCTTGCAGCCACTTCTGCAGGTGGAAGCCCCAGATTACAGATGAGGAAACTGAGGCATGGAGGGGTGAAGTGGCTTGTCCAAGGTCACGGAGCTGAGAAGAGGACAGTCATTGTGTAAAGCTCCGTCATCCTGACCCACTTTGACCAACTTAACTAGTCAATCTCCAGGGGCACTCTGCTCCTTCCAATGCTTCTGTGCAAATTAGAAAAAGGCACCCCCTCTAGGGTGATGTAGCCCTAGGCACGTGGCTTGGCAGTGACATTTATGCAAAGAAAAAGGCATTCCTCGGCACCTGTAGAAATGAAGCAGGCACCCTAGTTTCTGCCTGGGGCAATGTCCAGTGAGTAGGAGGTGAGTATCTTAATCAAATTACAGTCTGAGGTGATACTTCATGGAACTGAGTCAGATAAGATGAAATGATTGACTGCACTCCTGGGGGACAGCAGAGGGGACAGGAAGGCTTCATAGCAGAAGTGTCATTCAAATTGGGTTTTGAAGGATGCCCAGGAGTTTACCAACTAAACAGGAGTTAAGAGCAGTCCAGGCAGAGGGAACAGTGTGAGCAGGATGGAAGAGTGTCAGCCAGTGGTGTTTGGGGACCTGGTTACTTGGCTGGAGAGTAAAGGGAGGGGGTGTAGAGAAGAAGGGTAAGGGGTGGGGGAGGGGAGACTGGAAAGGACCCCTTGGCCCCATCTATGGCTCCTCCCCCAGGCCTATGATTGCTCTGGGGGTAGACAGGAGCCCCCTGAAAGTGAGAGTAAAGTCAGATGATGCAAAATGCAGGCGGTAGGGGGCCACCAAGTGTCCTGCCCACCTCCTTGCTACCCCTTCAGGCTCCAGCCCCAACCCCCCCCCTCCTGCTCAGGAGTGACCTAGCTTGGCCCAGCCCTTCCTCTGCCTTCCTGGTGCAGGGCGGGGGCTCTGCCATTCCCCCCTCCCCCCGTGGAGTCATACTGTCTTCTTTCCAGACCCTCCCCAGCCTGGCGCCTCCAAGGCCTTGAACATCACCTCCTCTGGGCACAGGCTCCGGCTCCCACAGCCTCGCACATCTGTCCCTGGCCACAGCTGACGGGTCCTGAGTGCCTACTGTATGCAGGCTCCACACGCAGCACTAACACACAGGCCTGCACTGACACCTCGAGTGGCCTGCCTCGGGGGCCCGATGTCCCCATGCTGCAGACGACAGACTGGGCTTCCAAAGGTAAACAGCCCCCACCCCCAGAGTGAGACACCCAGACCTGTGCTTGCGTGGGCGGGTCAAACACCCTGGGATAGATTTTGCCCCAGACCCAACCCAGGTGGGGTTCAGAATGGAAGCCACGAAGGCCACTGGGTGCTGGGGGGCCTCTCGGGTCTCTGCTGCTCCGCACGCAGCCCCGCCCTCCTCCTGGCCAGGCAGCTGTTGTGCCTGGTGCTCAGCTATGCCAGTTGTCTGGCCCCAGCAGGGTCTCAGCCAGGCCGGTGTCAGCAAGGTGTTAGCAGCCTCTACACCCCAAGCCCCAGCTCCTGGCCCCTCTTTTGCCTGCCCCCTGCCTTGGGGCCCAGCCTGGTCCCAGGCCTGGTGCCAAGCCTTAACACTATCCTGGCTGCTCCCCTTGCCCTAAAGCCCGTTCTGCCAAAGCAGAGACCAAGACCCACAGGATAACCTTGCCCAAGGCCACACAGTGGCTGCTGGCAGGGCCTGATCCCTCAGCCCGACTCAGCAGACCTCCTTTCTGCAGCTGCGGCTGCCCTGGTGCCTCCTCCCGGCAGTCTTCCTGGGTGGCTCCCACTTGCACTGCCACCTCCCTGACTGCTGTGCCACATGGCCAGGGAGACCCCAGGGCCTAGTCACCATCTCTGAGCCTCAGTGTCCTCCTCTGCACAACAAAGCCGAAGTGGCAGCTTTTCTCACTCCCTCTCTCCTGCCAGAGGGCCTGGCCTCCCCTCCCGCTCCCCAGACCACGATGACTCCCCACCGCAGGGACAGGCAGAGCCTCAACAATACCATTTATTGCCACAGACACCACAGGGCACATCAGAACCTCTGGGCAGGTGGAAGGAACAATCACAGACAGGAGTGCAGGGGACACAGCCGTGGGGCCTGAGGAGCAGCAGGGCTGGGCCCATGAGGGGGGCGAGGCTGAGGCCAGCGAGGGCAGGGGTGGTCCAGGCACTGCTGCACCCTCACTCAGGGGCTGCCGGCTGCACCTTTCATGGGTCTGGGGTTCTGGGCAGAAGGTTCTGGGTCTCGGGCAGAAGTCCCCAGGCTGGGCTGAGCGGGGCGGGGCTTGGAGAGACGGACCCCTGCACTCTGTCTAGAAACCTGGGAGGAAAGTGTGCCCTTTGGGCTTGGGTGGCAGAGAACAATGGTGAAGACCCCGAAAGCCGGGGAGGGGTGGGGGCTGAGGATGGGAAAGACCCTGAGCAGTCTTGCTTTCTGAGCCTCGGTTTCCCTCCTAAGAACACCTGCATGCCCGGGAGGGCTCCGCGGGATTTTAGGAGGGGCAGCGGCAGGCACCCTAAGGAGCACAGCTGGCAGACCCCACTCCCCCAACTTCTTGCTCAGGCCACCTGATTGGGGAGCGGTGACTAGAAGCAGGGTCAGGGTCTGGGGGCTGCACCAGGTTTGGGGGTCCAGAGGGTGGGGCCGAGGTGGAAGCGGCTCCGTTGCTACGGGCGGCCCTAGCAACGCACCCATTCAGCGGAGACAAAGGCGCTGTCACTGGAGCGCAGAGGCGCCGCCGCAGGCTCTTGTTCCCGCAGCCGCGACGCCGCGGGATGGGGGCGGGGCGGGCCGTGGGAGGCGGGCGGCTCAGGGCCCGGCAGCGCCCGCCGCGCCTACGCCCCTCGGCCTGCAGGGGGCGCGCCCGGCCCGTTTTGCAGAAGGGGAAGCGGCGCCTCGAAGGGACGGAGACACCAGCCAGAGGCAAGGGCCAGCTGGGAGGCTGGGGCCACACAGACCTGGGCTCAGACATGCCCACACCTACACCCACGGGACTGGCTGCGCCCGGGTCCCCCATCTGCGGGGCGGGCCTGACCCCGGCTCTGCCGCCGACCCTGGCTAGTTGCTGCTCCTGTCTGTGCCTCAGCCTCATCCAGCCACTGGGAGAGAACAGTGGGGCCTTTCCCCAGGTCCCTGGGTGAGAATCGGCAGGTGCCTGCCTGGGGTTTGCCCCGAGCCTGCCACAGTACCAGCTTGTACACGGGCCTCTTGCCCGGCGCTGGAAACAGGTGGTTTGAGGCTGGGGAGTGGGTTTAAGGTTGTGGGGACTCAGGCTCAGGGAGGCTGGCAGCAGTCAGGGTCCCCATGGCTCCCCTCGGGGACCTCAGTCCTCAGTCCTCTCCCTGAGCAGAGCCTAGAGTGTCCCCAGCTTGCCCGGCTGCCCACAGGCCACCCCACTATTGCAACCCCATCTGCTGTCCAGCTGGGGAAACTGAGGCTTGGAGGAAGGCACTTGTCCCTCACCGGGTCTGGAAGGTCTTTTGGATCACAGGGCATCAGGACAGAGGGCCTGAGAGGGAGGCTGGGCTTGGGGGCAGAGTGGTGGACAGAGAAAGGCAGGCTCCTCGTTCACTGCTCCTTACCCCGGGCAGCACCAGCTCAGAAAGGGGTTCCGCCAACAAGCCCCCTCACTATTCCCTATCTAGCCCCCTTCCAAGGCCCCCCGTGTGTTAATGGAGGGTTTCGGGCACCAGCGAGGGGCAGAGTTGGGGGAGGGAGGCTGGGTGTGGGCGCTTTGCAAATCACTTCCATGCTGGTGCAGCGGGGCTGAGGGGCTGTCCAGGCCCAAAGGGGAGAGGGGAGCCCCCGGAGTTGGGAGCTATACCTGAAGCTTTGAACGCAGTCAGCTCCACAGCCTGAGGACAGAGGGGCCGTCAGGGGGCTGGGCGCCACTCCTGCTGCTCCCCCTTGCCCTGGGGGCCCTTGGCTACCAGGCGATGACTCCCTCCCTCCCTCCCTCTCTCCCTCCCTCCACGATGGCCTTGGCATTCAGGTTCTGCCAGCGTGCAGGGCCCTGCAGCCCCGGAACTAAGGACCGGATCCCAGGGAAGCCCCACTCCAGCCCTCCCCAAGTCCCTGCGGCTTCCCCAACCCTGGGGGCCACTCTGGCCCACTCTGGCCAGCCTCACCGGTCTCTCGGGTTCTGCGATGGGGGAGAAGGCCGTGGGGATTCTGGGGCCACGGGTCCCTGGCGGGGGCAAAACACTGCAGTTGGTGAACTTCTGGGAGACTGAGGCAGGAAGCCCTCTCTCTGCCTCTCCATCCTGGGAGCGGGCCCTCATGATCAAATGTCCTGAAAATCGGCTCACAGGTTTACCCCGCAGATGGGAGATGAGGAAACTGAGGCCTAGAGAGGGAAGGTGACTTGCCCAAGGCACGAGGGAGGTGAGCTGGAGCTACGGTTGGAACCCCTGGCCTGGCCTTGAAGCCATTCAACCCATGTCCTGCCTCAGGGCCCCAAACCCCATCGACTTGCCTGTCTCTGGGAGACCCCCGTATGGCCTGGGCACCAGGGACCCTGTTTCTTGGCAGTGGGAGGTAACAAGCCATTTCTAAGCCACTCCCCAAGACCCAAGGTTGCAGTTTCCTGAGCCTCAGTTTCCTTATCTTTCAGATGGGCTAATAGGACCTGCCCTTGTCCTCCTAGTTTTGCCTGAGACCTGGGGAAACTGAGGCACTGGACAGGGCTCGGACTAGAGGGTGATGAGGCCATACCTCTGAGAGCCATGTGTCTTCCAGCGGCAGGCGAGGCCACAGGGCTGCCCTGCGCCACCTCCCAGGGACCTGGGGGCCAAAGGCTGGCCGCCCGGCAGGTGGGGCTGCAGTGGGTCTGAAAGGACAGGGCACTGGTGCTCGCACACGCATCCACGGTGCCTGGGCCTCCCGCCCCACCGCCCCGCGAGCATCTCAGCTGCCTTCTTCTCAGTCATCCTCTGCAGGGCGCTCCGCACCTGGGGAACGACGGGGGTCAGGCCTGGGGGGCTGATGACCCCACTCCAGCCCAGGGCACCCCCTCCGGCAGCCAGCATGCCCAGACTCACCTCCCCATTGTAGGCTGCGTAGACCAGGAAGATGTACGGCCCCTGGAGACAGACCGCGTGGGTGGGCAGGTGCCACAGCCTGGGATGCCCCCCCCCACGGCTTGGCCTCCTGCCCTGCTTGGGGTCATGGCGCCGCCCCAGTGGTCGCCATGCCACAGCCTAGGTGAGTGCTGAGGAACACAAAGCTGCCCTCCTGCCCGCCTGGGAGCGGCCGCTGGGGCATCTCCAGGAGAGGGGACTAGGAGGGGCCTTGCCCCACCCAGCCCCATCCCTGCAGCTGCTCGGACCTCAAGTCTGCTCCTCCTGCAGCTCCCCAGGCCTGCCCCACCCGTACAGCCTCACGGGCCTGGGGGCTTGGGGATGGGAGGGGGGACACCTCCCTAAAGCTCCAAGGCCAGGTCAGGTCCTGGGACAGCAGACCCGTGAGTGCATTTTCACTGTGCCTCTAGCTGAGTGGCCTTCTCCTCCCTGAACCTCTGTCTCGTCATCTGGAAAGTGGGGATGAGGCCAGGACTTGCCTTCTGAGGGGGTGGGAGGGGCCAGGTGGGAAGGACCACACCTTGGGGAGTGAAGCCACCTCTGCCCCAGCCACTGTGCTACTGTGTCCACTGTGCTGGACCTGGAGGGGCCAGGTCCTTCCCACCAGGTCCTTCCCTCCAGGTCCAGCACAGTGGACACAGTAGCACAGTGGCTGGGGCAGAGGTGGCTTCGCTCCCCAAGGTGTGGGGACAAGAAGGCCTTGCCACTCACAAAGCACCTCACATTTGGGGTCTCGCTGGCCCCTCACAGCAGCTCCCTGGTGGGGGCTTTGTCCTCCCCATTTGATGGACAGGGACCCTGCAGCCCAGGGTGGGGACAGGGCAATGAGTCCCACGCTCCACTGTGACCCAGCGGGAGGTCCAGTGGCCCAGGACTTCCTCAGAGTCCTCCTGGGCAGCGCAAAAGGCAGCAGCTCCTGCCCTGAGGCTTGGACTGGACGACACAGGCTGGGGTCGTGGGAGACCCTGAGGCCTTCCAGACTCCCAGGCCTGAGGCTGGAGCCTCAGAGCCTGATCGTACCCCTCCTTGTCCCCCGGTGCCCAGGCACCAACTGAGATGACGCCACCATCAGCCTGAGACAGACTCAGAAGCCTCCCAGCGCCTGATACTCAAACTGTCCTCTTCCTGCAGCCTCCCCAGCCCGTCGCCTTTTACCCACTCCTCATCACAATGGCATCTTGCCAAACTCCAACCAGCTGCGCCGGCACCTGCCCAGCACACTCCATGGCTCCTAAGCACCCCTGGGACAAAGTGTGACTGCACAGCAGCTCTGGGGCCCTGCACAATCTGGCCACACACCCGCTCCTGCCCCACTTCTCACCGGCCTTCCCACGTGTCTCCCGCTCTGATCCCACCAGCTGCCCTGGCTGGACACATCCTTGCCCTCTGCCCTGCAGCCATCAGGTGTTAGTGAGAATCCCCCCTCCGGAAGTGCCCACCCTGTCCGCCCATGAGTGGCTCCTCTGTCCCCACACTGCCTTGATGGTCCTTTGGCCTCTCAGCCTCGGTTGTACCACACTGTGCTCGTGTGGTTCTGATGTCTGCGTGTCCCTCAGGCTGACAGTGCCACAGGGGGACTCTGGGCTCCTGTGCACCGAGGTAGGCAGAGGGCCAGAGAGGGACCGGGCCGAGCTGGGAGGTGACACAGAGACAGCAGGTATGGCAGAAACAAGAGGAGAAGGGAAAGGCCAGGCCTGGGGAGAGCGACGCAGATAACAGGGCCCTGATCCCGAGAGGGTCACAGGACCAACAGAGGCGGGCCCAGGTCCCCCACCGTCAAGCCGCCCACCCTGAGGCCGCCTCGCCCTGCTGTCACTGGGAGGCCTCCCCAGGCGGGCCTGCGGGGAGGGTGACGGGAGGGAGCGAGAGGGGCCCCACTGCCGAGACGGAGAGGCAGAAATGGAAAGATGGGGTGTTGGGGAGACGGGGTGGGGCAGACGGAGGGGCCAGGAAGAGCCAGGTGGATCCGTGCCAGGAATAGCACCATGGCTGTAAGGGGAGAGGGGACAGTGATGGAGAGACAGCCCAAGAGACAGAAAGAATCTCCCAGATAAAATAAAGAGGAAGAGACAAAGGGCGAGCCACTGAGAGGAAAGAATGAGAGGGGAAGGGCGGGAGGCACAGCCGGTGGTGACGGTGGCACTGTCCCCATGTCCCCATGGCAGTGCCTCTGCCTGCCTGAGGGACACAAGCAGGGCGGGGCGCAGCAGGGACCTACCCTGCAATGTGGAGGGGCGCCTGGCAGGGGGCCGGAGGGGTCGCTGTGGTGACGAATGCCTGGCCCTGTCTGGGCTGCGGGGAGGGGACAGCCTCACTAGGTCACAGCTGAGGCTGAGCCTGTGTCAGGGGAGGGCGTGCAGCGCCCCAGCCCCCACCGCGCAGGCCCAGCAGGTCTCCGGAGGAGTCGTGCTTCCCTGGGAATGGCATTGCGCCCCAGGGCCCCTCTGTGGGCAGGACTGTCACCCTTCCTGGCAGGCCCCCTTGCTTTTCCTCTCTGTCTCCACACCGACCTGGCGAAGGTGGCTGAGTCCCCAGGGCTGGGGGAGACGAGCACACAGGCCAGGGCACCCCAGGACCCCGCAGCCAACACCCCTCCCCCTGCCTGCCTGTCCCCTCACTTAATCACTTCATTTCTTCATCTTGGCCATGGCTGCCTCCCCTTTCCAAGGGTGGCTCCATGGGAACAGGGCTTTTTTGCTCCCTGGTTTGCTGCTGTCTCCCGGTGCCTCAGCTCCTTCTCTGAGGAAAGATGGAGGGTCCCGTGGAGGGACGCTAGAGGGGTGTGCACCTGGCGGCTGGGCTTTGTCCAGCGGGGCCTGGCCTGCCCACTCTCCCAGCCCTGAGGGGCCCAGGCCGGGTCCCCCACCCCGGCCTCCCCCTCTTTCAGCACTCGGCCCCTTGGCTGCCACCGTCCATCCAGGTCTGGCCTCCCCACAGGTCTGTGAATCCCTTGAGGACAGAGGCCCAGCCGACCTCGTCTCTGTGGTTCCCGGACGCGCGGTGCCGAGGGGTCTCCGCAGTCCCCCGTCACTGCTCCAGCGGGCTCGGCCCCGGCTCCTCGCCAGACTGCTGTCCTCACTGACAAGCAGCTCACGCTGACCCCACGGCCGGCCACACACCCGGCGAGAAGAGGGCTGGTCCCCTGCACCCGCCTCTTGCGGGGGACTGAAGTGGCTCTGGCACAGCCTGGGGGCTGGAGTTGTAGCTGCTCCCTGAATGTCAGGGCCCAGGGAACCCAACGGTCCCTTTTCGGGGCCTCGGCTTCCTGAACTGCGCAGCGGCCACGCCGTCTTCCACCCTCACACTCAGAGCCCCTCCTCTTGGGAGAACGTCTGTCCCCGCTCCTGCTGAACGTCCCTCATGACGGAGAGCTCACCCCTGCTCAGTCCCCGACAAAGCAGCCACCCTCTGAGCTGCAGTGCGTGTTCGAGGACGGCCCAGCCAGCCCAGCCAGCCCAGGGCGTGCGGGTACCTGGCAGGCGTTGAGGCCCACGGCGGCATAGGCCCAGGCTGGGCCGTGGTGCACCAGGAGGCCGACCAGCCAGCTGAGGCCCAGGACAGGCAGCAGAACGAGCACGGGCTTCACCGTGGCCCTGTGGGAGGGTGGCGGGGCTCAGGGGCTGGGCGGCCTAGGGAGCTCCCCATGGGGCTCCAGGGAGCAGGCCTGGGAAGCACCCCGAGAGGGGCTGGAGCTGCAGACCAGGGACCACGGCCAGGCAGGACTTAGGTGTACCCAGAACCTTCTACTGGACTTTTTGTGCTCTTCTCAAAGACCCAGAGTTTTCATGAAGTAGGGGTGGTGGCACTGGGGAGAGGGGGTCCCAGTCCCAAACCTGGCTGGAAGGAATGGGATGGCAGCTGCCCAGAGGGAGGCTTGAGGCCTGGGCAGTGGGGCCAGGGGGCCTGGGGTCAGAAGGGCTCCTCCTCCCCCTTCCCCAAGGATCGCTGGGGTTCCCTGGCTTTTCAGGGACCCTCTGGCTTGGGCTGCCCTGCCCTGGGCGGAGGGCAGGTGGGGAAGAGGAGGGCCCGAGAGGAGGCAGGGCTGGGGGAGGAAGGCCAGCATAGGCCCCCTCTCTAGCAGGGCGTGGCCCTGGAGAGCGATAGGGGTCCCTAGAAGGCTCTGGGTCTTCAGCCTGAACCTGAGCTTCTGAGGATGGTGGCCTTGTCCCTACCAGACTGTCAGTGCCTTCTGTGGACAGTGTGCCCCAGCACTGTGGCTGGCAGCCACACCGCCTCACACAGGCTCAGTGACCATCCCATGCACGACACACACGGCCACATGCTTACACACACAGACATGCACGAGCATGTGTAACACATGAGCAGGGACACACGGGCACACAAGTGCTCACTACAGCCTCAAGCACAGCCACACAGCCACATGCCTCGACACAGCCTCGCCGGCGAGGGCCGGGCTCCCGCGGGCCTCACCAGAGCTGCATCCTGACCTGCTGCTGCAGGCGGGGCCGCGGGCTCAGCATGCGGGCACGGCGGCGGGCGCTGGACACAGTGACCATCACCACGCGGGCCAGGATGCAGGTGTTGGCCTGGAGACCTGGTGTCAGCGGGCGAGAGGCATTCCCCCTCCCCACACGGCGCCACCCTCCAGGACCCCCAGCTCACAGTCAGCACGAAGAGCACGGGCCCCACAAAGGCCCAGATGGCGTCTGTGTGCACGTTGAGCCAGCAGTGTCCAGGGGCCACATAGTCACCGGGGAACGCGGCCAGGGTGATGGCCACAATGCTCACAGGCACGCCTGGGGAAGGGAGACGGGGCCTCGGCCGTGCAGCCCACCCTCTCCTCTCCAGGCCCCGCCCCCCGAGCTGCAGCCACAGCTGCCCCTTAGCGGAGCAGGGTTCGGTGGGCCTGTCACTGTGGGGGTGGCATCGGAGCCATGAGTAGTGTGGGGTGGGGAGAGCTGAGGCTAGACTGAAGGCCAGGGCTGGGCATCTATGGAGGGGGAGGGTGGCGACTGCTGGGGGTAGCTGGTCACGGACTGGGGGGACAGCACTGGAAGTGGGTGAGGTTGCTGGAGTGGAGCAGGGTTACGAGGAGCTGGGGGTGGGTAAAGTTAGAGGTCGACAGAACCGGGGAGATTGAGCTCGTGTTAGGGATGGGGACTGGGTGGTGCTGGGTGCTGGTGCTAGGTGCTGCTGGGTGCTGGCGTGCATGGAGAGGGGAGATGAGCACTGGGTAGTGTTGGGCATGGGGCAGTGTGAGATGGCAGCAGGGGCCTGTGCAGAGCACAGGTGGGGAGCAGGGGCCTCACCCCAGCCTATGGCGTAGTAGAGCCTCATCCTTGGACCAGGGCGCATGCTCACGGCCACCACCTTGCTCCACAGCAGTAGTCCCTCCACCAGCATCCAGGAGAACGCGACCAAAAAGAGGAGGTGCATTGCAGCTGTGACAGCCACACATGCCACCTGTAGGGAGGGACCCCCACTGAGGTCAGCCGTGGGCCCCATGCCCATGCCTGGCGTTGCCAGTGCAAAGAAGCATCTGTCAGCAGGGGGGATCTCTGGGTGGAGCCCTGGGCCCAGATCTACCATTGGGGCCTCTCTTCTCTGGGCCTTGCTCCTTCCCAGGGAAATGGAGCCAGATGAAGATGCGGCGGGGGGTGGGGCATCCAGAAAAGTCCACAGGCATTGATGGCCTGGGCTCCCTGAGCTCACAAGCCCACCCCAGCTGCCCACCTTGTTGGCCTTTGCCCACTCGCTGGCCATGAGGAAGCCCTCGGCAGAGGCCAGGGAGAAGGTGAGGTTCTTGTGGACTGTGGTTCGCTCCGACTTGGGGACCCTGCACAGGCAGAGGACTCGGTTAACCAGGACACCACCGCCAGCCCCCACAGCCCACCAGGCCCTGCCCCGCCCGGGGCCTCTGTGGACAGAGGCAGGGATGCGGCTCCGCGGGGCCAGAGGCTGCGGGGATGGAGGACGGACGCCTGACCCGCAGTCCAGCAAGGGGTGGGTGGGGCCCAGCGCTCCTCACCCCGCCGCCAGGAACAGCAAGAAGGTGGTGGCCAGGGCACAGAAGGACACGCCACAGCCCACGAACGAGACAGTCCTCAGCAGCGACTCCTCCTCAGGGCTCCTCTGCGGGGAAGGACAGAGAGTAACCTACTCCACCCGCACCTGGCCCGCGCCAGACCTCGCCGCTAGGAGGTCCCATGAGCCTCCCCGGCCTCTGTAGTAAAGCGGAGACGGTGACAGCCCCAGGCCTGCACACAGCACGCACTTGATAAGCGGGCACTTGCATGTCTTTCTCTCCTGCCGGATCTCCCTGAACTGGCCCCACTCCGCCCAGCTTCCACCCACCCAACTGCTACGAAGGCCATCAGCTGGAAGTGACCTGCATGCCCCTGTGGATGCGTCCCATGTGACACTAGCCACCCATGGGGGAGCCACAGATGTGTCCTTAGATGTGGATGGATTGTTTATGACATGGAAAAATATCTGTGCCCTGATTTTATAGGAAACATGCATTGGGTCACGTTTTTCTAGCGTGCTCACAGCACCAAGTGACCCCAGCAGTCCTGAGGCTCAGGCCCCGTCCAACTTCACCTCTCGGCAAGTGACCACTCAGAGTGTGGTCAGCTCCAGTGAACCCCCCTCTCCTGGTCTCCTCCTAGAGTCTGTCCCCCAATCTGTCAATGCTGGTGTTCCTCAGGGGCCTCTCTTGGCCACCTGTGGCTTTAGCTATTGGCTCTTCCCTTCCTCTCCGGCTGAGAACCTCCCCGGCCCCCCCAACCCCGAACACCAGGCCTCCCGACCCCGACCTCACCTGCACGTCGTACACCTGCAACAGGACGGCGAAGTTGGTGCTGTGGTTGCAGAAGCAGGCAGCTGAGTCCTGGTACAGGGCGGCCACGGAGCAGCCAGTGGTGGCCCAGGCCCCCCCTGTGTCCGGGCTTGGGCGTGGGGAGGGAACAGAGGGCTCTGAGACGGGGTGGATACGGGGGTGGCGGCCAGCAGCAAGCAGGGAAAAGCCCCCCCCCCAAAGCCTGGCCCATCGCTGCCCTGTCTCTAACCAGCAGCGTGACCTTGGCAAGTCACTGCCCCCTCCTGGGCCTCAGTTTCCCACCTGTAAAATGTGTGTGACATGCTCAGGACGGCAGGGCAGGGCTGACACCGGTGATGGCCATTTATCCCTGTCGTTAATTACTAAGCAACTGTGGCTGTGTCCGCACCCTCAGCTAAAGATCCGGGGAGGGAGCCGGGGCTGTTCCTGGACCTCCTCTGCCCCTTCAGACGCCCCCGGGCCATGCCCTGGATGCAATCAAGTCTAACACCCATTTGCCAGATGAGTCTCCTGCTAGGCGCCTCCTCCTCTGCATACCCCCTATGACAGGGAGCTCACTACCCCGGGGAACACCGTCCCCTGTCCCAGCTTGTCCTGGACTCACCCCTGCAAGGCAGATGGTGACTGGAGGTCAAAACCACGCCTGAGTCCTGCCTCATCCCCAAGCAGAGTGGATGTCTCAAAAGATCTCCTTATTTAAAAAACCTGGAAAGGGAAACTTACCTGATACTGAAGTTCCAGAAAGCACAGACAGGCTCCACCAGCTTCTGCGGGAAAGCCTGGGCAGGAAACGGACAGGCGTGTGCTCGCGTGTGCAGGGGCGGGGCAGGTGTGAGCGTGCACGGGCAGGAGGGTGGAGGCGACGCTGAGGACGCTCTGTGTTTGAGGGACGGGGGCTGGCCACCGTGCCTCAGGAGTGACAAGGGGAGCGAGGTGAGCAGACGTCCAGTCTCTCATGACAGGTAAGGTTGAAAGACTGGGAACAAGCTAAGGTGCCATCCATCGGGGAATGGGTGACAGGGGTGCTCCTCCCTCCGTGGGGTGCCCTGCCTCTGGTGAGAGGGACAAACTGGCCTCTCCCTACTGACGTGGGGAGAGCTCCGTGACGCTGCTCAGTAATGAGCAAATTCACACCGTTATGCACGATGTAAGCCCATTATGTGAACACGTTAAGGCCCGTGACCTTGTGAAAACACACGGCTACCTTAGCAACGGCTAGGTCTGGGTTTGAGTGTGTTACGATGAACATGCTGGCTCTTTTGTAATTAAACAATACAGATTGTATAAGATGTCATTAAGCAGTGAGGAGACATCAGGTGGCCAATGGCACCAATCCCTATGCAGGCAGGGAAGGCAGCCTGAGCTTGGGACAGGGGCCTGTAGGCAATGGCAGTGGCCCCTCACTTTGTGTTTGCCAAGCCCTTTTTTTTGAGACAGGATCTTGCTCTTATGTCCAGACTGGAGTGCAGTGGTGTCATCAAAGCTCACTGCAGCTTCAAACTCCTGGACTCTAGTGATCCACCTGCCTCAGCCTCGAGAGTAACTAGGACTGCAGGAGTGTGCCACCACAGCTGGCTAATTTTTTATTTTTATAGAGACAAGGGTCTTACTATGTTGCTCAGGCTGGTCTCAAACTCCTGGCCTCAAGTGATCCTCCTGCCTCAGCCTCTCTAAGTGCTGGGATTACAGGCCTGAGCCACTGCACCAGGCGACAAGGCTTTTAAATTAGTCCCCTACTGATGGACATTTATTTTATTTTTATTCTCAGGAAGCACATGGCCGTGAAGGCCTGAATGTCTCTGTGCACACGCTGCAGCCACTGACTCAGTGAGAACACCAGTTTTCGGAGTTACACGGACCTAGAATGAAATCCCAGCCCAGCCACTTACAAGCCAGGGCCAGTCACGTCCCCTGCCAAGCTCCGTACAGAGCGAGTAGTTGGAGCTGAAATGGATGCCGCTTTTCTGAGGCACCTGGCATAAGGTAAGCGTACAATAAATCGCTTCCTGTCCCAGTGCCTTGAGGACAACAGGGGTAGCTTGTGGGTGAATTTCGTCTTGTACGTTATTAGACTTGGGTTATCCAGTGAACACATACCGGGGCAGAAGGAACCAGGATCAGTGTACCGGGGTGGCTGTCTCCCCGAAGCGCCACCCATTACCTGGGCCTGGTGCTGCAGGTGGAAGGTCACAGCCGTGTTGACCTCCCCAGTGACATCCCACACCTCAGAGGAGATGATGGCTGACCCCACCTGGGTGCGCAGGAACCTGTGGGGAGAGAGAGTCGTGCATGGCTGGGGCATCTCTTCCAGGCCCCTGTGTCCAAGTAGTATCAGGGGAAGTCCTACGCTGGGACCTGGGACACCTGGTTCCAGCCTGGCCTCAGGGGCCTGCTGGTGACTTGGGTAAGCCCTGTGCCCCCGAGCCCCACCACTGAAACCAGGACCCCCGACAGGAGCTGAGCACGTCCCACCAGCCACACCTTGGGCAGGCGCGGGAGCGTGTCAGTCGAGGGAGGGGGAGCGGGCAGATCCTGGACTACTGAGGACAGAGGGGCCCACCACAGTGGGGGCTCTGGCCTTCCCTGGGGAGGGGACACAGGCCCCCAGCAGCCCACTGGGTGGGGCCCACTCACCTCTGCACCCTGCTCGCCTCCTCCATGCTGTCAGAGGCCTGGGGCTCTAGGCCAGGCCCCGCCAGGGTGTGCTGGAAGGTTCTGGAGGTGAACCAGCTGTGGACCAGGAAGACTCCAGAGAGACCTAGCTGAGTGGGAGGGGGAGGGGGCCCAAGATGCTACCCGGTGACTGAGCAGGCAGCACCAGTGGGCCCAAAGAGTAATGCTCTCCCCACTCTACAGACAGGGAAACTGAGGCTCAGAGAGGTTAAATGACTTCCCAAACTTCACATGGCCAGTAAGTGTCAGAGTCAGAACTCCAACCAGCCATAGTCCAGGCGCTTAACCTCACGGCTCCAGATCCCCCTGCCCCTGGCCCCGATCCTGCGCCCCTGCAGGGCACCAAGGGTGAGGTTTGCCCTCCACCGCCCACCTCTGAGGGAAATGTGTGCGGTGCAGCAGGGGAGACTAAGTGAACACCACTGTGTGGTGGCTGCTTTTAACCTCATAACGCATGAGACGAGTAGTAATATGTCCATCTTACAGATGAGGAAACTGAGGCACCGAAAGTTGAGGTGGCTCAAAGTAGCCCAGCTAGCGACGGTCAGAGCTGAGGTCTGGGCCAGACTCAAAGGGCTCCGGCCACCCCGCCACCCTCACCCACCTTTCCCGAGCAGCCGCGTCACTTCGCTAGCAGGGATGCGGATGTGGCCGGGTCCCTCCGGACGCCCTCCGGGCATCGTGAAAACGTAGTCCCCCGTGCCGGCCTCCCGCAAGCGCAGGCTCCGTACCTCCAGGCCTGGGGGCGAGCAGGCGCGGGCGGCCGGCCTCAGGCGCGGCAGGGCCCACTCCCCTCTCCCTGCTGCAGGGAGGCCCCCCTTCCTGCTCGGAGAGGTTCGGCAGCTTGCCCAGGCCAAATCTGGCTGCTCCGAGTCCAGGGGGAGCGGGTCCCTGAGAAGGAGGGGCCCTGGGAGGCAAGGCCTGAGTATCGAGGAGCCACCGGACACCAGTGCGCACCTGCAGGTTTGTGCCAGAAGTTCCACCACAGGTGCAGCCCCAGCCAATCTACAAACACTCACTGAGCATGGACTCGGGCCTGCCCTGGGACGCAGAGACCTCCCAGAAACAGCCCTGGTGGTCAGGGGGTGGCAGGTGGAGGGAGACAGTCCCGTTATGTAATTAGCACAAATGCATTAACAGGTATGTTCAAGATGTTGGGGTAACCTAGGTGGCAGAAACTGTCAGGAGAGAGCTAAATGTGGGGATTTAGCTCAGAGGGGGTGATGCTCCAGCAGGGTTCTGAAGGGTGTATAGGAGTTTGTTAGGAGATTGAAAGAGGGCATTCTGGATGGGGGGCACAGCATCGGCAAAGGCAGGACACAGGATGAAGTGTCTGGGCCAGTGCTCCCAGTGGCCAGGGCTCGGGAGAGGCGTCTGAGCCCAGATGTGAGGGCGGGGGCAGGGGTGGCAGGCTCACCGGCATGGCTGCGCTGGATGTGTATTTGGGGCCGCTCTGAGGTCAGCATGGTGCTCAGCAGGGGTGCCAGGCGCTGCACGATGCCCACCAGGGCCATAGGTCCCCCAGCCACCTGGGAGGAAGCTGCAGGTCAGCTCCTCCCACATACCGAGTGCCCCAGGCCTCTGCCTGCCCTGACCACGGGGTGCGCACTCTCAAGGATCTGTCAGGTGTCCCTGCCTGCCCCAGCCTCCTCTGACCTCTCCAGCCCTGTGGCCCAAGCCACCCCGTCTTCCAGCCAAACCAAAGGCCTCCAGCGCTCTGTGCCTGCTGGCCTCTCTGCCAACCAGGGCACGCTCTGCAGGCTGACCCATGCCTCGCTCTCCTTCACCGTGACTCGGTGCCACACCTCCAACAGGTGCTCAGCGTTGAGATGCCAAAAGGAAAGCCACAGGGCAGTGAGAGCAGGGGAAGGAGGGCAGAACACGCATTCACAGGACACCTACTCTGCCGGGCAAATCACCCAATTCATCCATTACCTCCTCTCCATTCCCGTAGCAAGGCAGCTGTGATAATCCAGTCTCCAGGGTGGAAAACTGAAGTTCAGACTCAAGTTTTTCCCAGTCTGCCACAGTGCCTCACTTCCCTAATCAGTTGTGGGTTTGCACACTTCCCAGGATGGGGAGCTCACTACCTGTCCAGGTGAAACATCCTATAGAACCAGCCTCCTGTGTTGTGCCATCTCCACCCTACCCCCATGCCCTGGTCCCAATTCTGTCCTCTGGGGCCACAGGGAGACCATTCCTGCTCCTTCAACCCCACAGATTTGCAGGCAAGGCCCATGACCTCTTGTTCCCTCCCATCTCTGGGCTGATCACTCCCAGACCTACAGCTGATTCTGCCAGGATGAGGTTTCCAACAGCTGCTCCATCTGGATAGCACCTCCCATGCTCTCCAGAGTATCTGGGCTGTTCAGGCAGACATGGTGGGCTAAGGCTTAAGGTGGGAGGCCCTTACTGATTGGTGGTTCTTATATCATTTTTAACTGCAGAAACTAGTGTCCAAGTGCAATTGCATGTGCAAATTTAACTTATAAAATAGACAAAAGAGGAGCTTCTCCCAATGGATGGTGAGATGGAGCCCAGAGCTGGGTGCTGACTCAACAGCTACACAACGTGCTGGTGGCAAGGTTGGAACCAGAACCCCAGGCCCCTGCCCCACCCAGCCCTGCCGGCCTTACCTCCCTGATGGACAGCCACGCGTCAGCCACCTGCTCCTCCAGGACCAGGCTGGCCACAGACATGACACTCTGGCCCAGCTGCTCCCAGGGCCCTGTCAAGGGCTCTGGCTCTCCAGCCCCGAGGGCCGTCACCCTCTTCAGGAAGCGCACAACAGCCAGCAGCGCGGCCGGCCCCAGCGGAGCCGCCTCCTCAGCCAGGACTCTCTCCAGGATGTCCAGGAAGCTGGAGGCCTTGGCCAGGGACAGGACCCCGTGGGCTTCGGAGAGGGGATCTGAGAGGAGCTGTGGACAGAGGAGCTGCTGACTGCTGGTCTGGCTGTAAGGAGGGGACTCCCCAGGGGCCACACTAGGGCTCTGCTGGGGTCTGCTTGGTAGGCACAGGTCAAACTTGTCACAAGCCCCCAGCTCTCACAGGCTCCAAGATAGGGAGCATGAGCAAACTTAATTCCTGCAGACACATCAGATGGGTGTCCCTTTACAGGTGAGGAAACAGAGGTACAGCGAGGTGACCCACAGTGCCCCCAGATTCTCCAGCCCCCTGGGAGGGGCTCACCACAATAGCGTTGGCCAAGGCATTGACTCGGCTGATAACATCCTGGCCGGGCCATGACCGGGCATCCTGCAGCCGCCGGTAGGTCTCTGCAGAGGAGTGGATGCCAGGCTGGGCCCTGGGCAACACCCCTGCCCAGAGGTGCCAGCCTGCTCAGCGCCCCCCACCACCATGTGCTGGGGGGTGGGGAGAGCACTTGACTGCTGTGCGTCTGAGGCCTTACACACGGTGCTCTAGATGGGAAAACTAGGCACAGAATGGCAAAATCGCTTGCCCAAGGTCACAAGTTGGGATTCATTCCAGGTCTGTCTCCACCCACTGCCCTGTGGTTTATAGTTTAGACTCCGTGGAGGGCCTGAAGCTCCAAGAAGATTCTGAATTCCCAGACTTTGCCAACTGCTCACGTCCCCCGCTCCCCAAATTCGACACCGGTCCAGCGCAGCGCAGGAGCACAGCAGCGCACACCTGGCCGGTAGCAGCAGAGGAAGGGCCGCGACTGCAGGCAGAGCTCGGAGCCCTCGGTGCGAGGTCCTGGGTTCCATGTGGGGCATTCCTCCGAGGGCACTGGCCAGGGTGGGAGAGGTGTCAGGGCTGTCTCCTGGACCGCAGCGGTCCTGTGACACACCCTGCACCCAGGACGGGGAACCAGAAAGCATCGCCCCGGGGTTAGGGGGCGACAGAAAGATGGATGTTGCAGGCGGCCTGGGAGCGGACCCGCTCAGGATACACTGGGCGGACGCGCTTGCGCACAGGCGCCGCAGTCTGGGGAGGGCGTGGCCATGGTAGGGCGGGGCCATGGTCGGGCGTGGCCATGGTTGGGCGGGGCCAGGTTGGCAACTGGTGGGCGGGGCCCTAGGTGAAAGGGAAACCCAGGGTCGGGCGGGCAGTACCCGGACAGAGCAGGCGCACCCGCACGGCGGGCAGCAGCGAGGGCGTGACGTCCAGAGCGCCCGGGTCCCAGCGGAAGAGGAGGCCGTCGGGGGGAGGCGCGCAGGCTCGTGCCCGGAGCAGCTGCGCGGAGCTCAGCGCCCGGGCCCACAGGTGGAAGTCGGTGAGGTTGCCGCTGAAGGCGTCACGCGCCGAGAAGCCGCCGCCCAGAGAGTCCTGATCCTGGCCCAGCACCAGGATGCCGCCGGGCGGCACCGAGTGGCCCGCGCCCAGCCCTCGCGCCCCGGCGCGCCGCCGCCCGTCGGCGAACAGGGCCCAGCGCCCGCCGCGCTGCTCCCACGTGGCGCACACGTGGTGCCAGCGGCCGTCGGCGCGGAAGGCGGCGAGGAAGGGCGCGTGGTGCCCGCGCACCACGAGCGCAGCGCGCACGGCGCCGCCCGGCTCGGCGAAGGCGCGCAGCTGCAGCGCGTTGGCTTGCGCCGGCACCGCGAGGGAGAAGAGCGCGGCCGCGTCCGGAGAGGCGGCGTCCCACTGCACGTGCGCGCAGGCCGTCAGCGCCCCCAGCGCGGGCAGGGGTGTCCGCAGCCGCGCCGCCTTGTCCGCCGTCCTCTCGCCGAACACCAGCGCGGCTGTGGTGTGCGCGCCTGCGGGGACACGCGGGCCAGGTCCTCAGTTTCCCCAGCCGCGCACGCGGTCCTGCCTCTGACTGCCCTTTGGCGCGGCTGCGGGGCCCCTCCCGGGCTTTGGGGAGCGTCCCCACCTCGGGAAAGAATAAGTGTGGACTGAAGTTCTCCCGGGAGTCAACCCCCTACTTCTAGTTCACTACAAGGGACCCTGGAGATGCAATGGGGTGTTATTCCAAGCTCATTCCGCAAGTATTGTCACTGTGGGTTCCCATCTCTGAAGATCACCAGAGCCTCTGCCCCCACCCGTCCCCCCAGGCCGTCCCCTCGGGGCCCACACTCACGCCTCTGCGGGGGTCTCCGCAAAGGAGCCTCTCTTGGGCCCACCCAGACCGGGTCGCGTAGCCGTGGAGCAAGAGCGCCATTGGGAGGCTGCCGTGCTAGGTGGCCAAACCGCTGCTCACAGGACTCTCGGGCCTGCCACCAGCTCAGCCGCTGTCCGGAGAACTTGCACACCCCGCTTGCAGTCTCCACCACCGCGCCAGGGGCCACTGGGGCTGGAGGGCGAAAGGAGAGATGGCGTGGGAGGGATTTTGTGGGCATCCGACCCTTCCTGGGGTGGACAGAGCCAGGGACACTGGGCTTGGAGTCACTAGTCAGCTGAATCCTGACTCTGATGGCCTGGGGAGTCCTGTCCCCTTGCAGAGCCCGTTTCCTCATCTGTGGGGCGCCAGGAATGAGATGGACACCAGGGAAGCTTTCAGCTCCTGGCCTTGTATGGTGGGGGCTGAAGTCAATGTCATTCTTCCCTCCCTTTGCACTCCAGGTCAGGGCACCCCTTGGACCACAGGTGGGCTGAGCTGGGCGAGGCGGAGTCTCTCTGCAGGGGACCTCTCACACCCACCTGTGGCCCAAGGGTTCCTTGGTTCACCTGGCGAGTTGGAGGGGGTTCCGGAAACACTCCTGATCTGAAAGAGAAGGCAAGTGGGGGCTGGAACAGCTCTCCCCCAACATGTGCAGTTATTGAATGCCTACTGTGTGCCCCACGGGGGCGCAGGGGAAGCAGCAGGCTGTGTAGTCAGACCTGGAGTCACATTCGTCCCCCCAGAGTGTGATTTTGTTGAAGTCACTTCACTGCCCGGAGCCCGTTTCCTCTTGTGAGGAATAAACATGCTGGTGCATGAACGTAAGAGGTGTAGCGCCTGACGGGCGCTTTCACTCATGTCTGTGCCAGGGGTTGTCTCGTGTAACCCTGGCAGTGACCTCATGATGTGGGGTGGCCACTTGGAACCTTCAAAGCTTTGAGCCCCTGTGGCCCTGTCCCCTGCGCTGCCCTCCCAGAGCGAAGATACCAGGAGGTAGAGGACGCAGTAGCAGCAGGGGGCCATCTGGATCCAGCCTGGGCAGGTGAGGGACCGCAAGCCAGTGTGGACTGAGGAAGAAAGAGAAAGCAGCTCAGCGTGCTGCTGTGGCCCTTGGACTCCTGCAGGGTCATCTGACCCTTTGTTTGGTTCCCATACCCCACTGGGCTGGGAGCCAACCAGTGGGCAAGGAGCCCAGGATGGGGTGGCCCACCATGAGGGATGACATTTACTTGCACAAAGGGACGGTCTCCAGGAGCTCCTGCTGGACTGAAGCTGGGAAACGCTATAGCCCTGGTGAGCTGGGGAGAACAGGGAAGACAGAGCTCGGGGTCCCTGCGGGGGGAAGTGGGGCTCAGGGCCACATGGCTGCCTCTGCTCTTTGGGTTCGCCACTCGCCATTCAAGGCTCAGCTTCGTCAATCTTCTGCTGAGCCCCGGGGCCTCACCTGTTCCCCGATCCTCCATGCAGCCACCTTTTCCCCTACTCCCCAGGCTGTGTCCCTTCTCCAGACCTTTGGCCGTGCTGTCCCTCCTGCCTGGACTGGCCTCACAGTCTCCAGTGGCACCTCCTTCAAGATTAGCTTGAGGTCGCTCCATCCACCCAACACGGATGGCGAGTCTGCCACAGCCAGGCGCTGCACTAAGCTGGGGATACCCTCCTCCTGGGTGATCTGGGGGTCACTCCTGACAACCTAGGGGGCTCCGCTCCAGCTCTGGCCATGCACAAATGTGTTGGGAAAACGCCGTATCCCCCCAGCTGGCCACCTGCCACCTGGGAGTCTGGAGCCATCACCAGTGATAATTCACTTTCTCCTCTTGTAGACACAGCATGAAAGTCAAACACGCCCCAAAACGGGAGGACTTGGAGGTTCACACTTTTTGCACTCCGAAAAGCACCAATTTATGGTCACTTTTCCCCTCTTTTAAACAGCACCTGCATCCACTCCCCCTGCCCCCAGCCCAGGAGGGTGGGGAATTGTAGGAGGCTGGTGCAGGGCTGAGGAGTGTGGCATGTGCTGGCGCATAGCTTGGGCTCGGTAAATGCTGGCTCGCTCCCTCCCTGGTACACTTTTCCCTGAATTTGCTCCCTCACCCCCTGGAGTCCACCTTTCTTGTTCACCAAACACGTTGACACCGGAGAGAGATGGGAAGTGGCCAGCCGCCACTGTGCATCCCTCCTCCAGAGGGGCGGATGGGCCTGGGACAGGGGTCTCACCTCTCTGCTGGTCCCTCCCCCGTTCCAGCCCCAGGTCCTCACCCGCTTTGCCTGGCCTGGCGCCTGGGGCTGGTTCGCCGTCTGCGAGGTGTCTGTGGGGACAGGGAGGCAGCGGCTGGCTCCCGGCTTGGCCTCGCAGCGGGACCAGTCGGTGTGGGGTGGAGCTGGCAGGCCCCGCCCCTCAGCCCCGCCCTTCCAGCCTGAGACCCGCCTCCCGGTGGGTGGCAGGGGACCTTCGGTCCCTGGGCCTGCCTGTTATCACCACCTCCCCCCAACGCAAGGGGAGAGTCACCCCGTTAGAAGGGGCTACGTTGTGAGACTTTGATCCAAAGTCAACTGGTGGAGGCTGAAGGGTCCCTGGGCCTCCTCGTCCCCTCAGAGGCCAGGATGGTGGGGGAGGGGCTCTCAGTACCTGGCCTACCACTGAACTGGCCGCCCACCTCCTCTCCTTCACAGTCAACCTGCTGCGGGGAAGGGCTGTCATACCCATTTTCCAGAGGGCGACTGAGGCCTCTCGCCCCAAGTTAGGCACTTGGCCTGTGGCAGAGCCTGGCCTTGAACCTGATCTCTGGGTCGTCTCTGGCCATTCCAAAGGTAACGTAGGGAGGGGAGAGAGGGCAGAGCTGGGGGCAGGGGTGCAGAGGGGAGCTGAGGGTTGGGGGATGCAGAGGCGAAGGTCCCCCGTGGAAGCATGCAGCCGGGACTGGGGGTACACCTTCCTGGCCTCAATAACAGGGGTTCCTGGTGAGAGGGAGGTTAGACCGAGTGACCCCAGGGCCAAGGCTTTGGGGTCAGATAGATCTATCCAAGTTCATGTTGACTCTGACCTGAGGCGCATTACTGAATTTCTCTAAGCCTCAGTTTCCCCACCTGTAACATGTGGATGATAAATAATGCAGAACTCATAGGGTTGCTGTGAAATTTACATGACTTTGACTTAACAAGTGCCAAGGCCATAGCTTGTACATGATGCCTGGCACACCATCCATTTAGCTTTCTTGTTGAAACTTAGTTTTTCAAATAACCTGCTGGCAACACAGTAGTTTATTTTTTCCAATTTTTTTTATCATGGTAAAATACGCATAGCATAACATTTACCATCTTATGATGGTTTATTTTTAAAAGGAGGAGGGGCATCAAAGTGGACGATATGTTGGTGTTCAACGTGCTGTTCTTTCAGCTTTTCTCTAGGGTTGAGAATTTTCACAATAAAAGTTGGGACATAAGAGGTCACGGCCTAGGGCAGAGCTCCGGGCATTCCCCAGGTTCCCGGGCCAGCAGAATGGATTCAGGACGACCTGGTTCTCCCTTGCCTGTGACCCACCCACCCCCTGCCCAGACCGGGTTCCCAGAGCCAGTGAGAAGGGCAGGAAGGAGAAGCCCAGGGTGGAGCTAGTGCCATGCCTGGCATGGCTGGGCCTTTCCACACTTGCACCTTATCCTTCAAGGCCTGGGTTCTTGGGAACCCATTTTACACATGAGCATACTGAGGCCGGAGTGGAGGCAGGACTGGCTAAAGGTCATGCGGCTGGGCAGGGGCGGGCTCCAGGCCTCCTCCTGGCCTGTTCTTTCCGTTGGGGGGGAGGGTTCTGCCAGTCTCCTTGGTGCGCCTTCCCGCCCTCCTGCCCTGCCCGTCCTGGCCTGTCCCAAATCCCTCTCTGTAGCCCAGGTAATGACCTTCCCATCTTTGGCAAATCCCTACCCTGGGGCCCCAGCTGGCACCCTCCTTCCGTGGGCCACATTTCCCAGGAGTCGCTCTTGGAGATGGCCGAGGACCACGGAGAGGCGGGGGAGTCTGTGGACCCTGATTTGCGGCCCCGAGCAGTCGGGATGTGTTTGGGCTTTGGCTTGGCCTAATCTCTCGTCCCCAGAGCCTGGGCGGCGTCCAGCTGGCAGCCGAGGGCCATCCGTCCGCTTTACAGGAGCAGCTCTGACAGCCCGTGTCTCTGCGGGCAGGGCCTGGTGGCTGCAGTGACTGATAGCCTGTGGGGACGCTGTCTGGGGAGCTGGGGTGGGGAGCGGGCAGGGCAGCCGGGCCCAGGGAGCCCTTGAGGGGGCACCTGAGGACATTTTGTCCCTTACCCCTGAGCTCTGGCCCTGCCTTAGCCCCTCAGCCAAACCTCCCTCACCCAGGTCCAGGGATTTTGGAAGGAAGAGCCGGCAGCCGGGCAGTTTTCACTCTGGGCTCTCCACAGTCCCCACAGAATTGAGGCTGAGCCATCGACCAACTTTTATGTGACTTGGGGAAGTCACTTTACTCCATATTTTCTTCCACAGAATGTGGAAAATCACCACTTCCTCTCAGGTGGCCCATGAGAAGAGATCTGTATTGGGGTTGGTGTTGTTTTTCTCTGAGGGGACTGGCTCCTGCTCTGTAGAAAAAGAGGCGCCCCTCCTCCCCACCCCCCTACATAGCCCAGGCCGAGTATCCAGGGTGGCCCAGAACCAGCACCGCCTCCCCTCTTGCCTGCTCCAAGAATGATCGCTCTAAGATTTCCATCCAATCCTGTCCCTCCTTTGCTCAAAATCCTTCTGTGGCTCCCGAGTGCCTCCAACAAAAAAAGTCCACCCTTGTCGTGGCTGACACAGTCTACCCTGCCCTCTGTTCCCCTTCACCACGCCTCCCCTCTCCCTCCAGCCCGAGCGGGCATCCTTCTGTCCCCGCCCCCAGCCCTTTGCACGTGCTCGTCCCTCTGCTTAGGAATGGCGGGCACCCCACCTCCCAGTCTTTTCTGCTTCGTTTCTATGTATCCTTCAGGTCTCTGGGATGCCTTCCCTGTCCCCCACCTTAAAGTGGCTCAGAAACCCCCTGATTGCTGCAAATGGCCTGCCTGTTCCCCAGCCCCCGGCTCCCAGGCCGAGCCTGACGGCGAGCGCTTTGCATTTGCTGCAGGACTGAAGGAACCACCCAGCAGACTAGTCACGCCCAGACAGACGCCTGCGACTCTAAGGTTTGTGTGTGAGTGGGTGCTTCGGGGAGCGGGCAGTGGGCGGAGGACTCCCCTTGATGGGCCCCAAGGCCTGACACCCGCACCGCTGCTGTGGCCCCTAGACGTGAATCGCCTGTTTAGTGCCAACCTGTGGCCAGACCCTCCTCAGCCAGTGAGAAAAGGGAAGGCTCTCCCACCCACCCCACCTGTCCCCACCTGTCCTCACGTGTCCCTGGAGCAGCTCCAGAAGCTGAAAGCTGGGAGCAGCTGGTACAGTGGCCTTGAGCTGGGAGTCAGACCCCTCCCTGCCATCCCCCATTCCAGGCCCCTCTCTGCCACCAGCCAGCACACGGGCCTGAATCACTCATGTGTCTGCTCTTGGTTTCAACTTCTCTGTGACATGCCCAGCCTAGAGCCTGGCACACAGCAGGTGCTCAATAAATACCTATATGTATTTGGAGGAAGCCAAGAACCAGAGAAGGGAAGGGAAAGGACCCGTGGCCACATGGCCAGTCTGTGGCACAGCCTGAGCCTCCCCGGCCTTCCTCAGCCTGTCCAACCCATCTCTTCTCAAAGCTTAAAAATTATTTCCACCTCTGCCTGATGTGACTGCTAGTGGGTACAGGATTTCTTTTTGGGGTGATGAAAATGGTCTAAAATTGATTGTGGTGATGGCTACACGACTCTGCAAGTGCACTAAAAACCATTGAGTTGTATACTCTCAACGGGTGAATTGTTTAGTTCATGACTTATACCTCAGTAAAGCTGCTATTCAAAGAAAGAGCAATACTGTGGAAGAAACAGCACTGAGCTGGGAGTCAGAGGCCCTGCCCCTTCATAGCTCCATGAACTTGTCGAGTTCCCTGATCTGTGACCCGGGGTCCAACCCCCCACCCTGCCTTCTT